AGTTTAGTATCATCCGCAAATTTGCTGAGAGTGCAATCCACACCATCCTCCAGATCATTTATGAAGATATTGAACAAAACCGGCCCCAGGACCGACCCTTGGGGCACTCCACTTGATACCGGCTGCCAACTAGACATGGAGCCATTGATAACTACCCGTTGAGCCCGACAATCTAGCCAGCTTTCTACCCACCTTGTAGTGCATTCATCCAGCCCATACTTCCTTAACTTGCTGACAAGAATACTGTGGGAGACCGTGTCAAAAGCTTTGCTAAAGTCAAGAAACAATACATCCACTGAAGCATTGTACTTGAGCCAAAGATCTTGTCCCAAGTGGCTCAAACATTTGGCTCAATTGTACTTGAGCCAAAGATCTTGTCCCAAGTGGATCAACCCTAGTAAACCTGCGTTTTTCTCCCAAAACCGCAATCTGAGAGATTCCATGTCTTTTCTGAAATCACCATAGCTAACCCGCCTTAAAATTTCTGAATTCGCCATGAAGTTCCCGGTCAGATTTTTCCGCTTGCATGGCTATAAGCAGACTAGAGATTGGAATGCATTTCTGCTGTTCTTGCACAAACCTCGTGTACACCGCAGAATCAAGGTCTGCATCATTCGTTAAACGTGCTCGTTTTCTTTGAAGGCCATGCTCTTCATCCAGGTTATGAATGTAAGTTCCGAGCTTGTCAGCATTCTTTAGCCATCCACGAAAGGTGGACTTGTTAATGCCAATATCGTGGCTAATCTTTGCCTGGGTTTCGCCGTTTCTAAGTCATTCGATAACGTCCAATTTCTCCTGCACCGAGTAAGCCTTCCTTTTGCCCAACATTTCTGACATCTTTCTAAAGATAAATACGGTACTGTACCTGTAAATTTTTATTACATTACATTTGTATGGTGTTCTAGGCCTACAGCAATCGTCTTAGGGCTTGTTTACGCTTCTGTGCTGGGTCGATCTAAGGTACGCAACTTCAGTTATGTGAATAGTTGATGCTCTCCCGTCGACTGCGCTTGCGTTCCTTGTTCTGGGGGCATACTAGAATCGACAGGAGAGCGCTCAGTGGTCTATTTATTGCGTCTGTACTCAAAAAAAATTGTACTGTACTTAAATTTGGGATCAATGGCCGTGACCGTGTTATATCTGAATTCGCATTACATAGAGGCGCGTTATAGTGAGGGTCCGGTGTAATATCACTTCGGTAATTTGACTTTACGTTTCAAAAAGAGCTTATTCATTCCAAGCAAAACAGCAGTGCCTTCAGTAGGAAAGTAAATAGATCCAGTTTCTGTGCTAGCAGTGAGCATTATTGTAGTTATAGGCTAAGCAAATCAAAGAACACATTCATAGCTATAAACATATGGATTTCCATTTGTAAAGTATCACTCTGTCCCTCCTAACCAAGATGATACTCTAGTAATTACTGAAATAATGGCTCCCTTTTCCCCTCTTTTCTGTTTGTTGAAGTCTTTACATGCCTGTGACTGTCAATCCACGTGTTTGCTGAAAATGATTTGCTGTAGGGTTATTAGAGAATAAATGACTACAGCTTCTATATTTAAAAATTTTGAAACCATATCAAGAAAAGTAAATCTGATATTTTAATAATAGTTTAATCTGAAGCCAGCAACATTTAAAAAACATTTTGTGCTATTTTTAGACACTTCTTTTTGGATTTTCTTTCTGAATTCCTGTCCACCATTTACTTTTGGTTGTCTGTGTATTCAACTTCTCAAGCCAACAGCTGGCTGCCCTGGTCCCATCTAGGAGAGATGGATACCACAATGGATTGATTTAAATCATCAATTTTAATCATAATTTTAATCAGAAAGCAGGTTTGAAACCTTGATTTAAAAATTGATTTTAATTTTGTTTTGCATTTGTAATTTTTATTTATTTTTCTAAAGAGAGGTTCATTCTCATTGGTTAGTATATCCATTTAAAAGATGTAGCTTTGCAAAGAAATATGGATTTACACTGTTTGGTAGTTTTTGCTAATCAGGAAGATACACTATGTTTATATACATGTATCCAAGCAATTGTATAGCTTAATTTACGTTTATTCAGGTTCTTAATTTTTACTATCATGTTAGAAAATGGAGAAAACCTGGATTTGTGCTGGAAATGGCCCAACTTGATTATCATACACATTGTAAGGAGAGTGATCACTTTAGATAAGCTATTACCAGCAGGAGAGTGGGGTGGGAGGAGGTATTTTTTTCATGCTTTGTGTGTATATAAAAAGATCTTCTACGCTTTCCACAGTATGCATCGATGAAGTGAGCTGTAGCTCACGAAAGCTTATGCTCAAATAAATTGGTTAGTCTCTAAGGTGCCACAAGTACTCCTTTTCTTAATGAGGCATTTCTTATTTAATAGATTTTTTTTTTTTACTCATTTGTGTCAAGCTGCTTTTGGATGGAAATTGGAATTCAATTAAAAATACATAAAAACAGGCTGTGTGTGCAGAAAATTAATTCTGTGCAAATTTTTGTGCATGCGGTGTGTTCCCGTGTGTGCGGGGTTTAGGATCTGTGTGCACGTGCACAGCTTATAGGGAACAGTGCCTCAGAGTGTTTAGCTAGAAAAGAGAAAGTGAGATTGTGAGGGAGGGAGGGAGAAGGGGGATAAGAAGAGCCAAAGAGATTGGAAAAGCTTAAATGGGAAGGAAGAACAAAATGCAATGCAAGGAGAAAGCAGAAGGAGAGGGAAGGAAAGAGTGAAGAACAGACACTGGGGAGGAGGGAAAGATCTGTCTATATATCATAGCACTGCACCTTAAATCATATTGTGGCCTCCTTCAGGGCACTCCACTCAGGTCTCAGGCCCCTAGTCATCACCTGTTTCAGAGTGGAAGCCTGTGTTTCTCTCCCTCCAGACCCAGGGATTTAGGCTGGAATTCCTTCTGCAATTCACTGTGGTCATTTTAGCACGTCTGAGTTTAGTTCAGGACCTTCCATCCTGTTCTCTCCCGGGGCAGTGACAGAGTTAACTAGTGACCAGCCAGCCTTCAAAGTGACCAGCTTTTGTTCTGAATAAATACATTTTCTCTATAAAACAGAGTATCTTGAAAATGATTAACAGTTTATGTGCCTGCCTGTTTTAGGAGGTGTCACCCATCTGGTAGGGGTTTGGGATTAGAAAGAGATGTCCATACTACAAGTGTTACTTATGGAGAAAGGCTTTCTCAACAAGGAAGCCTTTGCAGCATTTCCTACAGATGGTCATACTGGATTTGCCCGATCGCCTCTGGAAGATTATTCCATAGCTGTATCCCATTGACTAAGAATGTTTTGTCTCCCACTTTACATGCTTTTCCTGAGCTTTTTGATCTGCGTTGTCTCAGAGAAGTGCAGCTGTCGCAAAAATGGAATAGAGTATGGGAAAAGCAAAAAAGGCAGAACAAAAATAAGTTGAATGCCAAAATTTTATGATAAATAATATGTGAATGTTTGAATTTACACTATGTGTATGTTTAGATATTGCGAAAGCATCCCTGCCAGGGAAGGCTTATCTCTGGTTCATCAGTTTACTTTTGAAAAATCAAACTTTTTGCCCTTTGAAATGAGTGTTCACCAAATGACAGAGATTCTGACAAACTTTCCCAGGGGACGCTACTTCCAACGTTTCTGCCAAGGTTACCTCCCTCTTTCCCTCTGCAAACTACTCACTTTGAACCCTGCAGTGTAAGGGAGGAATGTAGAGGAAGATAAGAATGTATTGGGGGTGGGGTGGGGGGTGGAGCTTTAGTGACATCGCCCACTGAAATGCCAGCAACCCTTAAAACTGCCCTTAGTGGTGCCCTGAGAATGGAATTTGGCCTCTAGTCAAGAGAGAGTGAATGTAACTAATATGCTCTAACGAGACGAACAAGTTTTTGTTTCTCTGCTAGTCCCAGGTCTACTTCTTTCCATACTGGTGTGCAGGTAGTGACTAATTTGTAAATTGCACATGAATGAATCTTTTTAAAAGACAAACAAACTAGCCAAAGGCTCCTGTTTTTCTGGGAGTTAGTCACCATTCAGTATTGGTATATAGTGTGTTTTTTGTTTTTTGTTGTTTTTTACTTTACTTTAGAATAGGCTACCAATGAGTCTTTAATGCCTTTACACAAAAAACTTTTTGTCCATAAGACACTGAAACTAATTTACTAACGTGTCAACCAGTCGTTCTGTGATCACTTGGTCTTTCCCCTCACCCTCTGTCTTGTCTATTTAGATTAGGTCTTCGCAGCAGGGACGATTTTAGTATTTGTACAGCACCCAGCACAATCCTGAGAGTTGTCTTTTGCTGTGCTATCATAATATGAGGAACAAAAAATAATTCCTGTTCAGGTTGACCCCCTTATTACCTGGAGATGAAGTACCACTTTGAAAAATATGGAAAAGTATATTTTTAATAGAGATCACTCCCCAATGTAGTGGTCATGGTATGAAGTTATATACAGTGCACATGTTATACATTTTTTTTATTCCATATACGATTCTTTGCATAGTTATTGCTGGAATACAGGACAAATTGAGTCGATACAGGAAGTGGGATATGGGGCAAAAAAAAGTTACATTCCTTAAAACAAGAATCTAGTGTCATCCTAATTAACTCTAGTGCAAAATACAGAGCATTTTATCTAAATCTCTTTAGTAAGGATATGTTGATTTAAAAAAAATTAGCATCTTTTAGGAAGCTGACAACCACTGGTGAGTATTTGAGGCTTGTTGTAGATTGTCTAAAATATTTTGTTTGATACCAGGAAGCAGAGAAGTACTAAAATGGACATGTAACCAATTGGAAAGAGCTCAACTTGGTTGAGAATTTCTAATGAAAGTCTCTTGGTTTGGGACTAAAATTTAATTTTCCCCATCAAATTTAATTTTCCCCATTACTTTTTTTAAGTAATATTTTTAAATGTTTTCTTTATTGTGAACAATACCGTTTCTCATACAGTTATGTTTACTGATGACCTACAGAACAATTTTTCTTAATGTGTTCCTTTCACTTTACAGAAAGACCCAGATTATTTGCAGCTTTGGCTGGACAGTTTTGTTTCTAGCTATGAACAGTTTCTGGATGTGGACTTCGAGAAGCTTCCTACTAGGTATGTAGAAATACAGATCTGCTCATCTTGTGTTTGATATCTGGAGAGAACCTGTCTGGGCTCTAAATCCTGTTTAAAATATATATAATAAAATTGTTTGTTCCACGCCAGTATTTCTTGACTGGCACTCCCAGTCCCATTCTTTAAAGGTCAAATTTGGGTTGCTAATGATAAAACTAGGTAAACAGTATTTGCATCAAACTAGGAAATGGCATCAACATAAATTTGTTTTTGTTAGCAGAAATTTACTTATTACAGCTCTTTGTATGTTGTTGAAATAAGTACTCTGCAGAAAACCTGGTGTGTGAAATAATATTTTAATGGCTTAAAAGAATATATAAGGGAAAGATCTGGATAGTAGATATAATTTTGCAATTTAATCTCTGGGATTATTTTAATATTAAGCATGAGCTAAAATTCTAAATTTGTCTAATATAGTTGAAAATATGTAAAAATAAGCTGCTTCTTTACTTGTCTGCTGAGACCTTGGTTCAGGCTTTCGTACATTGTCCTGCAACAGCAGTGTTACTAGCCCCAAGCATTGAAAAACCATGAGATTGATTTAAACCATGAGATTTTAAAATATAACAAATGTTTGTTTCTTTTATGCCTTCTGGTTTTTGAGCCTTCAGGACTCATGTTCTCAAACTTTTCTTCACAGCCATGAGGGCTAGAATTTTTTTTTTTTTTTTTTTTTTAGTGAAAGTTTTAGGAACTAGGGCTTTTAAGAAAAACCAAATACTGTGATACTGGGGGGGGGGAATCATGAGAGTTGGCCATAGTGCTATAGCTGATATTACACTGTCTTAGGTGCTAGTGATGAATGCAGAGAATGAAGCTCCCTGTTACTGTGGTTCTGGTCCCAAATACATTACAATCAATGTTGGATCAGGTTTTATTTAAGTAATAGCAATGTCCACAATTGTTGCAAGGAAACATTGAACCCTGAAATTGGGTCCTAGCAGATTAAAAGTGTACTTTTTCTTAGCTATGTGTAATAATACTTTTCTCAGTGAATATAATATATTCATATAGAATTGATTATATCCAATTTATAACAAAAACTAAAAATGTTCTGTTTTGTACTGCATAGTCTGTCAGTTTAGCTTTGGTGTGGCAAAGATGTGTCCCCATAAGGTTGTATTTTTTGCCTAGAAAGTGTATAACTTCTAAATTGTCATTCTATAACATATAGTTTAGTATGAGAAATGTTAACAGTGGAATAACTGGACTAAATTAGAAATGTTTGGAAGTGTGCATGAACTACATAATTGTTTCTATTTTTTCAGTAGCCACATGGCAGAAGATTAAAAGGAAAAAACATAAACATATGGATAAACTGTGCAAAACAATGATAGTGTGCAGAGTGATAGTTTCAAGAGCTCAATATAAAATCTGGTATTTTGCTGTGATTAATGACAGGATTAGTGTTGTGACCTAAAAGAGTAGGATTGTATAGGATTGGACTCATTTTGTAACAGATGTAGAAAGAAAATGTCTAGGCAAAATAAGGGAGAGGGCAGGTGACTATTGTGTTTTGATGGCCAGAAATAAATATCCTACTATGAGACAGTTTATGTTCATTTTAACAATAAATCGCTGTTTCTGCCCCTGATTGCGCTTAGATATAATCACACTTAGTGACATCCTTCTGGATTTATTTTGTCATACATTATAAAATGTTGTAACTTTTATGGTGCAAAAAGAAAAGGAGTACTTGTGGCACCTTAGAGACTAACACATTTATTTGAGCATTAGCTTTCGTGAGCTACAGCTCACTGCATCCGATGAAGTGAGCTGTAGCTCACGAAAGCTTATGCTCAAATAAATGTGTTAGTCTCTAAGGTGCCACAAGTACTCCTTTTCTTTTGCGGATACAGAATAACATGGCTGCTACTCTGAAACCTGTTTGGTGCAGTATTTCAAAGAGAAGAAATACAAAAGAATCAAACAAATAGTTCAAAATAAATATGGAGATATCACTTTATAATCTGCACATTACACCATGACATTCTCTTGTACCAAAGCTAATCTCTAATGTGTGTCCTAGAGTTGCTTCCCCTTTGTACATTTTAATAAAAAGCTAATTCTCCCTTCGATCCTGGAAGTGGTTGTGTTCTGCAAGCTGGAATGAGGAATTGTTGAGGGAGGGAAAGACACTATGTGTACTTTCATCTGATAGGATCTCAAAATGCTTTACAGCTACTGCATATGCATGCAGCACTTGATAGACATTTCTGAGTGAAAGGCAGCTGGGAACGAGTGTTGCAGAACAGGGCAGGGAGAGGAAATTTTGAACAAACTAAGGCACCCTATTTTCAAGAAAAATGCCATGGGATTTATGTCCATGAAGGGAACATGGGACTTCAATTTTATCAGCCAAAAGACCAAAACACAACTGACTTAATGGAACTCTAATTTACTTGCCCCTGAGGCATGAAGGACTGAGTTGGCGCTACTGAGATTTTTATCTGGATGGGTAATACCACAAGTGGGTCTGATTATAAGAACATCTTTTTCTGCACATAAAAATATATTTCCTTTTAAATCTTGTATGCCAAGTTTGGGAACCTGAAAAATCCCATTTTGTGTAATACATATCTCAAAAAACTCTGAATTAATTTGTTTGTTCTGGAAGTGTGGATAAAACATATATGGTAAGGTATTATTATAGACCAGAGAAAGAACTATGGGTTGTAGAGTTGGTCTTCTTTTGCAGCCCCATGCCTCAGCACGATTGCTCCCTATAGTTTTTGATAGTGTTTTATCTAGTTTAGATGCATCCGATGAAGTGAGCTGTAGCTCACGAAAGCTTATGCTCAAATAAATTGGTTAGTCTCTAAGGTGCCACAAGTACTCATTTTCTTTTTATCTAGTTTAGATTCAAGCAGTGGGGTTTATAACACTTCCATTGGGAAGGTGCGTTCTTCTCAGTATAATAGATCTGTTGACATCTATGCATATTGAACACGAGAGATTGTCACTCCACTATTTTGCATTTCTCAAAGCATCTATTGTACCTTACTATATTTACAATTGAAAGGGTAAAGTCTTACCAGCTGATTAGAGGTTATTTTCCTTGCTGAATGGGGAAGAAGTTATGTTTAATAACTAATAACTGCTAGGGCAATTTGAATGTTATCAGTTTTCCTTTTGTTTTTGGCTTACATGCTGTTAAATTTACAACAAAGAAGGTTAAAGGAAGTTGTTGAAAAACAAATCAAACATATTTTTATATACTTTATGGTTCAAACCCACATAAAAATGACTTAGGACACATGAAAGACACAAATAGCACATTTATCAGGAGTTTATGGCTAAAAAGTGAAGTCAGATTTTCTGCAGCTTTTATATTTTTAAGTGTGGGCTTCCTTTTGTAAAAATGCTAATCTATGTGTTTAAACTGCAGCATTTGTGTGAATGGAGTCAAACCAGTCTCCAATTAGTGCTTCAGTGATTAGTGATTAGTGCAATCAGGATTAAAGCTGTTTACCCATGTTAATACAAAGATTGGGAAAATAATTAATGAGAGAATTACATTAGGTCCACGGATCCATCAGATTTCTTTCACTTCCAGGTTTTGATGATTTGCTGGTAGTCTGACATTAAAGACAGCAGTTCACAGTTACCAATGAATTGCACCTCTGACCTCTCCTAATCTCTTCCAGTGTAGCCCCCTTCTTGTCTCTGCCATCACATATCTCCAAGTGATTCTCCTATTGTATATCTGCACCGCATTGTATAGAATCATAGAATCATAGAATATAAGGGTTGGAAGGGACCCCAGAAGGTCATCTAGTCCAACCCCCTGCTCAAAGCAGGACCAATTCCCAGTTAAATCATCCCAGCCAGGGTTTTGTCAAGCCTGACCTTAAAAACCTCTAAGGAAGGAAACCCATGTCTGTGGGATCCAGGCTTCCGGACTCAGTGTTTCCAAATCAGCGCTTGAGTGTCTACACAGCATTATAAACCTGGGTTTACAGTTGCTGTACCCAAGTCTCTCAGCCATGCTAATGCATCATACTGCGCTATGCAGATCTTCTGATTCAGAGCTGCGGTTTCAGCTGTGTCCATATTGCAAAATGACAGGGCTTGGACCTGAGTTACAAGGGAAATCAAGTATCAGAAGAGGGGTAGCGATGTTAGTCTAGATCTGTAAAAGCGGCAAAGAGTCCTGTGGCACCTTATAGACTAACAGATGCATTGGAGCATAAGCTTTCGTGGGTGAATACCCACTTCGTCAGATGCAGGTTCTGACCAACACTCGTAGCAGGGTCCTAGAACTGGGTCCAGAGTGCTCATTGACCTGAGTCAGAGAGATTTGTGTGTGGACAGAAGGGGTGCTTGGGCTCAAACCTGAGTCAGACCCCAGGCTAAGTCTGCAATATAGAGCATACTCCTACTCTCGGGCCTGGCCCTGTGTTGCAGTCCCTTGGTGTTAACTATGATTTCCTCAACAGGTCTGGCTTATGCTCAGATATACATTTCTGAAGAAGGAAATGAGATGGCTAGTGAATCAGTACACATGTTAGAATTTTATCTTGGCTTGTGGATGAACTTCTGGCCCATGTCTTTAAAAGAAAAAAGACATACAAACTTCAGTTAATACCAGATTTTCAAAAGATTTTCCAATTCCTCTTTGAAATAGTCTTGTTTACACCACTAACTATACTGGGAAAAGCTGATACTGTGCTTTATGTACCCTCCACTGATTTGCTGCTGTGATATGCTAATATCTTACTCCATGAGAGAGAAGAAATCTTGCTTGTTTCAAATAAACGTGTATTATATTTTCAGTCAGAGCAGCTCTACAAAAATGTGCATTTTTTACTCTGCACACGATCTCTTGTTATAATTTTTTTCCCCAGTGGCGCAGAAAATGTTGAATTGGTGGTAACTTCCATTCTTGCTCCCTGAGGCTTTTTTTCCCTCTTGTCTCATCAGTCAGCCTGTCTTTGGGGGTGTATGGCAATGAGGGAGTTGCTGCTTACTTTACTTTGCAGCATTTAAACCTCTTACTGAGAAACTACAGTTGGCCTTTTTGGAAAGCTACTTGTCTAGCCTCGTGGCTGAAGTTTAATTGAAATGATCAATGGAGAAATTCGTGGCCTGTAAAGGATTTTGTGTACATTGGCTTTTGCAAAATGTGGGCATATACACTAGTATCTAGAAAGAGAAGGCTGCCTTCACAGAAAGATGCATTTCTTTTGTGGAGGTTGTGTGGAAAGTAGTAATTGCTCTGTCTCTGTATGTCTACTTCAGACAGCACTTGTACAGCGTTCTAAAGGATCAGGAGAGTGTGCACAGCTGTACTGTATATGAGTACTTTGAGTTCAGCTCGATGGCACTAATATTCTTATTTTTGCCCCAAATGGTGCTATATTTTGCTTTTAAATATTGGTAGGTATCATCTGAGTAGTTGTGTGGCTCCCCGAATAAAGTTCCACTTTTGGAGTTCGACCTGATTTTGGCAGTTGATTTCTCTCGCTTACCATATCTGGTTCTAACTAAAGGCTGTTGCAGGCTGGGTCCTCTAGTTGTTGCCCAGCTCTTCATTTTCCCCATAACCATTTACCATATGTTTCCCTGAAGTATCCTCCCTAGGTCAGACAGCTGATACCACAGAGCATCTCTTCATCAGCTGAAAGAGTGAATGAACAGCTCTTGGACTGAAAACTGCACTCTCTGCAAGTGAAATAATGACAGAAGGAGTCTATAGTAAAGGTTGCTGCTCCAACCCATCTGAGCATTTCCAGAATGTTACTGAACCAGAATAATCTATATAGCAGTATTGTGTGTTCTGGCCTTGCTGCTGTTTTTGTCTATAATTTTCTTCTTCTGAGCCTCTCTGATATTTTACACAAATCTTTTGAACATAGGGCGATCAACTGGTGAGAATGCATAATGGTTCCCTAGGGTAAAGTCTGGGCATGGCAGGACTCTGATACATTGATTGTGCCAACATAACAGTGCTGTGCTTTCTGTTTCTTTGCTTTTTAAAAATAAGTAGAGGAACAAATCTATTTCCTGGTTTGATCTCCAGAAACTAGTAATGATAAGGCAGCAATTATTCATGCACCAGCCAAGTGCCAGGAATCAGATGGATTGCTGGGGATTTCTGTCTGCCAGACCCCTTATTTTCCAGTTTTCTCACATGTAATATTACCATTAAATTTCTTATTTGTGTGTCTTGTATAATTAGGATACTGAAGAATTTCACTGTGGATATTTAGTAAATGGGCTTTAGTGGCTAGTTGTAGTTAATATTGTATGTATTTTTGGTTACTTTTGATGGATACCAGTGATTGTAAAAAAAATTTAATAGGGTAGCCCATACCTTAATGTAGAAAATATATTTTGGACCACCTTCTCCTTGATTTGGGATTGTACAGACCACTTCCCCCTAGTTTTTCTTACAGCAGTTACTTACATGGAAAAGTAACGTTAAGAAAACCATTTAATGTATTTTTAGCTGCCTTTCAACACAATTTAACAGCTGAGAACAAGGAGGAAGAGCTGGCACAATGTGACGAGGTGGTTTTTTTGTGGATCGCCAGCAAATGTTTGTGAACCACCAATAGCCCCAGTTTAGGAACATGTGTATTATAGTGGCTTGAAACAATGCACACAGATACACAAGATGTACTAATAAAAAAAATTAATTTGCATATGTTAATTATTTTGTGTATTTTTTTTTTAAAGGGTGGATGATGTACCTCCTGGAATATCACTACTTCCTGATAATATTCTGCAGGTCCTGAGGCTTCAGCTGCTACAATGTGTCCAAAAAATATCAGATGGACTAGAAGAGGGGCAACAAGCTCTCTCACTTTTGCTTGTCAAATTCTTTATTATACTTTGCAGGTATTTATTTGGTTGGCTGCTGCTTTCACCAGTGTATTGTCTGGGAAATCTTGATTCACTTAAAATGATATAGATAGAGATTTTTGATACGCATACAGTGTGACCAAACATTGCCCAGTAGAGACAGAGACTCTCCATATTGCAGTCAACACACATGGTATAATGAAACAAAAAACCAACAGTAATATGGATAAAGAAGGCCACAATAAGAAAGGGATTGAATGGAGAAAATGACAGCATATTATTTGTAATTAAACTGTGTATATGAACTTTCAAATTTATGTTACATAACAGAAACAAGATTTTTTTTTTAAAGCAGATTACTAATATGTTTTTGGCCATGAAATAATTTCCAAGGGAACTGTCCAGGGAAAGTTGATTCACATTCTTAACATATTTACATGTCCCTTAAATAGTTTAGGGAAATATTTTATTTTATATTACTGGCATCTTCTGAAACTTCAATCTTATTTTTTGTGATATTGCTTAACCATATACCAAACAACCATATAAGTAGAGGTCTAAAAATGTCCATTCCTTCCAAATTTTAAATTGTTCATTAACATAATTTAGAATACAACAGTTTTATCTCTAACAATGTCTATTGAGACAGAGCTGCTCTGATTTACACTCTGTGACTGTTCCCTGAGGAATATCTACAAAATGAGCAAAGCTCTCTCACTGGCCATGTCCACTCCTCAGTCACCTCCAATATGTCCCCAGGATGGGGTCTAGAAAGGACGCAACCCTACTCTGGCCAGAGAAATCTCCTTTTCCTGGGGGCATTCCTCAGGAGCCATTTCCGACCCTGTGGTCCTTTCACCCTGCCAGAACAATGAAAAAGCACTGTATGGCAAGAGACAGTTGTGCCCAAATTGTGTTAAAATTCTAAGGATAAGTTAAGGAAACAGTAGTAGCTGTAGCTTCAGATTTCTGTGCTTTGTCAATTTTAGTTAGTCATTGGAAAAAATATCCTTGTTTGTCGCTGAACTCTTTATTTTAGTTCACATGCCTCAAGGGTTGAGAAATATGTTGGTAACACCTACAATATGCAAGCAGGAGTGGTTTTCTTTTGTCTTTTATGATTTGTTTAGTTTTCTAAGAATATACACTCAGATGCTTATCTTTTTTGTAATTAAAACTGGTAATAGGCCTGTGGAAAACTCACTCGGAGTTTAGAAACCATTTGTGGCGAAGTCACCAGTTTTCTTCGTGATGTCAGAGGAATAATTGTTGTCTTCGGTATCAGATTCCATTTCTGAGTTCTTTGTTTATTTAGAATGCTCTGTGAATCAATTTAACTTCTGAAATCTGAGATTCCAGATAATACAGACATGGCTGGAGCTCTGACTGTCCTCTAATTTTCTTCTAGATGGAAGACAAATATGTATAGTATATTAATGTGTGATGAATAAACATTACAGTATATTATTTTTGTCAATATTTTAAAAATATTGACACTTGTGTATTTTATATTGATGCTTAAAAAAAAAAGCTTCAGAGGCCTGTTCAAATAATATTACAATATACAAACAACTGTGGCTCATGTTGCTCCTACAGAAATCTGGCTAATGTGGAAGAGATTGGGACTTGCTCCTACATTAACCATATCATCACCATGACTACACTCTACATTCAGCAGGTACGTGGAATTACAACTCTCATATACATTGCTGCTAGAAATACAGAAAGAGGATTGAGGGCTCAAGTTTGGGAGCTAGGGGGTCTGGATTTTCTTCCTAACTCTGCCACAAACTTCTTGTGTGACTTTAGGCAGGTCACACATTCTTTCTGTACCTCAGTTTTCCATCTTTAAAATCAGAACAATAATACCTACCCACCTTATTGCAATGATTTGAGGCTTTTTATTTATATATACAAAAGGGCTTTACAATCCTTAGTTGAGAGTAGTCTAGAAGAGCCAAGTATTCAGAATTTATTCTAAGTTGGATGAGTGTAGAATTTAATAAAAAGGCTGAAGAGAAGGCTCAATCATTGCATGTTTATATGTAGCGATCCCTGTTCTTGATCAGTAATGCATTTTTTTCATGGCTTATTTACAAGCATCTGAAAAGTCTTAAAAGAACAGTTTTAAAATGTGTTCTAAGCAATTGAAGTTAAAAGAATTATTTTAGGAGAATTGGTTTCTTTAGTTAGGAGGTGATTTCAATACTTCAGTTTATGTTGAAATGTCAGCCCTACTTAGGAAGTATTTGGGTAGGGAATATTTAAAATTGTGGAGGTCTGTTCCCCACAGTGTACATGTGAAATTGTCATTAGCGTCAGTGAATGTTATGCATGTATATCATGGAGATAGTAGAACCTTTGAGTTGATGATTATTTTTAGTGCACTGTATATTGCATATCTCAATAAAGCAGAAGGAATTGAAGCTTGGACTGGGATTTTCAAAGGAGCCTAAGTGAGACAGGTTCAAATATGCCATTGAAAGTCAGTGAGAATCGGATGCCCAACACCCTTAAGGTCTCTGGAGAATCCCAGCCTTAACTCCGTCGGTGGACTACTTTGTTCACAAAATTTGCGTTCCTAGAAGCATTCTGATCATAATTGTTTCTTTTCTCTCAGTTAAAAAGTAAAACAAAAGAGAAAGAAGTGGCAGATCAGTCGCCTGTAGAAGAGTTTGTAAGACATGCATTGGCTTTTTGTGAAAGTCTCTATGATCCGTATCGAAATTGGAGGCAGCAAATTGCAGGGTATGTAGTTACCTCATATGGTAAATTCTAATACTGTGAGGATGATTTCTTTAAAATATTACTATAGTTCTATTTAATGGTTTCAACACAACCATGGTCACCCCCCACCAAGCTGAAATGAGACATAATTACACTGATACACTTGTGCTCTTGCATTTTAGCAGTTACTGGTATTGGTAGCACTGAGGACTAGATATGATATCAATAAGCTTCCCCAAAGATATGTTCTGTATTGAAAACATGAATGAAGGAATCAAGAAAGTATCTCTTTGCACAAAAATCAATACTATGAAACAGATTGATAATTATTAGGGTTCTGTACTACACTGCCACTAGGAGTATTGGAGTACTAATCTATCCAATTCCATCAAATAAAAACCCAGTTTTGTTATTTGAAAGTTCTGGAGAGAATAGATAGCCAGGGTCCCAGCTGAAGACTTCCTGAGGTACATGTTTAGAAGCAGGTTAGCAATGTATGCTTTATGCTGGGTCCTAATCACCTGAAATAGTGTATGATTTTGCTAGAGATGCTACCTGTTCCTTTATTTTAGTACTAAAAATAGAGATTGAGAGGAAATAATTAATCTGTTACAAATCTTTACATATTCCTGCTTGCTTTTAAAACATTTATTAAACATTTCAAGTATACAAATTATTGTTTACAAAACAGATGTTGTTTTGTTAGCATTATTGTGGTATTCATTACCACAGTATCAAAACAAAATTTAAAAAGGCTCTGCATTTAGTTGGAAGCTGTTGCACTATGACCTCCATAGCTGAATCAAATATGTGCCCAATCTTCATCTGAAAATTTACTAGTAATAATTTCTTATAGTGGCTTTCCTGGTTTCCCAGAAAATGGTGCCTTATGAATCCATCAGTTTTTCCAAGGGATAACAAAATTTCCCTAATACAGCTGCCCAAAATATGGGGAAAGGAAGGAGATAAGTGGAGGAAAACAATAGAGAGCTCCTTATCAAATAAGATCCAGTCAACGGAGACCTCAGGCCCTGAGAGGAGTTCTAGTGAGGCTCTGAGTACTTCAAGAACCATGAAGCATGTTAAGACTCCAACTAAGTCCCATACCTCAGCAGAAAAGGGCTTAGTATGAAAGAATACTAGTACTAAGAGACGAGCTTCACTGGAATCAATCAACTGTGGAAAATTTACCTTTCAATGGCCAGAAGCTTTTTGCAGATTCTGTGGATGACTCACTTCATAACCTACTCTAGGGCAACGCTTAGGTCGTTACGGATATACATGCCTGCAAAAGGAAGTTTAGCATGTCTCAATCAGCACAAAGATCCTGCCCTGCTCTATTTTCCACCTTCCATAGGCCACTGGAATCACTGGCTTAAGAGGCTGAGGTTTTCAAAGAAAAAGCCTGCAACTACCTTGACTGCTTTATCTCAGCCTTTACCATCATGCGAACGCCAGTTTTGCTGGTTTGGTCATGAGACCAGACCACCCAATTACTAGGTTTTATCAGCTGCACGACACAACCCCCTTTTCTCAATTTGGTCACTGCCTCTCTATTTCATCAAAGATGGGAAGGTATAACACTGGACAAATGAGTATTGGAGGCCATTACTTCAGGTTATACTATCCAATTTACCTCCACCCTGCCGTTTCAACCCCTTTCCCCATCCCTTTTCAGGGACCTCTCTCAGAGCAGTTGCTGACCCAGGAGATCTCATCGCTCCAGAGTCTAGGAGCCATAGAGCCAGTTCCACTTCAATACAGAGGAAAAGGGTTCTATTCAAGATATTTTCTGATAAGTAAGAAAAATGAGGGTTGGAGGCCAATAGTACGTCTCAGGCAATTGAATAAGCATGTCCGACATTTGAAATTCAGAATGGTTTTCCCTAGCAGTTATAATTCCCTTCCTGCAATTTGGCAACTGGTTTGTGACCCTCAACCTCAAAAATGTCTATTTCTACGTAGTACTTCATCCTTATCACAAAAGATTTCTTCATTTCACTTTCAATTGCAATCATTACCCATACTGGGTACTACACTTTGGCCTTTCATCTGCCCCCACTGTATTCTCAAAAATCATTGTAGTCATAGCTACATACCTCTGTCATCTAGGAATAACTGTCTTCTCTACCTCAATGACTGGCTTCTCAAGAGTCGGTCATATCATGAGGTATGGTCAAGCAGTTCAAACAGGTTCAGGAAGGAAGGAAGATAAATCTCAAGAAATCGATCTTGACCTTCTACCCAACAAAATGTCTTTATAGGAGTGCTTCTGGATTCGATAATCGGCAAAGTTTATCTCCCACTCAACAGATTCCTTGCTTTAAAGAGCTCAGCCCTCAAGTTCCAGCAAGGACATGTCTGTAGCTGTAGGACACATGGCAGCTTGTGTTTTTGTGACACAAAATGCCAGGTTGCATCTTTGACATCTCCAGGGGTGGCTCAGTACTGTTTTTGTACCCAACAAACATATATATCTGTATCCAGTCAGGTTCTACAGTTAATCACCTAGTGGATGAATCCATCCAAAATTTATGCAGGAATCCTGTTCAGCTGGAATCCCCCTACATTCTTATTAACATTGGATGCTTACCTTTTTGGGATGGGGAGCCCATTTGGGCCCATGCACAGCCCAAGGCAAATGGTCACAACAGGAACAGCTCTTTCACATCAACCTGTTGGAATTAAGGGTTGTCAGAAATGCTTACCTCCACTTTCTTCCCTTACTCAAAATCAAGTCCAAAAAGATCATGCCAGACAACATAGCATGTGTGTAGTATATCAATCATCAGGGCAGAACACGTTCCCCCTCACTCTATACCAAAGCGATAAAGCTTTGGAACTGGCGCATAGCCAAGCGGAGAGTCATCTTGGCTTCTTACCTCCCATGGATACTGTTAGAAAGCTTATTCCTTCACTCTCCCACTTCCCTGGTCCTTCTCGCATGAACAGAGAGCAACAATACCCGAAGTCCGAAGGTGCAAAGAATTCGATGTTTATTGGGGTGAACTTCCAGCAAGCTTAAATACAAGTTCCTTTTTCCTTATTTTCGAATCCCAACTTACTTCCTGTTTGCCCCTAATTTATATAGTAATATTCTTAGCTATACCTTAACCAATCATTCTACTGAAATTTAACTAACCAATCCTAACATATTGTAACATGATTAGCTAACCAATTATATCCCACCACAATAATTAGATTACACCCAGCAAAATTAATTATACAGCAGACAGAAACAATCACAGAACCAGACAGAGATTATACAGACAAACAATAGCAAAGTGATTATAATGACAAAACAATACAGAAGTGAGGATTTCACATCCCAGCTATTGATAAGTGAGTTCTTGCCAGACAGGATGCTATCAAACTAAGTTTCCTTTTACATTTTCTAGGCACTTCCCTTTCTCTGGAGGTGATAGGAATACAATCCTGTCCTGATAGTGCCTGACAGCTCAATAGCACCTTATTTCAATGTGACTAGTTTGGAATGTGAGGAGGTGACCGGTCGCTTCCTAGCTTATGGCTGCCTCTGCTGCTTAGCCAAAGGCCTTAGCCTAAGAACAGGGCCTCAGACTGTCACAGTAAGAGAAGGACCTTACACTGGCAGACAGTGATTTTGATTCTTTCTTTTATACCTCTAACTCGCCAAGTGATAAGAATACACCTAAATTCTTAAAGTACAGGCCTTTACAGACAGGCCTGAATATCTATATCCTAACAGATACAGAAAACCATGGCAGATGACCTGAGTAGACATTTCTTTCCAAATGACGAATGGGAGTTGGACTCTCGTGTCCTCAACAAAATATTCCTAGCTTGTGGATTTCCAGAGGTCAACCTTTTTGCCATAACAGCAAACACAAAGTGTAGAAAATTCTGTTTTAGATGGAGATTCAATTCCCAATCTCTAAGAGACACTTTCCTCATTACATGGTGTGATGGGGTGTGCTTCCTACACTGGCCCTGCAAGATTGGAGTTAGGCCAGGTGGGCCAAATCAGCTAATTAGTCTGCAAATGGGAGCTTTAGGCTGGAGGTAGCTAATTAATGAGAACCTCACGTGTGAGGGATAGGTGAGGCTTCTACAATAGACAGGAAATTGGAAGCAGAGGAGGGGGCAGAAGTCTGCAGTCACTCCCTGGGAGAAGGAAGGAATGTTTGGGGGCTGCAGAGATGAGTTGCCTGAAGTTACTCCCTGGGAGAAGGGAGTGAAAAGACTGGCAAACCTCGGGGAGTGGTGAAGGCAAGGATTTATGGAAGCGGCTCAGGGAAAGGCAGCAAAGTGCAGGGAACAGACCTTGGCTGTTGTGTAGAGGATCCCTGAACTGGAACCTGGAGTAGAGGATGGGCCCAGGATTCCCCTGCCAGCCACTGCGGGAGTGGTATAGTGAGGCAGTGAAGGAGAAGACTGCCTGAGACTACTGGAGAGCAGGAAACTTCATACAGTTCCCCCCCTTTGTCCCCTCGGGAAGGGGGAAACCACAATAGCGTTTGGAGGGCTGAGTAATGAAGAGGACAGCTGCGGGTCCTGAGAGCGAGAGAGGGGCTACAGAGGAGAAGCTAATGGGATGTAACCACTGGAAGAAGCATTGGCCTCTCTGAGCTAATCCTTAGAACTGCCAGGACTTGGCGCCATCCAGTGGTGAGTAGAGCAACCTGTTACACATGGACAAAGGGTATTTTCTGTGCATATCCTCCAACTCCATTGCTCTTAAATGTCCTTAAGATCAGAAAGGACTAAACCAAAGGCATTTTGATTGCACCAACTTTGCCAAGAAAAGTTTGCTTTCCTTATTTCTTCAAACTCACCTCTTGCCCTCTGTGGTGGCTCCCGATCAAACCTCGACTATTGTCTCAGCTTGTGGGTCCGACGCTTTACCCCAGTTTTAACGTCCTGCAACTACAAGCTTGGTTCCTTAATGGTTCTCAGGCCTAGAGATCACATATTCATTGGAAGTACAAAAGATACTCTTAAATAGCCGAAGGGAATCCACTAGACATATTTACCTTCAGAAGTGGAGAATATATAACCTTTGGTGTAACTGGCACCTTTTTTCCCCCATCCGGTTGTCTCTTTTCTCAGTCTTGGATTACCTATTGGAATTGAAAAATTAAGGCCTTTCTGTGAGTTCCAGCAAGGTTCATTTCGCAACAGTAACAGCTTTCCGTATGCCAGTGGAAGGTTTCTAGGTGTTTGCTCATCCAACCATCACAAGATTCCTAAGAGGACTTATTAATCTTTTTCTGCATATTAGAGCCCCTGCACTGCTTTAGGATCTCAGCCTGGTTCTTAACTGTCTCATGAAACAACTCTTTTAACCATTAGCAATGTGCTCACTGTTACATCTGTCTATGATGAAGACAGCCTTCTTGGTGGCAATCACTGCTGCTTGAAGGATTGGGATGACTCTAATGGCAGACCCCCCCCTTTACTTTGTTCTCCAAGGAGAAGGAATCCTTACAGCCTCATTGAAAGTTCTTACCTAATGCGTCTTCTGAATTTCATGTCAACCAAGCTAGTCACCTTCTGTTTTTTCTTTTTCCCTAAGCTGCATGAGTCTACACAAAAAGTCTGCTTTTTATATGCTAAATGCTGAGGGTGTTAGGCTTTTACTTGAACAGAGAGACTGCTAGACTCTTTGTTTCTGTAGCAGATAGGCCTAAGGGAGTGCCAGTCTGGCAGTCTCCGCTCAGAGACTTTCTGAATTGATCTCTGGATGTATTATTGCCTGTTACGGTTTTGCTGAGGTTACACCTCCCCTAAAAGTGACTGCATGCTCTGTTAGGGATCACAGTCTACATCTGTAGCTCTACTCAAAGATGTTCTGGTTGCTGAAATCTGTAGGGCTGCACCATGCTCCTCCTTGCCAGTGTTTTCCAACCACCAAGCCCTAATTCATGTTGCAAGATCGGATGTGGCAATAGACAACGCAGTTCTTTCTTCAGTAATGGACTCTTTTCTGAAACCCCCACCCCCTTAAAGGGTTACTGCTAGGGAGTCACCAAAAGTGGAATACCCGTAAGGACACTACTTGAAGACGAAGGAGAGATTTAGATAGTGGCATTCAGAGTACACTTATAAAGTTTGCGGACGTTACCGAACTGGGAGGGGTTGCAAGTGTTTTGGAGGATAGGATTAAAATTCAAAATTATCTGGACAAACTGGAGAAATGGTCTGAAGTAAATAGGATGAAATTCAATAGGGACAAATGCAAAGTACTCCACTTAAGAAGGAACAATCAGTTGCACACATACAAAATGGGAAAGGAGTACTGCGGCAAGGGATCTGGGGGCCATAGTGGATCACAAACTAAATATGAGTCAACAGTGTAACACATGTTTGCAAGAAAAGCAAACGTCATTCTGGGATGTATTAGCAGGAGTATTGTAAGCAAGACACAAGAAGTAATTCTTCCTCTTTACTCCACGCTAATTAGGCCTCAACTGGAGTATTATGTCCAGTTCTGGGTGCCACATTTCAGGAAATACATGGACAAATTGGAGAAAGTCCAGACAAGAGCAACAAAAATGATTAAAGATCTAGAAAACATGACCTATGAGGGAAGATTGAAAAAATTGGGTTTGTTTAGTCTGAAGAAGAGAAGACTGAGAGGGGACATGACAGCAGTTTTCAAGTACATAAAAGGTTGTTACAAGGAGGAGGGAGAAAAATAGTTCTTAACTTCTGAGGATAGGACAAAAAGCAATGGGCTTAAATTGCAGCAAGGGTGATTTACGTTGGACATTAGGAGAAGCTTTCTAACTCTCAGTGGTTAAGCACAGGAATAAAGTGCCTAGGGAAGTTGTGGAATCTCCAATGTTGGCGATTTTTAAGAGCAGGTTGGACAAACACCTGTCAGGGATGGTCTAGAATCTAGATAATACTTAGTCCTTCCTTGAGTGTGGGGGACTGGACTAGATAACCTCTCAAGGTCCCTTCCAGTTCTAATTCTATGCTTCAGACTCTGTGATTCTTATATTTTTGCAGGACACACGAATTCTGGTTTCATGCAACAGGACATTAATTGACACCACAGTTCACATGGTGGTCCTTCTCCATACTACAAAAGTATTTTCAAATTTAACATATCTAACGCATCTTATTGTCTCATTGTTTGTGCTTATACATTTTAAATGGGTAGGAGTTTTCACTCTCATAATGTTTTGTTTAATTAAGGTACAGAAGTTCACAATGAATCATAAGAATTAAATACTATAGAAACAATATTCTATAACAATAGTTACCTGAATGTGTAAAATATGCAATTTAAATACATTTGTACATGCAAACAAATACATATCACATACCCATGTATTATAAAGGAAAAGACTGAACATTTATCTAGAGGGAGATTGATTGCAACTGATACACTTCAAGCTCTCAATGTCTTTCTCTGTTCTAAAAACTGAGCTATTTTTTCTGAATTGGTAGAAGATGGAAGCCAGAATGAACAGAGAGAAGTATGACAGAAGGAATCATTTTGGTTTTATGAGATTAAAATGCTAATATAATCACTGTTGAAATAAAAATGTAAGAGCAGTATCAGTGAGTAATTTTCCTTAAAATTACATTTTTTCCATAATAAACCCCTCATAAAGTTTTTTGCCCATTTTCAAATTGCATGGTGTAGAAATTTGGCAGTAAAATTGGTGGCTTGGTTGCTGTAATTAAGATCAAATAACAGATTTCTCTTTTTAATAAACCAAAACCATATTGTAAATGTTAAGCCATTTTAAGTGTGGAGTAGCGAACACATGACTAGCTGTGCCTCAGTTTTCAGGATGAAAACACTTATTCTTTCTTTTTGATGTTGTGGGATAAAGATACTGTAGTTTGTTTCTGCAGTGTATTTATGACCTATGCAGAAATAAACCTTGGTGCCATCTCTAACTTCTCTCATGTATCATTATTTTGATTGTAGGCGACTCTTGAGTAGTGTTGAAAAGAGCAGACAGAAATATAAACCAGCCTCCCTCACAGTGGAATTCATCCCTTTCTTTTACCGTAAGTCCTATTGAAAGTGTGTGTGTTACTGATTACCTTTCAAGGACCATATTTCTTGGTGCCGTAGTTCTAGTCCCACTGTAAACATTTGATAAGTGCCAAAAGCCACTTGCTTCCTTTCCAAGGTGAGGGCTTATTGACGTTTGATCTACCTCTTTTTGTACCAAAGAATTTGGCTTTGTTTGGAGTGCCATCATGCCATCATCATCCGTGGTATTGTGGACTTTCTTAGTGTGGATCATTCAAGCATTTTCATGGTGCAGCGTACCATATTTTAACAAAGAAATGGTCTCATGGCTCACCTACTGTCTCATTTGCTGTGGCACATGCAACCTGCCTCTAGGACATACAGTAATTGTAGGACACTCTACAAAGTTTTGTCCTGTCCTTCAAAGGTAGGAAGTACTATGCAAAAGAGCTTTGTGGATGAATGGCAACAGAATGTCCTGAACTCAACGCTCTGAATTGTTAAATGCGCTCAGCTGCATGCGGCCAAAACATTTGTTGATGTCGCATAACTGCCAATAACTGCCTCCTCTGTTAGTTTGTATCTACTGAGAGATGAAACCTCCCATGTTCTGTTCTTGTCCGAGCTACTTTTTTTAGTCATCTCTTAGGCTTTGTCTACACCAGAAAGGGTTTGCATGACACAATTATGTCAGCAATGCAGGTGCAGCTTGTATCAGCAAAAATAGTTATTTTGCTGGTATAGTTTATATCAGTTCCCCAAACAAAATAAACTGTACTGGCAAAAGGACACTTTTGCTGGTACATCTGTGTCTACCTTAGCGCTTTTGCCGACATAGCTGTGTTGGTTGGGGAGGGTGATTTTTTTCACATATCTACCTGACATAGCCATGCTAACAAAACTTTTAAGTGTAGGCCAACTGACTTCAGCCTTCTAAAACAGTTTTTTTCTCAGATTTTGTTCAGATAGTTCTTCCTATTAATAACTTACAACAATAAGGTTTTTCTTTTTATGCATAAATAAGAAAATGATATGCTATACATGAAAGTTTAAAAAAAAAAGCTGTATATGCAATGGATGTTATCTCCCTGTTTTAGGCCCAGATTCAGGAAAGCCTCTTTATTCAGGACAGGGGAGACTGAATTGAATCCATTGGCGCTTAAGTGCATATCGAAGTGCTGTCCTAATTTGGTGCCTTAATGAATGCTCCCTTACATTTCTTTCTGATAATAAAATCAATAAATCCTTGTGAACAAATCTCCGCTGTTGCCCAGTTCATTTATCCACCCATCAAACTTCCTTGAATAGTTGAAGATGAGTTTTGTGTTTCTTCATTTCTCATAAGAAGGAATTGATGGTATAGGCAGTTACTGTCTATTATGCCTCCCCAGCAGGTAAGAGGAACAACTGGCATATGAGTCATATTCTAAGGTTGAGGTGTTTCAGCCTAATTATGGGCAGAAACCATGTATTGAAGAAAGAAAAGGAGGACTTGTGGCACCTTAGAGACTAACCAATTTATTTGAGCATGAGCTTTCGTGAGCTACATCTGAAGTGGCTGTAGCTCACGAAAGCTCATGCTCAAATAAATTGGTTAGTCTCTAAGGTGCCACAAGTACTCCTTTTCTTTTTGCGAATACAGACTAACACGGCTGTTACTCTGAAACCATGTATTGAAGAGTGGGGATCTGGTATAAATGCTACCTTCTGTAAACAATGATTGCAGGTAATTCTTTTTTTTTTTCTTCTTCTTTTTCTTTGTATGTATGGCAAAATGCACTAGTATGTAAGAGCAAAAGAGACTGCTTAGAATGAATGGGAGAAATAAAAATAGCTACCAACACTTCATCAGGTTGGAGTACTTCTCCATATACTGTTAAAGTGGGCTGATGGTTTTAGTATATGCTTGGCACTAATGTTAAGCTAGTTCCTCTTACATAGACGTGTTTTTTTATTTTAGCCTGCATTGAATTATTCTAGTATTTTTAATTTGTTTTTTGTTTGACTATTTAGGCTCTTTAAAAGTGACATTTTAACTGCTGGCTTGTGACATTATTGGAAGTTTCTTACAGGGCTAATTCCAAACAAAATAATCCTTTGTGGTTTAGGTTGCAGCTCCTCTGTGTGTCTATGGTTATTGCTATAGCAACAAGTTCCAGGTTAACATTTACTGCTCAGAAAAATTCCTAAGGCTGTTTGTAAGTGGTTTATGTCAAGTTACGGTATGAACAAAGATGCAGGAAAAGGGAACTGTGAATACCACTATTGCAATCAATAGTTTTCCCAGTGACTTTATAACCGGAGCAAGATCAGGCAGTTTGGGACTGTTTCAGCTGCACTGAAATCAGTGCGAGCCTTTCCATATTGGATTTTTTTAAGCCTCTTTATAAGTGGTACTTCACTTTCTTTTGAGGAGAGAGATTAAAAGATATGAGTCTCCTTATTTTGGGACACAAATCACTTTTTCTCTTATTTCAATAGAATGCTTTCAAGAAAGTGAACATCTCAAGGAAAGCCTCAAGTGTTGCCTGCTACATCTCTTTGGAGCCATTGTGGCTGGTGGACAGGTGAGGAGAATATTGGAAAATATTATAAAGTAATCTCAGCTATTACAACCTGTAGGGTTCATCTTCTGTTCCTCATGAAAACTTTATGGTTTATGGATTATAGGGTATCTATCAAAAGACAAGAGTGTATTGCAGAACAGACTGTATCAACAATATGAATATGGATTAGTTGGTTGTGTGTATTACTAGGATTGGGACTTCATTGTGCTTAGTGCTATGTTAGACTACTAAGAGACAGTTCCTGCCCCAAAGAGTAGTCGGGAGTTGTAATAACTGTATGCACGTGTGTATATGTGTCCTTCTTCCATGGACATAGCTATCGCCTCTCGTGGAGGTGAATTAACTACACCAACGGGAGAAAATCTCCTGTTGGCGTGGTAGCATCTTCACTGAAGTGCAACAACAGTGGTGCTGACACAGCGTTTTAAGTGCAGACCCGCCCTAAAACTAAATATGTTTTTCTCTGCTGGCACAATGAGCATAGTGTACTAAATTAAAGAAGTGTTTATGTCTGCTCGGTGCCAAGAAATTTAGAAAGGAGTACAAGAAAAGACTGGAATTGCAGTGTGCTTCCACTAAATCATTTGGTCTGGCATTACTGAGGAAGGAATTTGAAGTATACCTGTGTAGCATAAGTGGCACAGAATATATGTGTGGGAAAGGGAAATGAGATCAGATGAGGAGTGGGATTAATCACTGATTTGGATTTGATTTGAACATCAGTCTCCTGTTCAGAATTTCTTGGATACAGCTTTGAAAAAAATGTTGCTGTCTGATTATGTGATGCTATAATGTGTCATGCCCATTCTGTCAAGTCATGTGATAAGTATTCAAAAGCAGCCTGCTAGCCGGGGCTTGGCGTGAGTGAGCACCATTTTAATTTTTTTTAAATAACTGACAGGAGGGAGGTATGGGAATTTCTTCTTTCTGTGCAAGTCTAGTCCAGTACAATCTGACTGCAAATTATAAGACGACACCTGTCGAGGCAGAATAAGGCACTTTGATGCTTACCCGGTTTATCTTGTAAAAGGTTAACAGAGAGCACTGTGTCTTTAGAATAGTAACCCAACCTCAAACAAAAACACCACCGGGAGCTCTGGAACAATGTGCAGAACAGAAGAGGCCTTAAAAAGAAAATCAATTCTCCTTGAGCAAAGAGAATTTACATGGTCCTTGCTCACCACTGTAATACAGTATGTACTCCAATCACAGATAAAGATTGCTCTGGGTAATACAGGAAGGCTAGTGTTCTTAAAATGTTTATCATTAGTTAATTTTGTTTTAGGTTAAAATTCTGAACTAATTAAGAAATTTGGGGATATGTGCAAATGGGGGTCTGTATGAAAGTCTGAACTTAAACTGTACTCTAAATTCTGCTATGGCAAAAGACGTTTTCCACAATAGAATATGTATATTATCAGTATCACTTTGAATAATTCAAATGCATACTAAAATTAAAAGCCTGTAACCAAAATAAGTATCCCTTTCACATTGAAATCAATGTATATTAGACATATGGCTAAAGAATATTAATTTAAAAACAGGAGAAAAAAAAATCCTAATCCCCCTCTACCCCACTCCAAACCGTGCTATTTCACCTTTAAGGTTACAGATTTAAACACCAAAAAGTCAAGATATGCAAAAGCTGAGGTTTAGACATTGCATACATTTATGTATAACATGAGTGGGTTAATATTACTAGAAAATTTTTATTGCATTTCTTTCAGAAAATTTTTATTAAAATATGTAACCCTAATATGTCATTAACAGGGTTTTTTTGTCTGTACATACATTATGTATTCACGATATATAAATATATGCTTTGAAGCCATTAGGCCTAATTGAGTAGAATGACCAGGATTTGGCCCAAAATTTATATTATTCAACACAATCATAGTTGACTGAGGAGCTAAATTAAAAATGCTCTTATTAGTACTATATTTATTAGAGTTCAGATATCTTGCACGATGCAAAAATGAAACTTGTTGATTTTAAGTATTGGAAGAGGCTAGATATCCTCAGATTAAAGTAAAATTCTTTTTATTGTGGATTTCAGAGAAATGCTCTTCAAGCCATATCTCCTGCCACCATGGAAGTCTTGATGCGTGTTTTGGCAGACTGTGACACTTGGGATGATAGGGATCCTGAGGAAGTGAGCAGGAAGGCAGAGCTGACTCTTAAGTGCCTGACAGAAGTAGTGCATATCCTTCTCACCAGTAGTTCAGACCAGCGGCAAGTGGAGACCAGTACCATACTGGAGAACTACTTCAAGTTGCTTAATTCAGACCATTCAGCATTGCCTAACTCCAGGAGATCCAGGCAGTGGGAGAATAGGTTCATTGCACTACAAATCCAAATGCTGAGTGAGTGATATATCCGGACAATTCCTCTAAATCTGTTTTGTTAAAATTTTCGTAATTTTTTTTAAATGAAGTGATTTAAGCAAGTATAAGTATAATTATTCAAGTGCGTTTTCTCTGTTATTTAGGTAAGAAATTGAGAATTTTTTTGTTGTTGAAATTGATTCAAATATGTTCCAATTTGCTTTTAATTCAAAAAAATATTAATCAGAATGTACTGGTTACTTTTTGGCTTAAGGATGTCAGCCTACAAACAGTTTAGGGGCAACAAAAAAAGATCAGAAGATGTAGTACCTGTTATGGACTTCCATTGAGAAGTTATTTGACAACAACTTCCACACAACAGTATCTGGGAGATTTCAGTTAACCCCTATAAAAGGGATAAAAAGGGAATACCTGGAATATATGAGCGATTCCAATGTGGTAGCTATTTGTAATTTTTAGTTGTGTAATTGGAATTATTGCATAGAACCACAGAAATATAGGACTGGAAGGGACCTCGATAGGTCATTTAGTCCAGTCCCTTGCACTGAGGCAGGACTAAGTTTTATCTAGACCATCCCTGACAAGTATTTGTCTAACTTGTTTTTAAAAACTTTCAGTGATGGAGATTCCACAACCTCCCTAGGTTGCATACCTTAGATGAGACAATAGTCTTAAACCATAGGATATAATTAATTGGTTTGCATTCATTTATGATTTGTATTTTTTAAAGTTGATGTAGAGAATGGGAAGACGTAAATAAGGGCATTTCTTGCCCACCAATACTTTCATTTTCTCAATGTTTTGATATCCGTGTGAGATGATACTGACTGTTGGCAAATGAAATAGGACTGCTTCAGAATGTTGAGGAATAACTGGCTGATGAGGAAGCAAATATTTATACATGTTTTAAATAAGAAGGCATGCTTTTTATATACGTGCAAATGACAGTGATTTTTAAACTGAGCCTCAGAACAATTGAAGCTATTCTGTAGCTGAAGTTTCCTCCAGATAAACAGTAGACTACATGTTGGTTTCTGCTGCTTCAGAATGTTTTGCTCAAGGCCTGGTGTTTTGTGCTGGAATTCACTTCCTTGTTTATCAAAGCATTCATCATTTTTTAACTGCTTCTCAGTGCATAAAATTTTTCCATGGAGCCTTCTATGTAGTGTTTCTAAATTTGTCAACAGTATAATGTTAAAAAAAATGCTTAAGGATTAGTGTAACTATTTATTTTTGTGATTTTTATTTTGATAGACGCCATCACAGCCATGTTAGACTGCACTGATAGGCCTGTTCTGCAGGCCATTTTCCTTAACAGTAACTGCTTTGAGCATCTCATCCGATTGCTGCAGAACTGCAAGGTACATTTTTTCCATAATTAATAACTTCTTATTTCTGATCTCAGCAAAATGTCGTGCTTCTTGTAAGAGTTCTGCTTTGTAAATCATCTTTGTGTCTTGGCTCTAAATTAAATATAATCCTTGTGAGTATCAAGTATGACTTGTACCACTGACCTGGTGAATGTTTCAGAAGCTCTAAATATGTGTAATTTATGAAGTAGAAGTACATCTTGTCTTCAAAATATATTAACCATAATAATACAATATGCTTGTATTGATGATAAGGCACTAAGTAGTGAATGCTCAAATTTCTCTTTGAGAAATGCCTGTATATACTCCTAATCCGTCTCTAACTTTTGTTTAGCTTGGTGTCAAAATCAGTCTTTCATACTATGAGAAGTCACTTATAACTGTTAGCAGATGGTGGATTGATTTCTAATTTCAGGGATGCATTTCTCCATTTCATAGAATCGTAGAAGATTAGGGTTGGGAGAGACCTCAGGAGGTCATCTAGTTCAACCCCTTGCTCAAAGCAAGACCAACTCCAATTAAATCATCCCAGCCAGGGCTTAGTCAAGCCGGGTCATAAAAACCTCCAAGGATGGAGATTCCACCACATCCCTAGATAACCTATTTCAGTGCTTCACCATCCTCTAGTGAAATAGTTTTTCCTAATATCCAACCTACACCTCCCTCACAGAACAAGGAGTGAAGGTCTCAAGTTGCAGTCATCTACCACCACTGAGAACAGCCTAGCTCCATCCCCTCTGGAACCCCCCTTCAGGTAGTTGAAGGCTGCTGTCAGATCCCCCCTCACTCTTCTCTTCTGCAGACTAAATAAGCCCAGTTTCCCTTAGCCTCTCTTCATAAATCATGTGCCCCAACCCCCTAATAATTTTCATTGTCCTCTGCTGGACTCTCTCCAATTTGTCCACATCCTCTCTGTAGTGGGGGGCCCAAAACTGGACGCAATACTTCAGGTGAGGCCTCACCAGTGCTGAATAGAGGGGAATAATCACTTCCCTCAGTCTGCTGGCAGTGCTCCTACTAATGCAGCCCAATATGCCTTTAGCCTTCTTGGCAACAAGGGCACACTGTTGACTCATATGCAGCTTCTCATCCACTGTAATCCCCAGGTCCTTTTCTGCGGAACTGCTGCTCAGCCAGTCGATCCCCAGCCTATAGCAGTGCATGAGATTCTTCCATCTTAAGTGCATGATTTTGCACTTGCCCTTGTTGAATCTCATCAGATTTCTTTTGGCCCAGTCCTCGAATCTGTGTAGGTCACTCTGGACCCTATCCCTACCCTCCAGCATATCTACCTCTGCCCCCAAGTTTAGTGTCATTCGCGACTTTACTGAGGGTGCAATTCATCCCATCATCCAGATCATTCATGAAGATGTTGAACAAAACCGCCCCCATGACCAACCCCTGGGGCACTCTGCTTGATACCAGCTGCCAACTAGACATCGAGCCATTGATCACTAGCCAGCTTTCTTAAAAAAAAGAAAAAAGAAATCAATCACTGGTGTTCAGTTGCAAGGGTTTCAGAATATTTGGTCTGAATTCCTGCATAGCTGAGATTAGGAATGAGTTTAATTGGTTACAAAATGCTCTTCTTGGACGCCTTTTCTTTCTAGAAAGGACATAGTATTCATATTTCCTACTTTCTCTGGTTCCATATTAATCCCAGATGACCATTGATTGTAAGCCAGTGCCTTTCACTGAAGTTGTTATGCTTTTATAAGATAAATTTTTCCCAAATAGAAAAGGACATAAATATGAATACTGCTTAACTTCCTGGAGTTTTATATTTCATTTCTATTTTGTCTTCACAGTGCATGTTGTTGACGTGGCTGTATTGAACACTTCTAGATAATTTCATGCTAGCTAGAAAGTGTGAATTATTGTACAATATTCCATTTAGTTAGAAAATATTTGAATGCAACAGTACTTTAAAATGCCCACGTGTACATTTTGACCTAGTCTTTTTTTCTTTGATTTAAGTCAGGGACAAAATTCTGATTGACTTCAGTGGGAACCGCATTGAGTGTGTTGTATAGTTTGTGTTTTTAACTTCTTTTAAAAGTACTTTATTTGTCCTTTCCAATGTTTTTTTGCACTTCCTTTTGGGAGTCTGTACCTGTTTCTCTACTAATCTTATACTCTTTGCAATGCTGCTGTAAAAGAGAGATTTATGTTTTTCTAGTCTGATTCTTACATTATCATACAATGGTATTATTTAGCTGGTTCATGGGCACTCTAGGCCTGCTCCTACTCCCATTGACGTCAAACTCCCATTGACTTCAATGCCAGCAGTATTATGGCCTATGTTTTAACCATTCTTCTCTCCTTGAATTTCACTCTACCTTTTTGTCATCAGAACTGTTCACCAAGTTACATCTCTGTATTGTATATTGGCTTGTATATTACTATTATTATTACATGGAGGGTTTCTTTGGTGTTGTCAAATTTGTGCAAGTGGTTTGCTTTTTTACACTCTGAATGACCCCAAGGACAGGGTCATGTGTTTTCCACAAATAGTACAATGCTCTTCAAAGGCTGACAACAAAGATGAAGTCAGTTGTAAGGTTAGTACATTTCTTTTGTCAAATGCCTCCACTAACAAGGTAGAATCTTGCTAAAAATAATTTTCCTCATTCTTGAAAATCTGTCACACTTCTGGGTTCGCTAGTGACACCCCCAGTGTATAACGCCACAGATAACAGAAGAGTCAGCAGTTGTTCTTGACACAATAGAATGTGTTGTGTGTCTATGAACCTGGAGACCAGGAGACTTGCAGAGAGGGGAAGGAGTGAAAAAAGAAGTCAAAACTGATATCTATTGTGAATACTCCTAGGAGCCACATAATAGAGGCATATTTCTGATCTTACCTCAGAATTGTCTTCAGCTTTGCAGATCGTCTTCAGAGAAGATAGACGAACTTCAGCTGAAGAATTCAAAGCTTATGGAAGAGAGAGGTCTTCTCTTGACTTTTTTGGGGGGCTGGGGACCCTAATCATGAGGTCTTTTTTGAAAGCTGTTTGTCCACTTCAGATGTTGATCTGAAACCCAGTTTATCTGATCTGAAGCCCAGTTTATTCAGGAGTGTCCCCTGAAATGTTGAGGTAACTGAGGTTTCACTTTATATCTGTTGAAAGGGGTTTTATTCGTACACTAAGAACATCTGCCACCACTTCTTCATGTATCTTGAACATTTTATATTGATGGGAAACTTTGCTTAAATATAGATCAGATTTGGAGAATAGCAGTAGTTACTATGCTGAGCCTTACGTGGGCTGAAGAAAACATTATTATTCTATGAATCATCATCTGGATACAAGAATTCAAAACCAGAGAGAGCCATGTACTTGAGCATTTTAATAAATACATGGTTTTAAAATCTCTAGTTGCTTATTTTTCTCATTATATATCTGTTATGGGAAATGAGTTAGAATGAGTTTGTTTTTTCTGTGTCTATTCTTGCCTCCTGTTCATAATTTATCTTCAGTTGCTAATGCTCTAATTCTCTCAACATATTATAGCTATTCTGTAGTGTTACCAAAAGTATAACAGCTTTGGTCATGACAGATGCCTTTCAAACTAAGCAATGTTTCTAACTTTGTGGGGTTTTTAATACTTTTGTAACACAGAGTAGTATCTTTGATTGTTGTCTTGTGTTTGCCCTTGATTACTGTGTGGGGTTCCATATACTGAACACACAATCTTCAGTGAGCACAAAAGAAGTGGTTTTAAAAAGTAGTTTTTCACGTACCCTTTCATTTTTCTGATGGATATTTTCTCTGAAATGTGACAAGCTGTCAGTCTCCTCTGTTTTCAGAAGTCTTTTTTTAATTACTTGGTCTGATAAACTATGTATTTCTAAGAGCTTCTTAACTTGCAATCTAAAAGCAGAAGAGGGCAAAGCTTCAGAATAGATACAGCTTTGGGTGACTGAGTTAAAGTTCTTGCCAAGCTGCCAACTCATCTGGATGACTGAAAATTTCCCACCATCCTTCCAGTCTTGAAGATTGTGTCCCTCGCAAAGCTGCTGCCATCGCTATCTCTGGATTCTGAGTTGTTGATTTGCAGGCTTCCTTAGATTGTTAGTGTCACTTAAGTCCTCCTACAAGATGAAACATAAGTAGAGAAACTAGGAGGCTGTGCTTCCCCCTTCCCTTTGCGTTTCTAACGTCTTACAGTCGTCCCCCCTCCTTTTTTTAATGTGAATGTTGAGAGCCTCCAGTCCTGCACTTAGTCACCATGCATCTAAGAACACTGGGCCAATAACAAAAATAACTTGTAATTAGTACCATTTCCGTGTCTCAGCAATTACATCTTTTGTTTTTTGCTGGAAAACAGAATAAGCTAATGAATATTTAACAATAGTTTGATGTAATATTGGAAGAATTAACAAAAGACTGATATTTGTTAAGAATTGTGTAACTCACCAGTGTGAGATCATGTATGCTGTATGTGAAACATAAATTCATCCCAGGCTTCACGATAATAGCTGCAGGTAATGTTTAATATTCCTCTTTCCGTTATTCTTGTCTCTGTTTCTAACAGCTGTTTTTAAATGCTAACAATAAGGTGGCAGACAAGAGTGAAAAAGACCTTGCCAACAAATTACTGACCGAAATGAATGGGGACCAGGTACCTACACAATTTTGCTTCACTTGAAGCCAAGACAGAGTAGCACTCAGTGGGAAAAGTGATTCCTGTACTTTACCTTATCCAGATGGATGAATTCTGACTGCTGCACAGACCTATGCTTGTTGTCTTTGGAAAGTAATCTTTTATGATAAGCAAATTACACCCATGATTTCACATGTATGGAGATGCTTCAAGTTTTAAAAATATTAGGTACAAATTGTGCTCCTTTTAATCTGAGGAGGGTGAAGTACAGGAATAGAATCCCAGTATCAATGCTATCAACCTGGTGGTGATTTCGTTTTTTCTTTTTTGCTTCTTTGTCTCCGCACGGTGGTCTATTGGGTTCTGGGGCTTTGTTTGTGAATCTGTATGGTTGTAGTTGATGTCCTGATTCTTTGCTTGTCATCAAGAACAGATGTTCACAATACAATGGACAGGCTGAATGTGGGAGGTGAGAAGAGTCTGTTGTCTTGAATTTCCATTAGCATAATGGAAAACATCAAATGCAAATTCTTATTGTACCACTCCGTATAGTAGTATGGAGGATGTTACTGATTTGTTCTCATTTAAATAGATAATGCATTGCTGAGCACAGGAAAGTATGTAGTCTAGAAATCTTGATTCTGTTTAAAATAGCCAATTCTATTGGTAACTCAGTGTGAGGATCTGCATGTAAACATTTATTCACTAACATTGTCTTCTGATTTTGACTTCTCATTGTCCAATATGCAATATAGTATTTCAGAGGCTGTAAAGTTGATCAGTGGAACTATGCAAATGAACAGACTCCATGTGACAAAGGGACCAGCTGGTATATGGCACATAATTTTCTGTTAATAAATTATCATGAAAAATATCAGTATTCAGAGGAATTAACTAATAGAAAACATAAAAGGGAAAGGATTATTTGAGACTCATTGGGTTTGGAAGCAGTGTTTCATCCTCTGGGATGGATGTAAGAGACGATGAAGTTATTGGACTGTGCTGGTATAACTAATCACTTCTAATGTGTGTGTGTGTTGCTTTGGTATGTGCAGGAGCCTGCACTGAGATTAAAATGATGATCATCTCCATTTGTTTAAAGAACTGATTGTCAGAAAGCTATACATCTGCAGTGCACACATACAGTACAAGGGGTTGGTTACTTCCTTTTCCTCCCTCCCTCTTGAGATTGTCCATTAACAGCATGAGGAAAGTTTGTACATTTGTCCATCAGAACCTTTTACTGTAATGTGTGTGAATGCTTCTTTCCTCTTCTTGAACTACATGGCTAGTTTTCTGTCATTGTGTCCTTTCTTGTAGGTTGTGGTGTCATGAAATCCATGTTGGTGGGGAGATGATTGTAAAGCATGTTAATTAACTTTGGTTTTCATCCAGGCAGAAGTGCGCAGAATATCCTTCAGAGCAGAATTCTATTTAATATGTTTGTAAATAACACCTGCCTCTGTTGCTTTCAGGTGTTTCAGGGACAACTAGACTGCTTGGCAGTATCCACCATTCAAGCCCTTACAGCAGTGTTGCACAAATCTCCAGCTGCGAAGGTAAGCATACACACTCATAGGTCTGTTTATGGCAGCCATCTTTCTCATTTCTTGTTAAACATTTTAATGTAAAACCTTGAAGAATTGTTCTTATGATTATTATTATTTATTGACAGTGTGCCACAACCAGATCAAGAAACACTTTGTGCTTTTCTTCCTCCTGCTCTTCTTATGGACAACATCATAATTTGGGCTGGACATTAATTTAATTTTATGTAAAGCTGGAACATGATTTCTGGGATTAGAGCTAATTTGATTGGATAATAAAAGACAGAAATTTGAAAAACTAAGTGTAAAGTAATATTCTCTGACAACCTTTTCCAGCAGTGAAAATTGCTCTAAATCCCATAAATGTTTGAAGGGGCACCTACGTACTGCACATTTTATGTGAATTTTTCAACAGTGACTTTTTTGCCTCTCACTACTTTATTCCAGAGGCACTTCACATAAATCCTGTTTCTTCCAACAAATTCACTCATATTTAAAAATGTTTTCCACATTGTACAAATAACAATTGAAAATACCTGTGCAAAGGGAAGGGAATTCACTTAATAAGATGTAACTGCTGTTCATTAACTAGTAAATAGATGTATATAACTGTGTAGATTTTACTGCTTGAGAGTTGTTTTCCATAAATTCAGTGCAAGGTAACCAGTTTTCAGAATACTTTCCCATATTTAATAAAGTTTCTATCTTAAATATTTCTCTAATATGATTAAATTAAGACATTTTTCTAGGAAAATATTTTACTTCTGCACCTACTTGTGTTTGTTTTATCTTTATTCTGTAGGTTCAACTCAATAGAACAATTGTTTTTTGTAATAAACTAAAAAGACTAACATTTTGAAGTATATTAAAACAATTGTACTGGAGATTTTGTTTATGGTCTATAACAAGTAAAATAAAGCTCTTCTCTGTGCCTGTGCACTTCTGTTGTAATTTCAGCAGCTAGAATTAAAACATTTATTCAGCTACAGAAAATATTTTTGCATGACATAATATTATATGCAGTAGTGTCATGAATCTATAACTATAGGGCCTAATCCAAAACTCGTTGAAGTCAATCAAAAGACTATCCTTAACTTCTCTAGCCTTCAGATAAGGTTTGTAGTATGTTCTCATAAAGGGTAACCTAACAATAGAGCTAGTTTTGTGTTAAATGAGGCCCCATTATTGCAGGTAAGTAATTAGCCACTAGAGTTTAGTTGTGTCTGTCTTTTATTATCACCAACAGAAGTTGGTCCAGTAATTACCTCCCCAGCCTTGTCTCTCTAATATTCTGGACTGACACAACTACAACCGCACTGCATACTTTTATTAATGTTACTATTTTTTTTTCCTCTGCAGGAGGTCTTTAAAGAGCGGATTGGTTATGCACATATCTATGAAGTACTAAAATCTCTGGGTCAGCCCTCGCGAGAGTTGCTAGAAGAACTTATGAATATGGTGAGACATGTGCTTGCTTTGAACATTATCTAAAATGGCTGCACTCCTAGACAGCTTTTCTGCCCCTATTTCGTTGTTGTAGGCCAGTAGTTCATCTTTGTGTTCTATGCTCTTTTTTTTCCAGGCTGCTGAAGGTGATCACGTGTCCGTTGGAATTTTGGGCATTAGTAATGTCCAGCCCTTATTGCTGCTTATCCAGTGGCTTCCAGAGCTAGAATCACATGACCTGCAGATCTTCATCTCAAATTGGTTGAAGCGAATCTGCTGTATTAACAGGCAGAGTCGTGCCACGTGTGTCAATGCAAACATGGTCATCCGCATCATTGAGACATTAAACTTCCACTCTTCACTCCATCGCACTTGTGCAGAGAACCTGATTGCCCTCCAGGGTTCTTTGGGAAGTCAGTCGATGAGCTCTGAAGAATTGCATCGACTAATGCGACTCTTGAGGACTAATGAACCAAAGCAGTCTCACCCTTACGTCATCCCTGTGATGCGTGCAATTCTGGCAATGGCTCGGAAGCAAGGCCTGGACAGTGCCATGCAATATTTCAACTTGTCCCCCAGCATGGCAGGAATTGCTGTGCCACCTATTCACAAATGGCCAGGGTCTGCATTTTCCTTCAATGCTTGGCTATGCCTAGACCAGGACCAAGTTACACCTGACATCACCAGCAAGGGAGGAGGCAAGAGGAAGCAACTATACAGGTACGCTTGCTGTGATTACTTTGGTAATATGCATCCCATGGCATACTTGGTAGCGATGCTTATATTTATATAGCACATTTCATACCAAAATACTTGATAAATTGAATATCAGTTGAGTTTGTAAACAGGAATGGCTTCATCCACCACCGAAGACATGACTATGCTACAGGAATAGCCATGCAAATGCATGGTTAAGGGTTTTGTGTATTGGGACAATTATACTGCTAGTGTGGATAGGAAGGTGCAATTCTATAACTATATTAAGATTAAATTATTTGGGTAATGCATATTAACATATGTTTTCATCCATGATGGCAGTAAAAAAAATAAAAAAAGGACCCCCGAATTGTGATGGGTAACCATGCATTAGCATAGTTCTTGTAGCGTATAGGGGCTATAAAATGTAACTGCCTCTGGTTTTAATATAGGTATTCAATAGCAAACAAATGCAAAAATTCAGGATAATACCTGAAAAATATCCTTTTCTAACTGGAACTGCAGGGGGAAATTTCTGAGTTTGGAATTTGGCCAAGACAGCACTTTAACCCTTTTCTCATATAAGCAAAGCCGTAGATTGACTCATTTTAATAACCAGAAAGTGGTTGTTTATATCTTATCTGAACTACAGGCCCTCCAGCAGCACAGAGCTCCATAATATTATGCTGGGGTATTAGTATAGTACTGACTTGGTTAAAAGTACCATCTGCTTAACTCCCAAAACCATTTCTTTCATTTTTTTAAAAGGTCTCTCATTCAAATCCTGATCTAAACCCGTGTAGTTTCTGAAATCTAATGGTATTACAGCATAAGGAAAAATGGCTGCAGCTGGATTTGGACTTGATGGTGCTGGAATAGTAGTTTGCATTTTTAGTCATTAAATTGAATTTAGAATATGATGTATTCTAGTGTGTGGTGGAGACAGGGCATCCTATGTTATGCTGCATATCCTGCTTGTTGGATAAGGATTGGTGTTGGCTACTCAGATGAAGTTCTAAGATGCTTGATTGAAGGGAATATTATAGCAAATAGGAAATAGATAACAAGAATAAATGAATGATTGATTTAAACACAGGTGGTTACTTTGCTTTGTTTCAGTGGAAAATGTTTTTTTAAATATACAACAGAAAAGACTGAACTCGCTGCTGTCTCTATGTGCATTATTAGGTGAATGGCAGACACCACTGATTTGGTCGACTTAATGTACCCACTCTACGCACGTGCACTGCACTCATCATTTGAAAACTTCTTATGTCTACTTTAAGATTAAGTATGATGTGGAGCTGTCAAGTGGTGCCATTACCTGAGAAGCGAGGGCTGAACAATTCAGTGACCACTTCGAAATATTTGCATTTTTTTCTATTAGTTTAATGATTCTGTGTATTATTTAAGATGTAAAATTGGATTTTTTTTGTGACCTCAATGTATCACAACAATTGTAGAACTGTAGGACTGGAAGGAACCTTGGTAGGTCATCTAGTCCAGTCCCCTGCACTCAAGGTAGGGCTAAGTAATGACTAGACCATTCCTGACAGGTGTTTGTCTAACCTGTTCTTAAAAACCTCCAATGACAGTGATTCTACAACCACCCTAGGCAATTTGTTCCAGTGCTTAACTGCCCTGACAGTTAAGAAGCTTTTCCTAATGTCCAATGTAAACCTCCCTTGCTGCAATTTAAGCCCACTGCTTCTTGTCCTACCCTCGGAGTTAAGGAGAACAATTTTTCATTCTCCTCCTTGTAACAACCTTTTACGTACTTGAAAACTGTTACCATGTCCCCTCCGTCTTTTCTTCTCCAGACTAAACAAACCCAATCTTTACCATCTTTTCTTGTAGGTCATATTTTCTTTAATCATTTTTGTTGCCCTTCTCTGAACTTACTCCAGTTTGTCCACATCTTTCCTGCAATGTGGTGCCCAGAACTAAATGCAATTCTCCAATTGAGGCCTTGTCAGTGTGGCATAGAATGGAAGAATTACTTCTCATGTCTTGCCTACAGCCCTCCTGCTGGTGTATGCCAGAATGATGTTTGCTCTTTAGTTAGTTATTTAGTTAGTTAGTTATTTAGCAACAGTGTTACAGTATAGACTCATATTTAGCTTGTGAGCCACTATACATCCCATATCTCTTTCCACAGTACTCCTTCCTGGGCAGTCATTTCCCATTTTGTATATGTGCAATTGATTGTTCCTTCCTAAGTAAAGCACTTTGCATTTATCCTTAGTGAATTTCATCCTATTTTCTTCAGACCATTTCTCCAGTTTGTCCAGATATTTTGATTTTTAATCCTACCGTTCAAAGCACTTGCAACCGCTCCCATCTTGATACTGTCCCCAGACTTTGAGTATATGCTCTATGCCATAATAATTTATGAAGATATTGAATATAACCAGACCCAGGACCAATCCCTGCAATACCCCTACTCCTGAGGGAATTATGCGCCAAAAATTATGCACACAATATTTTAAAATTCTGCAGATTTTATTTGTCAATAAAATGTGACTCCAGCATGGCAGTGAGGGGCACAGGCCACTGGCTGCATTGAGGTGGAAGATCACCCTGAAGCCCCCACCTCCCCCAATATAGGGACTCTGCAGTGAGGCTGCACCTGACCCTGACACAGAGCAAGGGCTGGGTCTGTCCCAGAAACACCCCAGGGCCCTGCCCCTATGTACCAGGTGCACCAGGCATGGGTAGGGAGGCTGAGCCCAGCAGGATCCAAGTGTGGAGGGGCTTAGTGTGGGGGGGATCCAGGTGTGGGTTGAGAGGTTTCTGTGTGGGGCGATCTGGGTGTGGACAGCTCAGTGGGAGATCTGGATGCACAGGGGCTCATTAGGGCATTCCGGGTGCAGGGGCAATGGGACTCTGCAGGGGATCCAGGTGATGGTGGTCAGCTTCAGCGGGGGGTAGGAGGGGTCTGGGGGTGGGGAAATGGGGCTTGGCTGGGAGGTCTGGGGGTGGGAATTCAATGGTGGGGGTCTGAGTGCAGGGGGAGTGGAGCTTGATGGGGTGGAGGTCCAGGTGCAGCTGGTTGGGGCTCAGTGGGGTGCGGGTCTGACCGTAGGGGGGCTCATTGGAGGGGTCCAGGTGTAGGGGGGTAGGGCTTGGCCAGCTAAGGGTTCGATGGGCCTGCTGAATGGGGGAGCCCCAGCTGCTTCTGAGGCAATGCCGCATGCGGGGATCCTACTTAGCCCCCGTGATTCCCCTATCCCCGTTTCTTCTCCGTCCCCCTCCCCTCACACCCACATTCCCCTCCCCCTGCCCTATTCCACCCCACTTCCTTCCCCTGCCCCCTTCCCTCATTTTCCCCCACCCCCGCTTACCCAGCCCCACCGCAGGAACTTACTGGATTGAAGAAAATGCCACCTCTGCCCTCAACTCCTTCACCCTTACTCCCAGAGCCCAGCAATCACTTCTGGTCTGCTCAGGATCATACCTCATATGTATATGAATGCCCGCATGAATGATTAGCATGGGTTAGCAGTCAAAGAGCCAGATGATTTTCGACGATCCCTGTGGAACAAGTATTGCAAGAGGATAAAGCAAAATCTAATAATAAGTTTGTATAGGTATCATTGAAATGTAATACCACCAGTGACATTTCTAGTACAAGTCTTGGGTTTCTTCACCACCTCTGTGATGGACTTTGCTATTTCACCACTGGAAAAGCCTCCAGCAAGAAGGAGTGTTTGTGTCATGTGCTCTCAGGTGCTTTTTGAACCCTAGATTCACAGAGGAATTTTACAGGTGACTGCTTGTTGGATGCCATGTTTAGAAACTTTTCCCATGGTGGCACAGAGGGCATCCACCAATCACCTGGTATTTCTTGCATCCAACCTTAGGTCATGTCCAGCACTGTCTTTCTGCAGTTTTCACAGAGATACCGTTGTCATATCTGTCAGACTATGATTATAGAATTAGCGTTGTCAACTGCTTTAGGACCTGCCTTGAGTACTCAGGAGCCAGTTCATGGAATGTGGGAAATTTGTCTCCAGCTATCATTTGTATGACAGCCCTGGCATCTCTGATATACGCTGTCCTGGCATCTCCGTTTCTTTGTTGTATGCTCTTAGCTCATGAATTCTTTCTGCTTAGCACTTCCAGCTGATGCCCTAATTGAACTTTTGTTTTTATTGCTCCATCAGCATGGAAGAGGAACATAGGCACAGGTCCTATTGCGTGCCTAAGAACAGTTCCCCTTGGAACATCACCGCTACATCTTGCTAAGGACAAGGCTCTGCAGGAAAAAAAATTCTTTGAACTGACAGCTGCTGTGATTTCTCTTCCCTTGCCACTTACATTTGGTCATCTTGACCATGTCAGTAAATATTTTGATGCCAGATTTCTTGACTGGGCTACATGTCCCATCAGAATCAAGTGCATGTCTCTCATCTCTCTCCATTTGTCCTTCACCAACATTTTTCTGTTTTCAGTAGAGACTTGTGTACATCCTATGTTACATGCAGTCCAGTAGATATGTTGATAAGCACCACAGGACATGATTCATTGTCATACAGTAAGATCTGTAACATACTCTTTTTTTTCCCTCTTCAGTGAGAAGGCAAGACTAGTTTGTGGACTTTTTCTTCACTGTTTCTTGTTAGGCCACTTCTTTTTCTCATAGCCTTTGCATATTCATAATATGAAGCTGTGTAATCCCATCTTTAGCCCTAATACTGACCTATGCATAGGTGTCACTGAATTAAAAAGCTTTTAAAAAGAAATTATAATATTTCAAAAGATAGCACTGCACATAAGCTACATAGGCAATTAGAAGTTAAAACATTCTAGCAGGCAGACTAGATGATGCATTGTATCTATAATAGCTTACAAATGAAGCATTACATTAAGAATTCATGTACATTTATATCTACCCACTATCCCATACAAACTATGGGCATGCATTCTACTGCTACTGGTACACAGTCTTCAGTGTGGGACTGATTTGGTCAGCAAATTTCAACTGAAAACTATGGATAACTGTTATCACTTCTGAGATACTTTGACAGTTAAGAATCTGTGATGTCAAAACATTTAATGGTAGTATGTTAAGGACAACGCAAAGTACTCCACTGAGGAAGGAACAATCAGTTGCTCACATACAAAATGGGAAATGACTGCCTAGGAAGGAGTACTGTGGAAAGGGATTTGGGGGCCATAGTGGATCATAAGCTAAATATGAGTCAACAGTGTAATGCTGTTAAAAACAAAAAACCAAAAAACCCCCCAACACCACATCATTCTGGGATGTATTAGCAGGAGTAATATAAGCAAGACACAAGAAGTAATTCTTCTGCTCTACTCCAAGCTGATTAGGCCTCAGCTGGAGTATTGTGTCTAGTTCTGGGTGCCATGTTTCAGGAAAGATGTGGACAAATTGGAGAAAGTTCAGAGAAGAGCAACAAAAATAATTAAAGGTCTAGAAAACATGACCTATGGGGGAAGATTGAAAAAATTAGGTTTGTTTAGTCTGGAGAAGAGAAGACTGAGAGGGGACATGATAGCAGTTTTCAAGTACATAAAAGGTTGTTACAAGGAGGAGGGAGAAAAATAGTTCTTCTTAACCTCCAAGGTTAGGACAAGAAGCAATGGGCTTAAATTGCAGCAAGGGTGATTTAGGTTGGACATTAGGAAAAACTTCCTAACTGTGAGGGTGGTTAAACACAAGAATAAATTGCCTTGGGAGGTTCTGGAATCTCCATCACTGGGGATTTTTAAGAGCAGGTTGGACAAACACCTGTCAGGATGGTCTAGATAATATTTAATCCTTCTTTAAGTGCAGGGGATTGAACTAGATGACCTCTTGAGGTCCCTTCCAGTTCTATGATTCCATGATTCCAAAATGTTGATATTTTCCATTTTTGTCATGTTATACAGCTGCACCATTTCTTGAGGGGGAGGAGAAAAACTTGCCCATGCAAAACCAATAAAAAGTCTTTTAATACATTGTTTGGTAGCTTTGACCAAGAAGCACCATATTAAGGTGTTAAAATTAATTTGAACAGTAGAAATTTGTAAGTATAGTCATGTTGCAGTGTTTCTGGAATTGTGCAAAAAATGACTTTTTCATTTACCTCATCTACAGGCTTACAGCTACCACTTGACAGCTCCTCATTATACCTCATCTAAACATACATAAAATAAGCTTTCAAATTATGTGTGGTGTGCATGTGTGTAGGGTGGGTACATTAAACTCCAAAATTATGGACCTTTTTGGAGAATTGCTGTACACTTATATAGCTTTCACTTAATATAGATGCACCATCTGTTTGTTCTGTAAGTGCCAGGATTAATAACAATTGTAGTGAAAATGCTTCTTATAATAACCATGCTTGAGGGGATGTAACAGGCTTTGGCAATAATTTTTTCACATATTTTTCCTAATGAAGTGTTCAAGGTATAAAAAGAGCCTAAAGCCATGTCTGCACCAGAAGAGCTGGCAAGCCCTCCTATTGTAGCTTCTACTGGCAAAGAAGTACTTTTGTCAGTATAGCTTATACCAGTTGGTGAGTAAAATAAGCTATACCAGCAAATGCACTTTGATGCCAGTATAACCGCATCTACGTTTGGGCTTCTGCCAGTATAGAAATGTTGCAAAAGATTTCCCCGTGCCCATTCCCATGACATTACTTTACTTTACCAGCAAAAATTTCAAGTGTAGACTTGACCAAAACATTCCCTATAATAATTTCAAACTTCATGCAATTTCTGTCAAAATGGTTTCTTAAAAAGTGTTAGAAATAAAAGCACCAGTATAGAAGGATAGTTACTTTTGTGTATAATGTGAATTTAGGAAAATACTTGATTGGAGAAAAATGCTTCCTAATTTCTATAACAGGAGCCTCCAAAATGTCCCATGTAAACACAGTATTGGCAAATTATCACAAACCCAAAGGCAGCCTTTTATTTCGCCCTCCTGCCAAAATGACACAGATTGTAGCCTAGGTTCATCTTTATTATAGAGGTGTTGCTTTCAGAGACTGCAGTCCCTGACATGCAATGCTTTATATCGAAACCAGCATAAACTGCATGGATTTAAGCTGAAACGTTGCATGCTAGAACCAAGGTTTGCATCTCTATGTAAAAGGTGTGGATGGCTACAAACTTCTTTAAGAACATTGGACCACTTTTTTGTCCTGCACACCAGGTTTTAGGCTTGCTTGTACCTAGAATTTACTTGTACTTGTTGCTTGTTTTTATTAGGTGAACCAGAATGGCATTTTAAGGATCCTTTTACTCATTAGATATATGACTGAGATGGAATGTTTTCAGCTGTGCTGAACAATTTAAACAGGTTTTGCACTGAATTCATGTACTGCTAGGTAGTTTATCAGAACTTTTGAAAAGTATCTCATGGATTTTTCATTCTGTAGCTTTTTTACAGGAAGTGGGATGGGTTTCGAGGCCTTCATTACCTGCTCTGGAGCACTGGTGGTTGCAGTTTGCACAAAGAGAGAATATGCAACAGTGATGCTGCCAGACCATTGTTTTTGTGATTCCCTCTGGGTAAGATCTGCTACTTGCTACTTAAATGTACTTTGTTTAGGACAGAATAGCCTTAGCTAAAGAGAAGCAGCTGATAATTTTAACAAGTGATTTAGTTTTTTTCTCTTGAATAAAGACACATTCCACTTCTAAGGATAAGGCCTAATCCTTAAACATGTGAGTAGGTCTTATTGTAGACTTATTTGTGTGATACGGTTTTGAGGGCAGGATGAGGGTGTGTTCCTGGGTGTGACTTAGCAGTGAGAGGCTTTTAGGAGTTGCTGTTTTTATTTATCAGCTGGCCGAGGTAAATTGTTGTCTCCATTTAATTAGTTAATGCTGCTGGCTTGTGGAGTTAATTTATTTTTTAATTAATATTTATGCTATTGGGTGGTTATTGCAAGTCTAATTATTGTCAGGGGGCTTAGAAGTTTTGTATATGTTTTTTTAATGGTAAATCTAAATAAATGTCAGTGTGGCTACTTAGGCAAATAATGATTATGTGATAGGATCTGTAATCACGGAATCATAGAAATGTAGGGCTGGAAGGGACCTTGAGAAGTTAATTTCAGCCCCTTGCATTGAGACAGGATCAAGTAAACCTAGATCATCCCTGCCAGGTGTTAGTCCAACCTGTTTTTAAAAATCTCCAGTGGTGGAGATTCCACAACCTCCCTTGGAAGCTATTCGATAACTATAAGAAATCCTTGTAGTTAGAAAAAAAATTTCTAATCTCCAGTTTAAATCTCTCTTGCTGCAAATTAAGCCCATTGTTTCTTGTCTTTCCTTCAGTGAACATGGAGAGCAATTGATTGCTGTCCTCTTTATAGTAGTCCTTTACATATTTGAAGACTGTGAACAGGTCCGTTTCTCCCCCCCCCTTCATGTCGTAAGACTAAACATGCCAGATTTCTTTGACCTTTCCTTATAGGTCAGGTTTCCTAAACCTTTTATCACTTTTGTTGATCTCCTCTGGACTCTAATTTGTTCATATCTTTCCTAAACTGCCCAGAATTGGACACAGTATTCCAGCTGCGGCCTCACTAATGCCGGGTAGAGCAGGATAATTGCCTCCCATGTCTTAAATACAACAGTTCTGTTAATTTTTGCAACTGCATCACATTGTTGACTCATATTCAGTTTGTGATCCACTATAACCCCCAGATCCTTGTCAGCAGTACTACCATCTAGCCAGGTATTCCCATTTTGTAGCTGTGCATTTGATTTTTCCTTCTTAAGTGTAGTACTTAGCTCTTGTTTTTATTGAATTTCATCAAGTTGAATTCAGACTGATTCTCCAATTTGTCAAGGTCTTTTTAAATTCTAATAGTGTCCTCCAGATGCAACCCCTCCCATCTTGGTGTCATCCACAAATTTTATAAGTGCATTAATGATTACTGGTTATTGACTCTGCAACCTCTATAATGGGGCCATGCCAGTGTCATGGTAATTCTCTATTCCTTTGACCTTTTTTAAGGAGAAGAAACATAAATGCAGCTGGATCAGTTAGATGGCTCCTGAATGGCTGGGACATGTTACAGGAACTTCTAATGTTTATACTATGTTTAAACTATAATTTAGTTCAAAGTCTGAGGCTTAGAAAATGTGAATAAATTACCCTGTTTGCACCATCCCATTCCTAAGGCTATATTTAGGGACTGCATTGCATTATTATGAAGGGTGTCACATCTTTTTTTCCCCCAAAACCATTGTTGTAATGTACGCTTTTTTTAAAAAAACGAGGGCGTTGATTGGTACTTGATCTAATCTTTCAGTGATGCTATAAAAGTTTGTTGTCTGCTATAATTTCTTCACCCATTTAATGGAAGCAATGTTGGGCAGACATGCAGAATTGTTTTGTTGCATCTTAATAAGAACGTAATCAAACTGTACTGTTATATTGCCTGTCCAGCACAACATAACTATTGTTCATATGCCTGGAAAGAGGCCCTTTGGTCAAAGCTTTGTCTACATCTACGTCAATGGACAACAGAAGATCTCTGCCCCACTTAGATTTCCTGCCATGAATGAAGTAAGTCTGTTCTTCCCCTCAGACCACTATCATAGGGATTTCTTACAGAACAAAGGTTTGTAAAATGGTAGTCAGATAAAACTAAGAAATAAAAAGGAGAAATGGGTCATCTGTGATTAAAAACATGATAGAAACTGATTAGCAGTTGTTTTCAGTTTTCAAGTGTTGAGGATAGTTAAGCTCATCATGTCTCTTTGGGCCATCTCAAATACATCTACAAGCCCCAGTTATGGACCAGGACCCCCTTGTGCTACGTCCTGTACAAACACCACAACAAAAAGATGATCCCTGCCCCCAAAGAATTTACAGTCTAAGTACACAGCTTGCACTGTGCCAAACTGGTCGATATGTCCTTAAAGAGGACTAGATGTTGACCAAGAATTATCTTTTGGTGGTGCTTCAGTGGCTTCATGTTAGCTCCTTTTATGTGAGGTTTTGGATTTTTTTAAACAACTATCACAATTAGCACTAACTGCCTCCCTTATTGGCAGTCTTGCAAGAGAGGATGGTAGATTAATGCACAGTGAAAAACTACCTTGTCTCACTAAGAGGTGGTTCTCAATACATTTGGGAGCACACAGGAAGTTTGAGTAATCTTGCATGTGACACTGTCTGTATGGGGATACATTAATAGGGACATTTCTTTTCGGTGCTGTTAGCTGATCATTTCTACATGCTAAATACTAAATTAACCTTAATAAGCACAAACCAATATAATACCAAAATGATTATATGTAATATGTGGATGCTGTTGTAAACAGTTGCTCCTTTTTGTGGAACAAGTCCTTTTTAAACCTGGGTTACAATGTTATGACACTGAGCCATTATTTTTATAGGCCCCAGTTCTGCAGTCCTCCTTGGTTTGGGGCATGTATTCATATGAGTAGTTCCACTGACTTAATTATGACTCGTTGCATGACTTACGTGCTTCCTGTAAAGGTTGAAGAATCAAGTACTTAGTTATTAAAAGCAAACATAACTGCTGATTGTAAGACAAAACTGTTGATTTTTTTGGATGCATCTGTGAGAGTTTTAGAAACTTTAAAACATTCATTCAGCTTCTTTTGTAAACATTGGGGGAGGTACCTCTTGCTGCACAAGTTGGCATGGGAAGATGGCATTGAAACTTTTTATTAGTGCAAGCGATCAAGTAGAATACTTCATATTACAGGATTATTGTAGGAGATGCATCTTGCTAAAGTACTAGGGTATGATCCAAGGGGAATGGTCTGCTGGGACAGAGGTGTGGCTAGAAGCCTTGATGCTCCCTGCAGAGACCAGTAACAGGCCAGGGGAATAAATTACTCCTGCTTGGAGAGGGATTATTATGCACTTTCTAGTGCATTTTGTGTGTAATGTACACCAACAATGTATTGCTGTCCTACACCTGTTTCCTCAGTCAAGGCAGATTTGCTCTGAAAGTTCATTAGATTTAGTTCAACTTACTTATTTTTTTATAAGTCTCGAGGATGTTTGACATTTGGCTGTAACATTATTTTATTTTTCTTACCCCTGCGTCTCCAGCCTTTTACTTCTTGCTGCATTGGTTCAGCTGGTCAGAGGACAACCACTCCTCCACCATCTCAGATACCGGACCCACCCTTCTCCTCCCCGATTACGCCTCATCGAACATCTCTAGGTGGCATTCTCTCTCCAGCCAGTTGGGGCGGACTGCTTGGGAAATCAGAGTTGGTCACCAAGTTGATCTCCGCGGGTACCCAGGACAGTGAATGGGGATGTCCAACATCACTGGAGGGCCAGCTTGGCTCAGTTATCATCTTCCACGAAGCCCTGCAGCCTGCTCAGGTGAAAGCTTTATATTTGGCAGGTAAGTGGTTGGTGGTGGTGTTTGTATAGTGGTAACATCTACAAGCCCCAGCTATGGACCAGGACCCCCTTGTGCTACGTCCTGTACAAACACCACAACAAAAAGATGATCCCTGCCCCCAAAGAATTTACAGTCTAAGTACACAGCTTGCACTGTGCCAAACTGGTAGATATGTCCTTAAAAAGAAACTGTCAGTTTTTTGAGCTGATTCATATCTTTTTATAGTAACATATTTATGTTATAATATATTTGCTATATTTACACAGATTCTCCTATTCCCCTGTTATGTATCAAATTTATAGACATGCAGAGAAGTCCACAAGAATTGATATCCACCAATCCTGAAGAGATGTAAAAAAAAACTTAGACAGATATCGACCAATTTGGGCTCTCACTTACCTGAGTGAAATCTGAAGTATCTCAATTAACTTCAGTGGAGCTACTTTGGGTTTAAACAAAAGAAACTGAAAGCAGAATTTGGCCCATTAGCTAAAAACGTTGAGTAAAAATCTTTGGCTGGGTATTAAGATTTGGGCAATTAAATTATTCAGTTAAAGGCCGCAGCTTTGGCCATATCAGTTTTTATTTTACTTTTGCATATGTTTCAAAGATAGTTTCAGTGTTCTGTATCTGTTTTATTATTGGTCCATATCCAGTTTCAGAAACCTTATGCAAGAGTCCATATATGATATAACAATTAATAAAACGTAAAAATAAGTCATATTTCTGTGTGATCTTGAAAAGAAAACTAAACTTGTCCGATGGGCTTGAAAGCCTGAGCTGTTTGAAGTAGGAACCACTTGTATAAACTCTGCAACCTTGAATGTCTTTTCACATTATTTGCCAACATATGGGCATGTAAGTGAGAGTATTCAAGTGTATTGCTGTGGTTGATAAGCCACTTAACAGTCATTGTTCAGCCTTGGGAGCTCATCCTTTAGGATTTACATTAGCAATTGAAAGATGATGTTTTCCAGAACATGTTAATAGTTTTATATATGTCAGCTTTTAAAAGATTAGGTGTATGTTACATGATGTCTTATTACTACCAAAAATTATAAAAAGAATGCACTTTGATAAGTGAACAATCACATCATTTTAAAATAAATGTAATCTCATTTTGTTATTATATAAAGCTGTCTTCAAGATGTGATCTTCCTAACTGCTGGTGGTCTTTAGGGACAGATGACAGTTGAGTGTGAAATGGAATATTTGTAAAGACAAAATACTGACAATTTTTTGAACATACAAATCTCATTTCATATAACTTACTTTGTTTTTTAGCCAGAAGGTTATTTGTAAAGGGTAAAACCCCATGGAATCACACAATTATTTTTTAAAATAATCTTTTGGTTAAGGAGATATGTTAAATATTTGGTCAGGATATGTGTAGTTCAAGGTGTCCTATTTGTATCTCTAGCAGAGTGTAGTATAGTAAAATTTATTAACACAAACTTTAAATCTAGCATGTACTTAAAAATATTTTACAGGCCCAAACTGTTTAACTCCGTGGAAATCCCAAGAGTCTGAAGTGGCAGACCTGCCCAGTAAAGTGCTGCTTCACTATACACCCAAGGTAGTAATCAGCATGTTTTCCATTTGCCTACATACTTTACAGTAGTTTGTTTTTTCCAAGGTTAAAACATGTTCTGAACAGTAGCTTTAAATGTCTATAGAATTATTTTGATAAACTTTTAGAATGGAATAGGTTTGCTTTTATGGATAGTTTTCTTTATTCCTTAAAGTGATGTTGTCCGGCTATGCCGGAAGAAGGACAGGAGATACTGGATGTGGTTTAATTAGGCCACAACTTTATTCCTAAATGTCTGTGAGTACCCAGCAGATAAAAGTGTACAGTGCAAGTAATTCCATAACAATTTACATATACACAGGGGGAGTGCTGTCAGTCCCACCCATCAAGTGAGGTTTAAGCGGGGTAGGGGGGCTATAAAGGAGAGAGGGTTGGCTCCCTGGCGTACCAGTCATAGCCCTGAAACTCCCATTTCTGCTCCTTTAAAGAATACCTCTTTTAAATCCTTTACCAATGCATTGTATCTGATCACCATATCCTTTCTCAATGGAGTATCTGCCACAAGGAGGCTCCAGCAATTAGCTTGTAAGCCTTGTAGTGCTATGGAAACAATTTTGGAAGCAGCTACTCAGATGGCTTGAATCAATTTTCTGTTGGTTCCCCCACCCCCAAATGCAGATAGTTCACCATGGGGAGTATTTGCTTTCCCAGGATCCATGCTGCTTCCCAGCAGAGGGGAATCCATTTGGCAGACAGACGGACCACCCTGGGATCCACTTACCCCAGTCCTTGTCCAAGCAGTGAAGATCCCACATCCCTGGGCTCCCATGGCCTCACAAGCCCCACTCACTGCACCCTGAACTCGGTTTGGAACTTCCATCCCTGGCTGGAAGGGGGGACACCTTCCCTCCTCCTGTTCTCACAAATCTGCTACAGCCCAGCTCCAATGAGTTTGAAACTCCTTCCCGTTTTGCTACAAAACACTTCCTTCTGCTGCTGCAGGTTGGAGGGAGGATTCCTCCCCCTTCTACCTCCCTGTTCTCACCAGTCTGCCACCATGTGGAGCCACGAGAGAGCGAAATTTGTTCAGCTGTTCCTGCTGCACAGTTGGTCCAGTTAAAAGAGGGCTTTTCCTGCACTGGGGTAGACCTAAATAGTTCCCCCCCACACCCTCCTTCCAGTCACCTGGGTTGGGGGATGGGTCACCGCCCCACACTAACCTGGTCTGAAGCTGCAGCACTCTGGTTGTCTAGCCTTTAAAGGGGTCACACACCTTTTCCTACAAGCCAGACAATGGCCCCCACTGCTTAATGTGGGGTGAGGTCATTTTACATATTGTGGCATAAAACGTAAAGAACCACACTGGATGGCACTTTGGGGTGGTATCAGAGTGTGAGTGGTCGGAGCCTGTCATTCTCTCCCTCCTGCTTTTACTGAACTACGGTGTGTTTTGTTTCCCACCCTTTTAGGGTTGGTAGTTTATTCAACCATTCTAACCAAAAAGTAAATGCACAGAAAAAGCTATCTCCTGGCACAGTATTAATGCCTCTCTTAGTGTAAAGGGTAGGAGTCAGCACTCTCTCCTGAAGGAAAAATTGATAATCTAACTAATTTCCATTAACATGAGTAGTGTGGGTTCCTGGATTAGGCCTTGCGGTGTCCATAACTTAACTACAGATTTGTGCATTTTAGATCTCATTCTACCAAAAGGCCAAGAGTGCTGTAAGTGGTGAAATTGTGAATAATGAATCCAAGATATTGTTGAAAACTTGCCATTAGTATCACCACAGTGCTGTTTCCTGCCTTACCTCAGTATGCGATGCACTCTTATGTAAATTTATAGGTAATTCAATGACCCTGAATTTGTTTCAGAAGTAATGCTGAAACTCCTGTTTTCTTCCTTTTTTAGGCCTGCAGAAACCCAATCTGCCTTGACCTGTCTACAAATCTTTTACATGGAAGACTAACTGGAAACAAAGTAGTGAACTGGGACATCAAGGTAAATTAATAATAAATCATCACAATCTGATGTAAATACAAAGTAGTTATTGTATACTGGGTACTTAAGGAATGCTAGAAGTTCCCATTGTGCAGGAGCAACACCACGCATAGCAGTGTTCTCAAGGTGAATTAAGCTAATTTTAGGGTTGTAGTGGTGTCAAAGTAAATTCTGGGAAACTGGAGTCATGCTAACAGTCATAGATAATGTTTCAAAACAAATTTAAAATTAGAATATTAAAAAGTTTTGTGGTACTGCAAGTAATATGTTTTATATTTTGAATGCATTTTATGACCTCTACCTTTTTTTTCCTAATAATACTTCGTACTAGCATTTAAATCTTCAAAGTGTTGAACAAACCTCAGTTAATTAATTCTCCTAGTCCTCCATGTAGGCCAATGTTTCTCTCATGTTCCCATTTCCCCAAAAAATACTCTGATTTAGTTCTTGCAGATTCATGGAGAGAGGAAGAGATTCATTGAGTGTGCACCAGCTTAGTCTATTATGTCACTGTTTATCTGTTTATTCACCAACTCACCCATCTGCCAACTCATTAGCACACACTAATCTCAAAGGTCAGAATCAGACCTGGTGTATATAGGAGCAACATTGATTTCCAAGTCTGACTTGGACCTAAAAGTATCATCTAGGCTAGGGCTCACTCACTTGGTGTTCAAGTCAAAATGAACTACCAAGCTGGAATACTCAGGTACAAAATATTTTTTTCTTCTTCGAGTACTTGCTCATGTCCATTCCATTGTAAGTGTGTGTGCTTGCCGCATGCAATGGTGCCGGAAGTTTTTCCTTCAGTGGTATCCATAGGGGACTGGCTCTGGTGTCCTCTGGAGTGGTGCACGTATAGGGGCACCACCGGCTTCCCTTTCCCTCAGTTCCTCCTTACTGCCAATGATGGTGCTCTCCTTCAGCAAGCTTTCCTGTCTCTACTGTGTCTGGTAGTGAATTTGTTGTATAAAGTAGTTTAGTTAATAGTTCCCTTCGTGTTAAGTTAGAAATAGTTAGTTAGTCCGGTATGGGACTCAGCCTAGGTACGGGGCATGCCTTGGTCCCCGGGCTTCAAACCTTGTGACTGTTGAAAAAACATATGGCAGTCGGTGACCCGCATAGAAGCTGCCTGAAGTGTTTAGGGGAAACAAGTGTCACATTTGCAAGAGCTTCAGGCCACGGACTAAAAAGAAGTGGGACATTCATCTCCGAGTGCTCTTTATGGAGTCGGCCCTTGTACTGGCCTCGGAGCTGATGAGATTGCACTCTGCTCCAAGCACTGCAGCTTGCTCCAGAGCCTGCCGCTGGCACCGACCAGCACCAGTCCCCATGCCCAGTACCAGCTTGTGGCAGGCTGCTTGTTGAGAAGCCCTTGATCAGCTCCTGCCACTCCAGTCTCAATCAATAGATTGATGCTGGGTGAATAGCCTGGTGCCTGCCTGGTAACTGGCCGCACCTGCCAGTCTTATTAGCCCAGAGATATAAAGGCTGGGAGGAAGCCAGAGAAAGGGGGAAAAGGGAAAGAAAAAGGTCAAACACAGAAGGAGGTGGGAGTCTCCTAAAGTATCTGTGAAGCCTGTATACAGTTGGAACTGGTGGTGGGAAACCTATTGAGAATAAAGAGCATGGGTGTTGCACCAGACTGAAGTGTCCCTGACGCGTTGAAGAGGGGGGCCAAAACCTGGGGGCACAGCGTGGACCCTGTTACATGAGGGGGCTTGTTCCGGACTATAAGCCACCGCCATGGTGTGGCAACCCAAAGATAGAGGGAACCTTGCAGTGGCTAACCAAGCAGCAGGAGGAGATGCAGAAAGCACTGCAGGCTTTCCAGCAATCCAACCAGGTGGAGAGGCAGGCCTTACTCACCTGGCAGGCCAGACAGCAGAAAACTCTCCAGGACTTTATCAGAGAGCAAGCCAACATGCAGCAGCAGCTCCTGCAAGAAGTGGAGAGTTCCCTAGGAGGAGATGGCACCCGGCGCGCCAGGGGTAGGCCTATGTAAGATGGGCCCCGACAATGACCCCAATGCCTTCCTTTGTATGTTTGAGTGGGTGGCTATGGGTGCCGATGGGATAGGGAAACATGGGCCCTATGACTGGCCCCCTCTCTGGCCGGTGATCAGGACACTGGGGAGCTGAGAGGCTTCCAGGTGGATCGCATGCTGGATGCAGAAGTCCTGCAGATGGAAGGCCTCCTGGCACAGAGCCGATGATCGAGCGTCCCCCTGCCTGTTGACATAGAACATGGAGGCCGTATTGTCCGTTGACACCTGCACCACCCAGCTGGACAGTTGGGGAAGGAAGATACCGCAAGCCAGGCGGATGGCTCTGAGTTCTCTGACATTTATATTCAATGCGAGCTCCTTTCGAGATCATAACCCTTGAGTCTGCATTGTACAGAGATGGACTCCCCAACCGAGGTCAGACGTATCCAAAATCAGGGACGACATGAAGGGACCACATCTCTCACCGTGGTCCCTTCACGTCGTCAGAATGCTCCCCCAGAAGTGGGGAGCTCCGAGTGGATCTGTTCACCACCAGACAGAACAGAGAGTGTCATCAGTTTTGTTCTCTCCAAAGCCTCAGCAGAGGTTCGCTATCTGATGCTTTTCTCCTGTGTTGGTCAGGATACCTGATGTACGCCTTTCCGTCAGTTCTGCTTATCAGCAAAGTCCTCTAAAAAATAAAGAGGGACAAGGCACGTGTCATTATGATTTGCCTCAGCATGGGCTCACCAGCATTGGTTTGGCATGCTCATGGACCTGGCCGGGGCAGCCCCATGGCCACTTCCTAGCTGCCCAGACCTACTCTCGCAGAATCACGGTCGACTTCTGCACTCGAACCTCGCCTCTTTCCACCTCACAGTTTGGATGCTGCGTGACTGAATCCAGAGGAACAAGTCTGCTCTAGTCAGGTACAGCAGGTTCTCTTGGAGAGCAGAAAGGCCTCCACCAGAGCAACTTACCTGGCGCAGTGGAAGCATTTCTCCTGCTGGGCGTCAGAGTGGAATATCTCCCCTACTTGGGCGTCTCTGCAGTCCATCCTGGATTACCTGCTTCACTAAAAGCACCAAGGTCTCGCCTTCTCCTTGATCAAGGTGCATCTGGCAGCCATATCAGCCTTCCATCCTTGCGTCCAGGGTAGATCGGTGTTCTCGCATAAGACGCCGATCAGGTACCTGAAAGGCCTTGGAAGACTCTTTCCATTGATCCGGGACCCAGTTCCCCAATGGGACCTCAACCTGGTCCTCTCCAAACTCATGGGTCCACTCTTTGAGCCTGTGGCTTCTTGTTCCCTTTCCCACTTGCCATGGAAGGTTACATTCCTTGTAGCTATTACCTCGGCAAGACGTGTCTCTGAGATTAAAGCCCTCTCTTCGGAGCCCCCATACATGGTATTCTACAAGGACGAGGTCCAGTTGCGGCCCCATCTGGCCTTCCTGCGAAAGGTGGTGTTGCACTTCTATGTCAACCAGGATATCTTCCTCCCAGTGTTCTCTCCAAAGCCTCACGTGACCAATAAGGAGAGGCAGCTGCACACTCTAGATATCAGACGTGCCCTGGGTTTCTCCCTGGAGTGCACCAAGCCCTTCCATAGATCAACCCAGCTCTTTATCGCGATCACTGACAGGATGAAGGGCCTTCCAGTGTCTTCTCAGAGGATTTTGAATTGGATCACCACCTGCATCGGTACTTGTTACAAGTTGGCACAGGCTGTACCTCCACTAGTAGTGAAGGCTCATTCAACTAGGGCGCAGGCATCTTCAGCTGCCTTCCTACCACATGTCCCTATCCAGGACATCTGCAGGGCCAAGACATGGTCTTCAGTTCACACGTTCACGATGCTTACCCCATCACTCAGAAAGCCAGAAATGACGCTGGATTTGGCAAAGCTGTGTTGCAATCGGCACGTCCGTGTACTCCTACCTGCCTCCAGTGGTTCTGCTTGGGAGTCACTACAATGGAATGGACATGAGCAAGCACTCTAAGAAGAAAAGATGGTTACCTTTCGTAACTGTTGTTCTTCAAGAAGTGTTGTTCATGTCCATTCCATGACCCACCCTCCTTCCCCTCTGTCGGAGTTCTGTCAAGAAGGAACTGAGGGAGGGGGGAGCCAGTGGCACCCCTTATACTGGCGCATATGTGCACCCTTCCAGAGGGCACCAGAGCCAGTCCCCTACGGATATCACTGAGGGGAAAACTTCTGGCACTGGTGGATGTGGCGAGCACACACACCTACAGTGAAATGGACATGAGCAACGCATCTCAAAGAGCAACAGTTACAAAAGGTAACCATCTCTTGAAGTGGGGTTGACCTGAGTTGTGAGTGTAGGGAATTTGTAGTAGAAGACTATAATTGAGGACTAATGTATGCACAAATAAATGGGAGCTGTCTGCAGTGAACATGAAGTTCAGACTCTTCTGAAAGACTCCCTGCGTCAGTAATAGTGTACATTTAATGACAGCAATTCTGTACTGATACTCTGTCTCTCTGTGTGAATGTTGTAGGAGAATAGGCTTTGTGTTAGTTGACTGATACGCTTCCAGAAAGTGTAGGAACATATACTAGTTAATTTTGGGTGGTCCAATTTATATGAACAGTTTGAAAATGCCATGATTTTGTTATCCTTGCTCAGGAGTGTAAGAATGCTGCTTGTACACACCACTGGTTCCGTGGGAAGCTAAGTTGAGCATAGTTCTGCTCAGCAGAAAGAGCGAAGAGCTCATTATGGGAGTGTCAGGAGCCAGCAGCCTCCCGCCCCCAACTGTGGTCTTTAGAAGCCCCACAGTTAAGAGACTGCATAGGTGCTGGCGGGGGGACTGTCTAGGCGTTCTGTAGGTTTAAAGGGAAACGAGATAGCAGTCTCAAACTTCAGACAAGTGTTCTGCATGTTAACTAGCTGGTTTGTGCTTGTCCCTATGTTGCATATCTCTGCACTGCTTCTGAGAGGTGCTTCCTGTTTTATTCTCACAGAGACAGCAAGGGCTTATTGGAGAGATACATTAGGTGTGAAAAAACTTGACAAGGGCCTGCAGGGGAGGGATTCTGCAGGCTGAAGAGAGAGGTGTTGTGAAGAGGTATGGGGTGGAGCGAAGCAGTGGAAGGAGGTAGTAATGAGAGAGATGGGGAGGTAAACATTGGAGAAGGAGAGTAGTGTCCCCTTCCCAGTACCCAAAAGAAAGAAGTGGGGGAGTACCCACGTTGTTTTTGTTTTTGTTGTTTGTTGAGTCCTCCACCTGAGATGTCTGCGCATGAGAGGATGTGGAGGTTGGCCCTTTGTCCGAGTGCTTAAAAATAAGAATAAGGTATAGACCCAAAATAATAATGACATACATTTAAAATAATTCTTTTTAGTCTGTATGTATGGTATGTGCTGTGAAGATCTCTCTCCAAAACCAATCTTTCAGTTGTGACCATTAGAGTAATTTACTAAAGAACTCTGATACACTTCAGTTTTCAATGCACTGAGAACATAACAGGTATCCCTGGCTAGCTTGTTAACTTCTTATTGAATTTGTCAAATTCCATGCTATCCCTATTAGTGTACAAATGATTATGAATTTTAGGAGATGTTAATGAAACCTATATTCCTTTCCCATTACTCTGCAAACCAAATAATTTGCTTTATCGTTTTATTTGTATTTAAACTTTCTGAAGCAGAGACTTTTTATAGGGATACTATTAAACTAAAATCCACATGTATCTAAACTTTTTAATGTACTTTTTAGTGTTAATTGAAAGCTATCAGAAGAGAAAGTACATTTCTTTCTGGTTCTCCAGTATATGTATTTGACAGTATTTTCTGTCATGTGGTCTGTTTCACTTAGAGTGAGTTTCCTATGATGTTTGTGCAGGTGTTTCATGCAGCAACAGAGGAGAGAAAAAACAGAAAAAACAAATGGTTGTAAAACCACAGAAGTTAGCTGAAAGACTTGCAAACAATTGTTGTCTGAAACACCTTTAAACCTAGTTTTAAAACTGTTGTGAAGTTGTTACTGTTCTTTTTAACTAGTTTCCAAGTGACAAGGAATTCTGATTAACTCATAAGCACATACATGTCCTTCTTATTTCTTTTACATTAAATATTAAATAGGTATTTCTTTTACATTAAAAAAAAATAACAGAAACCCTACAAATTTGTGCATGCTTTCTCTCTCCCCCACCCTCTAGGACATGATAAATTGTATTGGTGGATTGAATGTGCTGTTTCCACTACTGGAGCAGATCAGTTTTCTCAATGGACAGGTGCCTGAGAGGTCTGAAGGGGAAACTATACCTCAGGAACTAGTGACTCCAATAGAGGGAGACTGGGTGGTGTTATCATCCACAAAGGCTTCAGGTAGGAAAGTACTATAGATTTAAGACCATATTAAAGTTAAAGGTTTAATAAAAACAGAGGACTACAACAGTGGAAAGAATTGGTTTATATGATTATATATTAACTCTATTATAGTAGCCATATAATTTTAATAAACTATTTTTACTCCTGAGCATCTGAGTTGGACATCTAATAAGATAGGATTTCAGCACTGTTTCAAATTCACTTCAAGAACACACAGAGCACATTCGTAGAATGAATTTAATGCAGTGTTTTGCTATATTAACTTTGTCCTGAGTCAAAATGTGCACATTTATTTCTAAATAAAGTGGTTCTTTTGAGTATCTAGAAAAATAAAAAAGCCCGCTGAAGTCAATAGCACATCTTTCCACTGTTTCAGTGGGCCCTTAATCGGGGAGATAATGTAGTATTTCATGTTATGGACCAGTAGCCTGCAGAATTTTAGTTACATTATTGAAGTTCTTAGTAATTTATGAATATGCTTTAAAAAACCCCATATGAAACCACAGGTTTCCCTCTTTAAATTGTAAGAAGAAAACTATTTTTAAATAGCTCTTCAGCTGTGCTGAATTGTGAGCTTGGAGAGAATTCTTGTAATCTTAGCAGAAGCCTCTTAGAAATTAAGACTTGTGAAGGAATATGATACAACTCTTGATTTTTGCTTCATTATTTCTCCCTCCTAATTTAAAGTAGTTCTAGATATAATAGGCATATCCAGATGTGGGGAAAGAGGAAGAAATGTATGTGTAGAGCAAGTGCAGAATATGCAAAAGACGATCCAGGTTGCGGCTTAGAGAAGAGTATTTTGTCCGATGCCACAGTTGAACGGACAAGGCAGATGAAGTCACGACTGGCATTTGCTTTGTTCTGGGGATGCATATAATGACTTTGCCTCAGCATCACAGGATCTAAACGCTATCTACAGCAAGGTAGCAAATACCAGTGGAGAGAGGAAGCTCAGGAAAATAGTGGAGAATAAAAACACTCGATTTCACTTCTTATTCCTCCTAATTTGACACAATAATGAAATGATGATAAAAAAGGGTTTTAACTGAACAATCTGTTTTGCAGAGGCTCGTCTAGAGAAGAATATTGTTGCAACTTTCATCTTGATGATAAAGCACTTTATTCAAAGACACCCTATTAACCAAGATAATCTCATTCACTCCCATGGAGTTGCTACCCTAGGCGCCTTGCTACAGAAGGTGAAAAGTTATTCCTCATGTAATCAATGTTATGGGTGAAATCCTGATTCCACTGAAATCCAGTAGGTCATGGCTTCATTCTAAATGTCAAAGGTTTTCTGAGGTTACAATACATAGATTAGTATAGTATTTATACATTCTTGTAGATTTCTGAAAACAAGATGTTATGATACTTATGATACTTTGTCTACTTAGTTTATGTTTTAAGGGTCTGTGCTGGGACCAATGCTGTTCAACGTATTCATACATAATTTGGAAAAAGGGGTAAACAGTGAGGTGGTAAAGTTTGCAGACAGTACTAAATTACCCAAGATAGTTCAGTCCAAAGCAAACTGTGAAGAGATGCAAAGAATTTGCATAAAACTGGGTGACTGGGCAACAAAATAGCAGATGAAATTCAATGTTGATAAATGCAAAGTAATGCACATTGGAAAACATAATCCCAACTATACATACACAATTATGGGGTCTAAATTAGCTGTTACCACTCAAGAAAGAGATCTTGGAGTCATTGTGGATAGTTCTCTGAAAACATACACTCAATGTGTAGCATCAGTCCAAAAAGCTAATAGAATGTTAGGAACCATTAGGACAGGGATAGGAGATAAGACAGATGTTTCCATCTGAGGGGAGATTAAGATGACTGGGACTGTGCAGCTCAGAACAGAGATGACTAAGGGGTGGGATATGATAGAGAACTATAAAATCATGAATGGTGTGGAGAAAGTAAATAAGGAAGTGTTATTTACATCTTAATGTAACACAAGAACCAGGGGTCACCCAATGAAATTAATAGGCGGCAGGTTTAAAACAAACATAAGGAAGTACTTCTTTAGATAACATATAGTCATCCTGTAGAATTCATTGCCAAGGGATGTTGTGCAGGCCAAAAGTATAACTGGGTTAAAAAAATAATTAGGTAAATTCATGGAGGATAGGTCTGTCAATGGCTATGATCCAAGATGATCAGGGATGCACCCCATGCTCCTGGTGTCCATAAGCCTGTTGAGTGACAGAAAATGGGACTCAACAACAGGGTGTGGATCACTTGATAATTCATAGACTTTAAGGCAAGAAGAAACCACCTTGACCATCTAGTCTGACCTGCACATTGCAGGCCACAGAGCCTCACCCACCCACTGCTGTAATAGATCAATAACCTCTGGCTGAGTTAGTGGAGTTTTTAAATCATGATGTAAAGACTTCATGTTACAGAGAATCCACCATTTACTTTAGTTCAAACCAGCAAGTGACCCGTGCCCCATGCTGCAGAAGAAGGTGAAAACTGACCAGAGTTTTGGGCAGTCTGACTTGGAGGGGAATTCCTTCCTGACCCCAAATATGGCAATCAGATCCACCAGCCAGACATTACAGTGAGTGCTTTCCTGGGTAACTCAGAGCCTTCCCCATCTAGTGTCCCATCTCCACCCATTGGAGATATTTGCTACTAGCAGTCACAAATGGGCCATGTGCCCTTGTAGACAATCTCATCATACCACCCCCTCCATAAACTTATCAAGCTCAATCTTAAAATCAGTTAGGATTTTTGCCCCCACTCCTCTTCTGGGGAGTGGGTTCCAGAATTTCAATCCTATAATGATTAGAAATCTTCATCTAATTTCTAGCCTAAACTTGTTGATGGCCAGTTTTATATCCATTTGTTCTTGGACCAGCTTTAGCCCTTAACTGAAATGACTCCGCTCCCTCCCTGATGTTTATCCCTCTGATGCATTCATATAGAGTAATCATATCTCCCCTCAGCCTTCGCTTGGTTAGGCTAAACATGCCAACCTCCTTACATCTCCTTTTGTAAGGTAGGTTCTCCATTCCTCTGATCATCCTCATAGCCCTTCTGTACACCTGTTCCAGTTTGCATTCATCTTAAATATGAGAGACTAGAACTGCATGCAGTATTCCAGATGAAATCGCCCAGTGCCTTGGATAATGATAACAACACTTCCCTATCTCTCCTGATGTATCCTGGGATTGCATTATCAATTTTTCCACAGCCTGATCACATTGATGACTCAGAGTCCTAGTGTTCTGGTCACTCCCTCTGAAGCGTCTGGCACTGGACACTGTTGGAAGACAGGATACTGGGTCAGATGGACAATTAGTCTGACGCAGTATGGCCGTTCTTATGTTTTGCTGTGTTTGTCATAGATTTCACAGTTCAGCTATTTAAACTAGAACAAAATCAGATAAAAATTCAGTCAAAAACCTTTAATCCAGGTGACAAAAGAATTACTGAATTATTTCAAACAGCTGTTTGGTTTAACAGAGTTGTTGTAAGGAAAACAAATACTGTATTGTTGTGCAAGACTAGGGAGTTGATCTGATTTTAAATATCAGTTGAATAGAAAATGCATATGCTGCGCATTAAATAACTTACTATTCTATCCCCTGTCCCCGTCTGTTTGAATTGTAGGTGCCAGGGAGCTTGATGGATGTGAATGTACTGATGGCTCTGCAGTTACTGATAGAACAGGTCTCTGTGGAAAAAAATGTGCAACTTTTGCAACAGATGCATCAACATTTACTTTTTGACTTTAGGATCTGGAACCGTGGAGACTTCCCCTTCCGGATTGGTGAGATGATCATACAACTTGAGATAGTTATGCTAAAACACAGTATCTTTGCTCTTCATAAATCCCTGAGTCTAGGTTCTAATGGAAAGCTTTGTATTTTAGGACATATACAGTACCTTTCCACAATCATCAAAGACAGCAGGAGGCTTTTCAGAAAGAAGTATGGAGTTCAGTTTCTACTAGACACACTCAGGATTTATTATGGGTATGAGGTTTATGCTCCTTACTTTGTTGTATGCTGTCGTTACCTTTTTCACAAAAGGCCAGGCAGAAACTGTGAATTAAAAGTGAGAGCTGATCAAGTTTTTGAGTTTAATTCTCCTTTACGTAAATGACTACTTTCCCTTGACCCCTGTGTTAGAACTAGACGGTAGCAAGCTCATACCAAAAGTACTAGAAATGTGTAGAAAACTTGCTTGCAGTTTAGAAGGTCGAAAAAGGTCTTCTTTCTTATTATTTTTTGTTAATTAAATCACCCAGCATCCCAATTATCAAGAAAATACCAGCTGACTACAAGCTTTATGTTCAGGATTTAAAGTGAGGGGAAAGTTTGTCCCAAAAGAATTTGAGTAACATCATCTTTGGGATCTTCAGGATAAGCTTTCACCCTTGATGATAGGCTTACATCAATTTATATCTGCTTATAATTTTCAATGGTGTCTTCAAGGAAAATGGCTAGAGATTTATTTATAAAAACAAAAATTGAAATGCTTTTACATTTCTATTTAGCTGGCAAGCTCTTTGAGACAAGGACCATCTATTGTTAGTACAGTACCTAGCATAACTGGGCCCTATTCTTGGTTGCCCCATAGGCACTACCATAATAAACATGCTTAGTAATAATAGTAGGTCCCCAAATCAGGTTTAGGTCTACATCTGGGGGTTTATCAGGCTCCAAAACCCAGTTCTGCTTTTGGCTTCTCCCACTTTGTCATCTTGAATATCACTCCAAGGATAAGGTAGCAGGGTTATTAAAACAAGTAGTGGAAGTATTAGCAGAGTGATATTTATAAATCACAAATTGTGTAATACAAGAAATGTATTTTTTACAGTCCTTTTTTCTTTGTCTGTGTTAGTAGTGGCTATAAAGACAGTGACTTAACTCCAGATGACCTCAGAACAATACAGACATTCCTATATGGACTGATCAAATATTTCCTAAGCAAAGGTGGGACACATGAAGAAATACAGAGCATCATGGGATATATAGCTGTGACCAGTGAAGAGGAACAGGTATTTAATATGGCAACAGTGAACATCTGTGGTTGCTTCCTACCTTTTTAGTATTTAGGAGTTTTGACCATAGCTTTGTTGAAAGAAAGAGACAAAAAAAGATGCAAGCAAAATCCAATGCAGCATATATGTTACTACTTTGTAGTTGTGGCAGGCTGTAGAATTAAGCCTGTTGTGGGACTGCACAGGGGACTGTGCAATGGGCAATACTTTAACTGACGATCCTACTCCTTTTTCTCTGGTAAGCAGGTGAGTTGGGTAAAATGCAGACTGACTGGATATCAGTATTTTTCTAAGCCTGTATAAAATGAAGAGAATTGTACTTCATTGCTCTGAAGTTGTAATGATTTATTTTTTCTATTTGTATTCCATTGATATGGTGGTTGGTTCTCTCCATTCTCCCTCTCCTCTGTCCTTGACTCTTTTTTCCCCTCTCTCCGATCACGGGGTCTACCCTAGCTCATTTCCAGTGTCTGCTTCCTACGTTCCCGCTCTTGTGCTGTGTAGCATTGCTGGCAAAAGTCCTGTGACCAGGCTGACTTTCTCCATTACAAATTTGTTTTCTTTTCTTCCAGTTCTGCCATCTTCCTAGTTAAAGTCTTCTTCACCAACTTAATTGAATCTCATACCCTGTCAAGGTTCCTTCCCCACTCTGAACTCTAGGGTACAGATGTGGAGACCTGCATGAAAGACCCCCTAAGCTTATTCTTACCAGCTTAGGTTAAATACTGCCACCACCAAAGTGTTACACAAAGAACAGGGGAAGTGCCCACTTGGAAACGTCTCCCCCCGCAAAATATCCCCCCAAGCACTACACCCCCTTTCCTGGGGAAGGCTTGATAAAAAATCCTCACCAATTTGCATAGTTGAACACAGACCCAAACCCTTGGGTCTTAAGTACAGTGAAAAAGCAATCAGTTTCTTAAAAGAGAATTTTAATTAAAGAAAAAGTAAAAGAATCACCTCTGTAAAATCAGGATGGTAAATACCATACAGGGTAATCAGATTCAAAACATAAAGAATCCCTCTAGACAAAACCTTAAGTTACAAAAAGACACACAAACAGGAATATACATTCCATTCAGCACAACTTATTTTATCAGCCATTTAAACCAAACAGAATCTAATGCATATCTAACTAGATTACTTACTAACTCTTTACAGGAGTTCTGACCTGCATTCCTGCTCTGGTCCCGGAAAAAGCAACACACAGACAGAGAGAACCCTTTGTTCTCCCCCCCCCAGCTTTGAAAATATCTTGTCTCCTCATTGGTTATTTTGGTCAGGTTTCAGTGAGGTTATCTTAGCTTCTTAACCCTTTACATGTGAAAGGGTTTTTCCTCTGGCCAGGAGGGATTTAAAGGTGTTTACCCTTCCCTTTATATTTGACATACCCACAGTCCCAACGGCCTTTTTGCCACCTTTTGACTCACTCCTCAAACTCTCCTTTCCCCTTTTCCTGCCACCATTTCTCTTGTTGCACAGGATTCTTTCAAGAGAAAGTTGACAAGATCTGATGTGACCTTCACCCTCCCTTTGGCTGATCCCTGATGTGGACGTTTCTCATCTGCTCTCCTGATCTCCCTTGTGCCCACTCTCCTTCCCTATTTTACTCTTCTCCTTAATCTCTCACTCTTCTTTGGCTCTTTCGTCTCACAATACAAACATGCATTAGTCTTTCCCATTGTAAAAATACCTACCCTTCACCCTCACTTGCCTCTCGAAAGCTCTATCTCCCTTCTCTTTCATCTCTGAGCTCATTGAGCACATTGTTTATAATAGCTGTCTGCAGTTCTTCTCTTCTGTGTTTGTACAGCACCTAATAGAGTTGTGTCCTTGGGCCACTAGACTCTATGGCAATACAAGTAATGACAAACCCTTTTGCTCAGTTTAAGCCTCTTTTGTTTACAGTTTGATGCAAGTGCCCTCTGTGTGGGGTGTGTGTGTGTGTGTATATATATATAGGAACAGCTTTACAGAAACTAAAGCTGATTGTAAATATAATGTGATTGAAAGGGACTAACACTTTTCTGACAATGTGATGTAAGATGCTGTATTTAGAGGGGGGGGGGAATGGATGTTTCCCCTTGAGTTGGGCATTATAGTCAAGGTTGCATGGATTATGGGTTTTATTTAGGTGTGTGTTTTTATTTTGTAGCTCTGTGGGATTCTTGATGTACTCTTCAGCCTACTTCATACCAGCCCAACCCGGGACCAGCTTTTCTTGTTGCTTTTTGAACCAGGAAATGCTGATATCCTCTATGCTCTGTTACTGAATCAGAGATATTCTGACAGGCTAAGGGAACTTGTATTCAAGGTAATAAATTTAGTATAAGTTCTTTAATGGTAACTTTTGCAAATGTATGCTCTCTTTTATCTGAAATATCTTTGGCAGTTAAACCCTGTTTTAAAATGGATACAAATTTATGTAGAACGTATTAATTTAGCAAACCTGCTTATAGTTATTTATTAGTAGTAGTACACTTACTAGAAATGATAAATTCTGCACAGTTGTTACTTATTGTACTTTTCATAATGGAAGCTGTTGTATTCCAGTGAAGCAGAATATTTGAAGATTTGGTATCTTTAAAGATCAAAGAGCACCTGTATTTACGTTTGTACTGTATTAGTATTTATTTTTGGGGCATATTTCTTTAAAAAATTATGCACAGACAAATTATAATTCTGATTCTATTAATAAGATTGCTTGGAATTTATATACAGAAGGCATGTGTACTTTTTTTATGTATGTGATTTTTGTGATCTTTCTTCGCAGATTGTAGAGCAGATGCTGAAATGTACTAAAGTCTATGAACGGAGTAAACAACGTATAAGACTCAGAGAAGTGGGATACTCTGGGCTAGGGCTCCTTCTGAATGAATCTCCAGTTACCATTTCTCTTATTAAAAATCTTCTTAACCAAATTCTGTATACAGGTAATTCAAGACACTTTGACAGATTGCCTACTAGTAATACCATACCAGGCCATCCTTCCTTGTGTGCTGCTGCTGGCTGTGGCTCTGCCTTCAGAGCTGGGAACCCGGTTAGCAGCTGCTGCTCTCCAGCAGCAGTGCAGAAGTGAGGGTAGCAGTACTGAAACCCCCACTACAATAACCTTGCAAACCCTCCCCACCCCCCCACCCCCCCACAACTCCTTTTTGGGTCAGGATCCCTACAATTACAACACCGTGAAAATTTTGATTTAAATAGCTGAAATCATGAAATTTATGATTTTAAAAATTATTAAAAGTATTAAATCCCTGCTGTTTTTTTTTTTAAGACAAACATGTTTGATTTACTTATTTTAAGCCTCCACCCCCTAGTCTGTATAGTAATGATTTGCTGTGATGAAAACCAAGCTACTATGTAAAGTGATTCTATTCTAAATGTGCTCCAGGTTAACACATTTATGCTGATGGTTTCAATTTACTTAGCGTTTAAGCATAATTTCTTAAAACTTCAAAACAAACTTACATTTGTCCCATTTACTAATCCTTGATGTATAAAGATGGCCTCAAAGGTTTTTTCATTTTTCTTCCTGCTTATGCAATGTCTGTTTGTTTGTATTCCCACCCTGCAGATCCTGTTGTGAATTACAGAGACCTCACAGCTGTGGTGCACTTGTCTCATAGAGCAGATATAAATGTTAGAGTGGCCATCTGCAAAAAGGTTAGTATTCTTAAAAACAGGAGGCCATTTTACCTGTTGGTAATGACGTGGGGAGCTGCAGAACATATGTTAGGGGTATATGACATTATATTAATTTTAAATGATGACTCATGCTAATAATGTGAGTCTCTGATGAACCTGAGCTGCTGTTTGTACACCACATTACTGTATTTTCAGTAATTTTTAAACTGTTCTACTTTCTATGATTGTCAAATGTTGTGTATTTTCTACAGAAAGGAAATACGGAACTGTTTTAATGACCGACTTCTCTCAGAGTGTTCAAAAGTAACAGAGGTTGCTTTCAGAATTTTGCTCAGTTACTTTAAGAGAACATTTTCTGTGTGTTTTGTTTTTTAAATTCATTCCTAAAAAGGTAGGTTGTGAGCCAAGGAAAGGTGCAAGGCAGAAACCGAGTTTAGTGTGATCCTAAACTACTACTGTTGGTGCAGGTTGTTGAAATATTTTACCGGGTAGAGAGAGGCTGAGAGATAATATGTTTGTCATAAGTTGCATCACAGTTTCTGAAGTGAGCTGGAGATTCTGACTGTAGTGTTGGATGCTGAATGTTCAACTCTCCTTGTGTGTGCGTGTGTGTGGCACCATTATTTGAACTTTTTATTCTAGCTCAGCTGTTTCTAATCCCATATATTTTGTAATTTGTTGTACTGATTTTGTAAACTGGTGTTCTGAAATGGATATATATTGTGGGGTATGTGACTGCTTTTTGTGGAAATAGTTGCAAAATAGTGCCTGAGAGATGGAAACATGACCGATGTGCTATAGTTAGCTTTGTACTTTATTTCAATATCAAGGAAACTTTTTGTTTTTGCATTTAGTAATAAATTAATAGGTTTTTTTTAAATTATACATTGTTAGCTTTTAACAAGCTATATTCTATTTCTTACCACACCAATCATTTATTTTCTTCATTAAAATAAGATGCAAGTTCAGTGGAATAAAAGAAATATGTGCAATTTTCAAAATGATTATATAGCTGTCCGATGTCTCACTTTCTTTTCTGTTGTAAATGATTACTATGTGATTATCTTAATTCATGCAAACTACTGTAGATCCATAAATATTTAACTTTCTGAGTGTTTGTATTTCTCTTTCTCCTGTAAAGAATTATCTATAGCTCAGATGTACTCTATGCCTATTGACTAAGTATATTACAAGAATTTTTTGCAGCAGGCATAAAATGTAATGGATTACGAAATGTGTGATTAAAGGCTAGAATGACTGCCGTTAGGTAGCACAGGTTAATGTGTACATGCTTGGATATTGAGCCTGACCTCTTGTGCTCTCTACAGGTTTTACAGCTTTTACATTCCCAGCCGGATGCAGCACAGCAGATTGCTCAACAGCTAGCCTGGCAGGAGACATTGGTTAGACTATTCCTAAAAGAAAACTCCGACATCAGGAATAGACTTAAAGAGAGCAGGACTGACTCTACAAAGGAAGATGAAAAAAAAATTCCTGCTGAAGAGCTTCAGAAATGCTATCCTGATCAGGCAGAGGAGGGGAAAGCTAGTAGCTTTACCTCAGTTAATGGTTCATACGATCAGTGGAGTGTGGAAGACAGCAAATCTTTAGATGTCACCACCTGTTTTTCTGGTACATTGCTGGAAGGTACTTCTGTTGAAGAGATGACTTCCAGGTCAGAGGATCAAGAAGAGTTATGGCACAGTAATCCTTCACATTTGCATTTAGATCTGTCTAGCATGGACTCTTATGAGCTGGCTGATAGTGGGAATCAAATGACAGATAGCATGCCCAGCACACCGTCACCCATTGAAAATTCGAAGCCATTCTCTGGTCAGCCTGACAAAGAATCAAGTATCATCGATGATATGGGATTCAGTGTTGATCTTTCGTTATTTGAAAACCAAGGAGTAAGTAATCCTCCCCATCCTGTCTAAACATGTATAATTCACAGTACTTTTAATTCTTTTAAAATACACTCCCCAATTACAGGTTTCAGAGTAGCAGCCATGTTAGTCTGTATCCGCAAAAAGAAAAGGAGTACTTGTGGCACCTTAGAGACTAACAAATTTATCTGAGCATGAGCTTTTGTGAGCTACAGCTCACTTCATTGGATGCAATGAGACAGTTATGCTGTTCTCCCTCTAACAGAGGAGCGGATAAAGCAGCTCATTTGCAGTGGATATCAGTGCTGTTTGTTGCAGAATAAACATCCAGCTTTCAAGGTTGTTTTTTTTTTAGTTCGCTAGCTGAAATTGTAACATTATTTTTTAAATCAGAACTGTATTGGAATGATCTGTATCATCCCCATCAAGGAAAAAGTTGTGCTATGGCCAAAGCAGTGGTACTAAGACTCAAATCTCAATTCTTGCACAGAAAGTAAAGCAAATATTAATTTAATAATCTGGACTAAAAATCATTGCAGTACAATTTTAGGTTAATATTTTCATTTAATTAGTGGGCAGACTCTTTAGGCTACAGTGTTAAAGATGATGAAACTTTACAAGCATAGTGTACTGTGTAACAAATAACAAGCCTCTTTGAGGCATTCTGAACTATAAAGAGTGTGAATTTCTTGATTGTTTCATAGGGATCTGAAGAGGAGCTCATACAGTTGCTCACAGATGTCCTGCTCTGTGTGATGTGGAAAGGTTTAGAAAGGTTTGATGATGCTGTCTGGATTGAGAGGGGGCAGGTGTTTTCTGCACTGACCAAACTGGGGATATCTAATGAGTTACTACAACCTTCTGATGAAATAAAACTCAAGTGAGTATAGTGTAATGACAGATTTCTTTTCTTTTGGAGGGGAAGGAAAAAAAAGATGGAATCAGAGTAACATTAAATCCTGGTGAAAGACACTGAATTGATTTACTTTGATCCCCTTCATTCTCCTGCAAGTATGATCAGACACATATCTAAGCATCTGTACCTATTTATAAATTGAATTTATTTGACAGAACTTAGAATTGTATGCCCCTTAGAATTGTATGAAGATCACAATCTCCTTAATCTCACTGGTTTACAGGGTAGAAGACAGTAATATCACCACATACACTTAGGCTCAGTTAAATACGTAATGGGATTTTTTTAAAAGCCACTTACTCTTAGAACATGTGATGATTACTTTGGGATTTTGTTTTCCAATCAGCTTGCTAGAGAAGATGCTGGAATGGACCGTCACTGATAACAGAGACGCAAAAGCTCTTCCAACACATGCTGAAAATGCCTTCCGGCTCTTGCTCATCGTACAGGACTTTCTACAGGCAGAAGGGCTGGTTAATTCAAACTTATGGACAGAAAAGGTATAATAGCTGCCTAATGGAAACTCTCGTAAATTATGTAGGGGCTGAAACGTTTATGAAACAGTTGTCAGTTTGAAGAAAAGGGTGACGTTACTCAATCATGAGTAGGGCCCTACCAAATTCACTGTCCGTTTTGGTCAATTTCATAGTCATAGGATTTTAAAAATCATAGATTTCATGATTTCATATATTTAAATCTGAAATTTCATGGTGTTGTAATAGCAGGGGTCCTGACCCCAAAAAGGAGTTGCGGGGGAGGTCACAAGGTTATTGTCGGGGGCTTGCAAGGGGTACGGCTACCCTTATTTATGTGCTGTTGGTGGTGGCGGCCCTGCCTTCAGAACTGGGTGGCCGGTGAACCAGCCTGGGTGGCCAGGAGTCCAGCAGAAGTAAGCATGGCATGGTATGGTATTGCCATCCTTACTTCTGCACTGCTGCCTTCAGAGCTGGGCCCTCTATCAGCAGCCGCCACTCTCCGGCTGCCCATCTCTGAAGGCAGAAATGCAGAAAATAAGGGTGGCAGGGTACAGTGCTGCTACTCTTATTTTTGTGCTGCTGCTGGCGAAGCGCTGCCTTCAGTGCTGGGCGCCTGGCCAACAGCCGCCGCTCTCCGGCAACCCAGCTCTGAAGGCAGTGCAAAAATAAGGGTGGCAATACCGTGACCCCCCTGCAAATCCCTTTTGGGTCAGGACCTCCAATTTGAGAAACACTGGTCTCCTCCATGAAATCTGTATAGTATACAGTAAAAGCACATGAAAGACCAGATTTCATGGCGAAAGACCAGATTTCATGGTCCGTGATGCGTTTTTCATGGCCGTGAATTTGGTAGGGCCCTAATCATGTGACATTTATTTTAACTAGAGACTAAGTAGTGTGTGGAGCGGATTTGACTGCCCCTTTAAATACTAGAATTTTATATGCACATGCCATAGGGAATACAGTTAATATTGCAAATACATGAGTCTTTAATGGCACCCTTGATTAAAGAGCCTTATCTTTACAGACTACAGAAAAGCTACATGAATGCTAGAACAAATGAAACAGAGCTAACCATTTTCTAAGTAGGTGTTGGTCCACTGGTCAAATGGTATGCTTCATATTGTATGTGCTATTTAAAAGGGCAGCCAAAATCATTGCATTCATTCATTCTCTGCTCTTTGTCACAAACTGAGGAAGGGCACTTGGGATTTTTAACCCAGATTTTACTTCCAGCATGTTTTGTGAGCAGATTTTGGGTCAGATGCAAAAGTGACTTAAATGGGTGGAAGAAGTGTGTGGGGGGGGTGTGAAAGTTCCAGATTCAGCTGTGTAAGGTCAAGCTGGTGTAATTTACATGCCAAGGAGGCCAGAAGGATTAGGTAGTAGTGGAAAAGCAAACAGGAAAGCATAAGAAGGTATAAAATAAAGAAGGCTCCCATCCTCTCGTTGGTTGTGTTTCCTGCTGCAGACCTGCTTTCCTGTCTGCTCCATGTGCAAGTTACACAGACTTGCAAGTTACCCTAACATTTGTATAATCTATGAATAATGATTAAGGCTGTGAGTCTGTCACGGATTCTGTGACTTTCCACGATCTCTGTGACTTTCCACGATCTCTGTGACTTCTGCAGGGGCCAGTGGGGTTGACTCCAGTGCTGCCCAAGCAGTTGGCTCCAGGTGGTCCTGGAGGCAGTCACCCCAGCTGCTACTGGAACAGTTCTGAAGCCAGCCACTCTGGCGGACCCGTAGCCAGTAGCTGCGGCGTCAGCCACTGCTCGGGCGGCCCTGGGCAGCTGCTTCCAGCAGTGGTCCCCGGGTGGCTGGCGCAGCCGCTTCCATCAGCCCATGGTGGCAGTCCATGGGCGGCTGGAGTAGCTGCTTCCCCTGGCGGCCCCTGTCAGTGGTGCCTGGGCGGCCGATGCAGCCGCTGCCAGATACGGTCCCCGGCGGCTGGAGTAGCCGCTTCCCCGGATGGCCCCTAGCAGCGGTGCCCGGGCAGCCAGAGTAGCTACTTCCCCGGGCAACCCCCGATAGTGGTGCCCAGGTGGCCGGTGCAGTTGCTGCCAGTGGCCCCCGGCAGCTGGTGCCGTGGCTGGCCCTCTCCCCCCCCCCCCCAGTAGTGCCCCCTAGGATGCCCCCCCAGCAGCAGCCCCCAGGCTTCTCCCCTAGCAGCGACCCCTCCAGACACCTCTCCCCCAGCAGTGGTCCCAATGCCACGCAGCAGTGACCCCCCTCCCCCTTAAGATTTAGTCACGGGTATTTTTAGTAAAAGTCATGGACAGGTCACGGGCTGTGAATTTTTGTGTATTGCCCGTGACCTGTCCATGACTTTTACCAAAAATACCTGTGACTAAATCATAGCCTTACTCATAGTGCACAACCCTCGGCACCAACTACTGCCGTCAGTGCCCTCCTCAGTACCGATGCTCTCAGTACCGCAGCATTTTTCCCACCCCAAAGATCTTCTGGATTTTCAGGATTGTAATCTCCACTCCTTGGTACTGGCCTACCTAGGTACTTACCCTAGCTCGCTTGGTACTGTGCCAACTTACTACACCACCCAGATCAGCTCCTCCTTTATCCAGAGGGGAGGAGGAGGATGAAGGGGAAATACACTGTGTTTCTTAGATTATAAAATCTAGTATATGATTAATGACATCAACGTAAATATGGGAATAAAAAGAAAAAAATGGAAGTGGCCCACGGTTCTGAGCAACTCACAGGATCAAATTTTGGAGGTTACAAAGAGGGCAGGGATCCTGTTTTTTTTTAATTCTCTCAAAAGCATCATGCACGCCACTAGGGGTAATGAAACAATAAATTAACTTTTCATTTAAATTAGATAAAATGCAAAGGAGTGGGAAAGGAATGTAACATAAATTCATACTGAGTTAAAATTTATTAATCTTTATAGTGTGTATGCTCTTAAGCGTAGAGCCTTTTTTAATCAAAACAATCATACTCTCAGCCACTGCATTTGTAGAATTGACATTTGCTGGGGATGACTTAGAGGAATAGGGTATTAATTTTATTTTTATATACACAAATAACTATTTTTGTTCAGGGGATAGATATTTTGTCAGACTTCACCCCATAGTTGTTGCAGTCCTGAATTCTGTCACAATTAGTTGTTGAACCTCTGTCCCAGAGTATATTTAGTTAATTACTTTGGGTTAGGTTGAAGTATGGGGGACAGCCTGCTTTGTTTGTTGTAGGGTATGTCTAGACAGCCTGTGGCAGTGAGCCTTCCTGCCAGGATTGACAGACTTGGGCTTGCGTTACCGCACTAAAAATAATTGTATAGACAATGGGGGTTGGAGCTTGGGCTCTGAAGTGCACCTTCTTCTTTAGGCTTCAAAGTCTGAGCTCCAGCCTGAGCCACATCCTCAATGCAGCTATTTTTAGTAAGGTGGCACAAGCCCAGGTCTGTTGACCCGGGCTGGGGGGGCTTGCTGCCATGGGCTATGTAAACATACCCTTATAGACCTTATCAGACCTTCAAAATGATTATTCGGTGACTTTACTTGTAGTTATACTAGTGTCTCAGCACTTCCAATTTTGTTTTTTTTCTTCACACAAATCTCTCACTTTTACAATAGCTTTTAGAAGAGCTGGTGACACTCATTGACAGCCTGTCACTCTGGTACTCTGCTGGCCCAGAATGGATCAAGCTCTCCCAAGTGCAGGTCCAGTTGCTCCTTGGATTCATTGGACAAGATAACTTACAGGTTTGTTGTATATTAATGTGTCTAATACTATGTTACATTCGTGCTGATCATGTAACTATAGAACTTTCAGTGATTGTAGGGATGCAGTTCACTTCAGTGAGTTTGCTGATTTCATCATAATCCTCAGACTTGTTATAAATGAGAGGCTTCAGCCCCTGCCACCATATGCACACTTGTTACATATTCCTCTCCATCCTCACCTGCCGAAAACGAATTGTTTCTAACTCATTAAATTAGATTGTAAGCTCTTTGAAGCCAGAGCCATCACTTCTGGATGTGTCTTTATGTACAGTACTTATCACAGTGGGACTCTGATCGAGCCAGAGGCATTTGGGCACTACCATAATGCATATAAATTAACAGTGGCTAAGTGTACTGAAATCCTATACTTCTCTAACTTACTGGAAGTTTCACACTATCTAACAAACAGTGGTAGGAGTCATGCAAAACCCTGTGGTGAAATGTAGCATGCATGCACTAGCCTCATGGGGGTTTGGTTTGGTTTTTCTCTGTCCAGGTTTGTGCTATGGCAGCAGCCAAGCTAAACACCCTTCTTCAGACCAAAGTAATTGAAAGCCAAGCTGAGGCATGCTACCTCTTGGGGAAGTTGGAAGGCATCCTGAGTAGATCAATCAAAGAGAAGACAGAAACATACGCATTCTTGATTCCCCTTGTTCGAACACTGGTATCCAAAGTTTACCAACTTCTCTTCATGAACCTGCACCTACCCTCACTGCCTCTCACCAATGGCAGTCCCTCTTTCTTTGAGGACTTCCGGGAGTATTGCAGCTCAGATGAATGGCAAGTTTATATTGATAAATATGTAAGTAATGGCTTCTTCTTGGCTTTTTCTCTATTTTCTTCCATTAGGGAGGAGAGAATCTGTTCAGCAATCATCTTGATTTTTTTTAAATATTTCTTGTGCATCAGATTATTCCATATATGAAACAGTATGAAGTCAATACATTCAGTGATGGTCATGAGCGTATGGCACTTTATTGGAAGGACTGTTATGAGGCATTAATGGTGAATATGCATAAGCGAGACAGAGAACGAGGAGAAAGCAAGCTCAAATTTCAGGTAAAGTCTTTAGCTCCTCTAAAAACATTTTGTACTTTTTCAGGAGCAAGGGCAGGAAATTAGTTTGAAACTGATCTGACCCCAGTGATTGTTGGGGGAAAAACGCTGCCAGTCTGTCAGTGATCATGTATATCGAGAGATCCTAACCTTAATCATCATCATACCTCCATTTTGCATGCGGATTGTGTAAAATTATTTTATTGATCCAGTATTGATAACCACTTTTCCACTAATTTAAATCAATGCTGTTTTTCTGTTCTCCAGAACTAAACCTTTTGATATTTCACACTTACTTTAAATGGTGATTTTTACAAATTTGTTTGACTCCAGGTCATTTGAAATGATATCCAGCCCTAATTAAACTCTGAATATCGTCTTAATGGTTCACTAACAAAAAACTGTCAAAGACAGCTACCCTGATTTTGTCCTCTGGATCTTTTTTTAATTCAGAAATATGGTAGTAATGTCTCCTTGTTTGGTTTGGATCTGGTCCTTCTTTGATTCTCCCAAGGCTGGTTCTGTGCTCCTATAGATTTCCATGGTAGTTACAATGTAGCATAAGTAAACACTTACTTATGTTAGCTCTTTGATTCCCCAGAGTTGCAGATCACACTGGCTGATCCGTTAGTGTGACATCCCACGTGTACCATGCTCCACCTTGACAGCTTCTATAGAAATTTCACTGCAGAATGAAGCTGACCTGTTGAGGTATCAAGTAAATAATGAAAGAACAATTGGAGTGATTGGGACTGGCCCATGGTCTCCTACCTCCCAGGTGGATGCCTGAACCACTGGATTATACAGAGGTTTCAGAGTAGCAGCCGTGTTAGTCTGTATTCACAAAAATGCATCCGATGAAGTGAGCTGTAGCTCACGAAAGCTTATGCTCAAATAAATTGGTTAGTCTCTAAGGCGCCACAAGTACTCCTTTTCTTTCTGGATTATAGAGAGTCATTCTCATTCTCTCTCTCTGTCTTTGGCCCAGTGATTGCTCCACTGGGGAGTAATACTTAAATAGTCACTGTTTCATTATTTATCCAAAGTGGAATGGCTTCAACAGGAGAGATTGAAGGAGTCCCACATCAGAATATCTCACAGTTCAGTGGTTAGAGCCTGCTATTGAGACATGGGAGACCTCTGTTCAAATATTTTTCTCCCCTTCTGCCTGAACAGGGAATTGAATCTGGATCTCCCAAATCCCAAGTGAGTGCTCTCACCTGTGGACTAAAAGTTAGTTGATAGGCACCACCACAATCGCCTCCAACTCTGGCCATTTTGTGTGGAGCAAGGCAGGCATTCTCACAAAAAATGCCTTGTGACTCCATACGGCTGGTTCCTGTTTGTGGATTGCTCAGCGGAACTGGTCATCTCCCTGCAGGCTGGGCATAGGTGCCTATCTCCGAGAGAGGACTGGGGCTCAGCACACATCCCTCTTACGAGCATCTCCCAATGGCTAGCATAGGGGCACATTATAAGGCACCCCTCTCTCCCCATTCATGGGATAGGGAGCCTTGGTGCCTAGTACAGGTTTGTAGAGTGCAGTGTTGTTCCTGTGATTTTTATGGGCACTTAAAAGTTGGGCACTGTGACTCTCAGCGTTGTAACGCCTAAATTCCTTTTGTGGATCCAGGCCTAGATGCTTGTGTGTTTCCTTCCCTCATTTAACCTGGTTCTGAAGCTATTCAGCACATACTGCTGAAGTAAGCAGAATTTTTGGAGTTACCTTTAATATTTCCTACTTACTGGTGAAGGTTTTATCCTTTTCATGAGGCAAAATGGTTTTTACAGAAGGCAAGGTTCTTACAGGAAACTGCATCAGATTTACTTACAATGTTGCTTTCAGGAGTGTTTTGTGGAGCCATTTAACCGAAAGGCACGCCAGGAGAACCTGCGTTACAACAGCATGCTAAAACAGCTTAATAGTCTACACACCGCTACTCTGAGGCAGTGGAGAGCAGCCCAACTTTATCTGACTTGTGAACAGGGCCCCTGGGCTGAAAGGTATGAGTGAAATACTTTATTCCAAGATCATCTTACGTCTAATAGAAAGTTGCTTTCTGTTTCATATACTGTAGTGGTAATTGCAGAAGGTTGCTGAAGTATATATATAGATATATATATAGGTTGATATAGAAGATTACCATTGAATGTTTTCTTTTTAATGTTTATCTGCATTTAACTAGCAAAATACCAGTGCTTAAGTTTAATATATAACTCAGCTAGATTTTACTGAAAAGTAACATGTAAAAAGTAGCTATGGCTGAAGGAAATTTAAAACTTACATGAGAGAAACTTCATGTACTAAAGACCAGCGGTTATGTGATATGTTTCAGAAGAGTGAGATATAATGGATATTTAACACAATGCTGGTATTCTATAACAAACACAAAGGCTAAAGCCTGGATTAAGGCAAATTTGAACATGATTATTGTGTTGTGCCTACTTAATTTTCCCCATCAATTTCATTTGGATAAGATGTTCTTTACTGCCTGTCCAAAACTGTCAGGTAGTCTTGCTGTGAGCTGTTAAACAGCTGCTGTATTTCAATGGAGGATGTGCATAGTATGTTAAGTGCATTGGGCTGAAATGTTAGATACTGTACAATATATCTTACATTTGTTATATTACTCTTAAGGGTATATGATTTTTTTTTTACATTATGATTTTAAATACAAACTCTGATAGAATCAACTCATTTGCTCTAAGTATTTGTTTTTTATATCTTAGTATAAATATTTTTGCTGTCTCTAGGAAACAGAATCCCATTCACTGGAAACTTTCAAATGTGGAAAACTACTCACGTATGAGGTTAAAACTAGTGCAAAATTACAATTTCAACTCCCATCAGGAGGCCAGTGACCTGAGAGACAATTTAGGTAAGATCCAAATTCACTGTTTCCTCACTAATAATTTAGATCATGGACTATTTATATTCCTGATTCCTTAGCAACCTTTTGCAAATTTTAAACAGTGTTTTGTAGTTATTTTAAAATGCTTTTTTTATTTTCTCCTCTAAAGAAACCCACTTTTCCTTATAGTGGAAATATATGTTGTAAGATTTTAAAAAAAGGATATATGGTTGATTTGAATAAAGTTTTCTTGAAAAATCTGTTTTAATGGGGTACTGTCAACTTGCTTAGATCCAAAGCGGAATCTTCCTTCAAAATAAATCTCATTCAGCATCCCTAGAGAATGCTTTATGTCTGCATCTTCATATTGCCAAAAATGATGTGTGTTCTTAAAAAAAATAAAAAACAAAAGAACCCCTCCCAACTCTATTTTTCATATGAGCAAACAAATAGTTTTACAGGGACCTTTATAATATTTATATTTCTTTAAGCAAGGTAAATGTTGAGGCTAAAATACGTTGAAAATCTTGCTTTAAACTTGAATCAAGCCTATGTGGCATAATGAAGAATTATAGATGTGATCAAGTATTTGACCACAGTTATAACTGTGAGTTATAAACTGAGAGGTTAAGTGTTGCATTTTTCACAGTTGGGGCTATTTTAAATTATTCTGTGTTCCCCCAGAACTGTATTTTTTAAGATTGCAACCCATCCCTTCCCTAGTGCTTGTCTACATGGGGACATGCAGGAAAATTAATCCAAATTAACTAACAGTATGGGTTTGAAGTAGATTATTTAAACCACATTAAACTCTTGTGTGCACACCTTCATTCAGAATTAAAGTGGCCTTAATTTGGTTTAGTTTAATTCACTTCCAAAGTGAATTAAACTAAACTGAATTAAGTCCACTTGAATTCTGAAAAACAACATCCATACGGGGATTTAATGTGGTTTAAGCAATCCACTTCAAATCTGCACCTTTAGTTAATTGGGATTAATTTTCCTGCATGTCTCTGTGTAGACATGCCCATGGATACTATTAAATTCCAGTAATTGTAGCCAACTGCCACAGTTTAGTTATCCAATAGTACTGTGGTGAAATACAAATCTATATTTTGTTTGAACTGAAAATATCTTTATTCCAAAAGGGATGCAGCAGACACAGCCATCTAGTGAGTCACTGCTCCTGGAGGTGGTGAAGCAAGTGAAAGTTAATGACATGGAGGATGATATACTTGAACTGCCAGAAGAGGACACAACTGCTGGTGCAAGCATGTATGTACAGCAGTTTGGGGAACTCTGAAATTCATCTTTCCACTAGGGATAAGGAGTGGGAAATACCTCCTGGACTGGGGTAGATGGTGCACAAAACTGCCCTCTTTATTTCCTCTGTTATGACTAAAGGCTTGTCTACATTGGGACACTCAGGAAAGTTACACCATATTAACTCAAGGTGTGGATTTTTAGTTGGACTTGATAAACTGCATAAAACTTCTGTGTGGGGACCATCCTTCAGAATTAAGATGGCCTGTAGTTTAACTAATCCACATTAAATTCACACATTTAGCTAATTTGGATTCATTTTCCTGAGTGTTCTCATGTAGACAAACCCTGAGCCAGTCAATCCAGCATTTCTAGTGTTGCCAGTGGAAAAATTGCCGTTGGGTCTGCAATAATATAATCTCAGTTTAGAGAGGGACAGCCCTTCATGGCCAGCTCAGGTTGCAGGACAGGGACAAGAAGGAGGGCTTACTACACTCCCAGGTGGTAACATGGTACCTGCTTGAGCAGTGGTAGCTCTTTCTCACTAAGGGGGTTACTACTGGATAAACGCAGATTGTCTAACAAGCATGGGGATTGGATAGTGATATGCCACTCATAAAAAAACATCACCAAGCAGAAACAGGCTTTCTTCACCCTCCTTGCTAAAATAATGGGATAGAATTGTAGATGGGGAATGGGCACATCAGTGAGGGTCTATCCCTGATTCTCTTTAGCCCTGGTCCTGGGCTCAAGTTGGACCAGCCTCATGGCTACTCTAATATGCACCAGCTAGCAATGATTCCCTAGAGGCCTTCAGCAAATTAAGCATAGCTGGAGCATGCAGACTTCAGTCCTGCCCCTTCCTCTGCTCCCCCCCCACCTGCCTGTGACATGTCTGCCGCACCAAAAGAGGCAGGAAAAGAGACATATAGGTGCCAGTTATGCTGGGCTGTGTGCGCCTACTGGAGACTTCCCCTACATCTGGGGACTCCCTAGCTAGGGAAATGCGTCCTTTATGCTCAAAAGAAGTGAAACAGAGATGATAATATGCCCCAATAACTGCAGATGCAAAATTGCACACATTTATTTGTACCATAAAATTGTAGGTGCAAAGAGGAAGCCTTGTTAAGAGAAGTCTGTAAAAGTGATCCGAATATTTTTATTTACATGAATAATTATATACTGCCGTATATTATACCTTTAAAGTTACAAAAGTCAGTTCACGTATTTATTTAAAAACGAAACAACCTTGTATTATAAACTTTTCAGTAACTTCTATTTGAAATATTGCCACAGTTTGTTGTCTCTTGGAACTAGGGGGGCAAGGAGAATTGCTCAGATTCAACTCTTTTATAGTTGGAGCTGTGTGTTGGCTTATTTTTAAGTTTTTGGCCTTTTTGTTAATCCAGAGATACAAAAATTGGCATTATGCCTTATACTGTAACAATAGCAGATCCATCCTGTAAGATCTTTTTATACCAAAGAAGTGACTGGAATAGACAGATTAAAAAACTCTGCTGTGAAGTGAACAGGTTTGAGGTCTAAATGCTGACTCAGAGAACTCATGAGCCTACTAATGAAAGCAAAATAGTGGAAGGTTTTATATGACGTGCTCTTAAGGCAATTCAGATTTGATTCTTTTCTAAATTGTGCTTTTAGTTTGTACCTGGTCGAACTGTGCAGTCTAGAAAAACACATGACATGGGATGGTGGTGGTGATGTTGTTGTTGTAGGGATGAAAAGGAGGAGCAGGGTCAGAAAGAAAAATTGGTACTGTCTGAAGAATGTGAACTCATTACGCTAATTGATGTAATACCTGGCAGACTGGAGGTCACTACCCAGCACATCTGCTTCTATGATGGCAGCATTGAAAAAGAGGAAGGTGAGCATCACAATAGGTCTACTTCCTCATAGTTCAGCATCTTGTTCTTTCCAGATGAACTTTATTTTTTGAGAACAAATGCCCGTGTGGTTGACATCTAGAAATTAGCTAATTAAGAGTTGTACATAATGTTTATTAGGCCAATGACTTCATATTTTTCCTTTCGAGCAAGGGGTCTGTAAATGTAGCCTGTCCACTGAGCCATTTTACTAGTGCAGTCTTAAATTTTTTTCCCATCTCCTGGGGTAACATTAAGGCTGCTAATCATATTCTAAGGAACAAAATGTCTTTGTATAATTTATATGAGTAAATGGCAGTTCCCTATGATTTCTGCCATACTGTTCACCAGTTATGCTAACCATATGAGCTTTGTCACCTGCATGAATTGATAAGAAAAGTAGTTTGTAAGCATTAATCAGCAATATCTGTTTGGTGAGCTTTTATAAGAGGGTTAATGTGTATAGTTTAACTCTGATACATTAAACTGATCTTGAGAAAATTAACTGATCTGTTTCACCAAAAGAAACTGGATCAATAACTGAAGTTGTTCTGTTCGCAGGAGTAGGTTTTGATTTCAAATGGTCCCTTTATCAAATTCGAGAGATACACTTGCGCCGATACAACTTGAGGCGGTCAGCCTTGGAGATCTTCCTCACTGATCAGACCAACTACTTCCTTAACTTCAATAAGGAGGTATGGAATTGTCAAAGCTCCCTGGTGGACTCTCTCAGCATAAGTGACAAATTCTAGTTTACTGGCCATGGCTAACGTGATTTTTGGCAGCTTCTGCAGCATTATATTAGGTCAAAATACTTGCCAGATTGAGCTGCTCTGAGAAATTAGAATATGGATCTTTTTATGTTGTTGAAAACCCCAGTCTGGTTTCCAGTAAAATTGAATAGTCAAAAGAAAAACAAAACTCTTATTTTTTCATGTGCAACTACTATTTAATTTCTGCCTCATGAGAAATTGTACTGGGGTAATCTCAGCTTCTTTGTACTAAACAAACCATAAAAACTTTGTACAAATGAATTACAAAGTAATGGAGAATTACTATCCTATTGTAATGCAGAGGGGAAAATGATTTATGTCTTGCCCTTCTGATGGTTTGCAAATGCTGTGCTAATGTTTTCTTGGATAATTTAAATGGGATGGGGCTAAAATGAATAACTGAACTGGGCTGCGTTTGATACTGATGAATTGGTAAATGTTATGAATAGCTGTTACATGGTGGATATTTAAAGTGAATAATTCATCAGAATAGCTTGTGTAGAAAGACTGATACAATATTAAACATGAAAAATGACAGTGTTTTCTATTATGTTTATGTGGGGATAATATGTAATTTTGCTGGGTTGTGATTCTGCAACAGTAGTATTTCAGTTAATCACAAATAATACCCATTTTTAGCTCCTGCAGCTGAATAAATATCTTTTTGGCAGCAAGAGGGCGGCACAGTTCAAAAATGTAGTAAATTTTAGCTTCATTAAGAATTTAATCCGTAGAGCAGTTGCTTATGGTTTTATTAGCTGCATTTTCCAGTGTAAATGTTTTCTTACAGGTGAGAAATAAAGTGTACAGTCGAATCTTGTCCCTCCGTTCTCCAAATATTTATGGGACCAGATCTCCACAGGAACTGTTTAAAGCTTCAGGCTTGATGCAGGTAAAATGATTTCAGCTGAAATGATTTAGGGTGTTTCAGTGCTTCTCAAAGAACTGCTTAATAATAAAGTAGCTAAACTAGGGTTTAGAATATTTTACAGTGTTTGTGGACATACATAGATAGCAACGGCAAACTTTTCATCTGACCTCTAAACTTTTGCATGTGCAATTGTGTGTGCGCCCAATTATTGCATTTATACCAGTTTGCAGGCCTATTTGTGTCTGCAGATGTTAGACGTACAACAAAAAATAGAGGACAGTTTTGAAAATTTGTCTTCTGGTGTCAGCACATGGGGCTTAGGTGACAATTTATTTTGCTTTGTGTACTGATTATTTGCTTTGTTATCTTATTATGCGTGCTTTCAACAAAACCCACTTAAAGATGTAGAGGTGTGGCCATGGTTCCTTGCTTCAGGTACAGTATTATTGGCTTGTAAGCGAAGTGTCAATTTTCAGAAACATCATGAAATTTTAGCAATTTATCTAACTTCACAGGGCAGTCTTATTTTTCTGGGGTGGTTTTTTTTTTTGTTTGGCTTTTGGTTTTTTTGGACATCAACAGATGCTGTAGTTTTCTATGAGAAATAGAGAAATGTATGCTCTTATTAACATTAAGAATTCTCCAGTTTCCTCTTTTGTACCTTCGCCTTCCTGGCTCTGCACCTCAGACACTTACCTAGACAAAGAGGAATGGGAAAGAAGGTGTCATCACCAACCCGTAGTTAGATGGAAGGTTCAGAGTTACATAAGGCACTCCTTCCTCTTAAGTATATAAAATACTAATTCTGCAGCACTTTCACAAGGACACTGGACTATTTCACTGATGCATATACGGTTAACAGAGGAAGATCAAAAGACTTTTTTTTTTTTTTGGTTATTGGAGTTTCCAATACTTATTTTCCTCTCTCCTTTTCGTCTTCAGCTGTTTCTGATTTGCTTTTTCTCCACTATTGCTCTTTCCCCCTTTCTTCTTCTGTCCTTTTTTGTTTTATGTTTTGTTTCATTTAGTTTTAAAAGAACTTTTATTGCCAGCCTAGGGCTGTTAGCTTTCCCCTGCATTTAACCTGAATTTGACAACCCCTTGCCTCTGCCAGGTGTCAGCTAATCTCATCAAGAGACAGAGCACAGCCACAGATGCAGGATGAATTTTAAACTAGGTTATGAAAATTTGAAATTTGCAAATTCTTATGTTTATAGTCTAGTGCCCCTGATTTATGAGAAATATTTCCTTGTAGCTAAGCATTGACAAGACACACTCTACAACGACAACAGTTTCTTCAGTTTAATGATTTTAGTGTTGCCTTTTCTTGTCTCCTTCAGAAATGGGTGAACAGAGAGATATCAAACTTTGACTATCTCATTCAATTGAACACCATGGCGGGACGAACTTACAATGACCTTGCCCAATATCCTGTGGTAAATTATTTTTGTTAATTGTCACTGGATAAATGTGATTATTTTGTGGAAAGATGGATTTTATATCTGAATTTTGAACTGTGGCTTTCTAGTTTCCTTGGGTCCTGCAAGATTACATGTCAGAAGAGTTGGACTTGAATAATCCTGCTGTCTTTAGGGATCTATCCAAACCCATTGGGGTGGTGAATGAAAAGAATGCCAAAGCTGTGCAAGAAAAGTAAGTATTAAAATTCCCAGTTATGTTTCTCTCTCCATTTATTTTAGCTTTCTGATGGGACATTCAGACTAATAATTATTCATTCTGAGAATTCCATAACTATTTGTAACTGAGACATTAATTGTTATAAAATTAGCCTGTTTGTTTGATGGCAAAGCCATACATTAGCCATATAGCTTGGAACTGTTAGGCAGTGATGCTGTTATATTAACAGCAGCGTATGCAACATTAAAGAGTCAAGTTTTATTGCCTCTAGCTCTAGGAGGTAAGAAATCTTCTTCAGGTTGGTTTGTTTCTCAGGGTTCAAGAGAGGAAACGAAGGGTCTCAGAGGCACCCAGGGGCACCTGTCTGAAGTTGACTGGATCCAGATGATTGAAAAGTGGGTTATCTTGTCCCCTATACATGTTTCTGGATATAGGCATCCCAGATGCAGCCATACTGGTGGATTTGACTAGAAGGAGGGATTACCCTGTTTTGGATCCAGGCTTCCTCCTGGTATTCTGAGCCCAAATTTTATCCTTGAAATAAGTTGAATCTCTTCTCTGGTAACTTTGTTGCAGATAGGAATGACAGCTACTTCTGCTCACATATGAGTGTAGTCATCTTTAAGTTTTGCTGGAGTGGGGAGTGAACATTTTGGCTTGTCTTGGTTGTCAGGCAGCACTTGTCAAGTTTCTTCCCAAACAGAGTTTCTCCTGGGAACTTTGAGGCACAGAGGATTTACTGTGAATAATTACCTGATATCCATGGTTGGAGTCAGGGCTGGTTCCTGGGCATTGAATTTGTTTCTATGGCTTTTCCTGCTAGCCTCATGGCATTCAGGGATACGTCTGCTATCTAGTGTGTCATCAGGGTGGGAACTTGCTGGCTGTGTCTTTTGGGACCTGAAATGGGAAAATAATTATTTAAGTCCCAAATGCACCTCTTCTTCCTGCAACCAGAGGCACTCAGTATATGTTGATGTAATTTTTAACAAAACTGTCATAGGCCACTTAGCTAGTGAAAAACAGTTAGTGATGCATCTGTGTATTCCCTGTATACTATAAATATAATCTGTGTGTATCAGACATAGCATGCAGTAGTTATGATTTTAAAGATCTCAATCTCTGTCTTTTAGATATGAGAATTTTGAGGATCCTCTTGGAACGATTGACAAGTTTCACTATGGTACTCACTACTCAAATGCTGCTGGTGTCATGCATTATCTCATTCGAGTAGAGCCTTTCACCACACTACATATCCAGCTTCAGAGTGGCAGGTAAATTGTGAATGAACAGTAAAATCTGTCTCTTCTCCCTCAACTTCAATGATGGCTTTTTAATAGGAGCTGTCAAAATGTAACTTGAGCTTTCCAATCTACAGGTTTGACTGTGCAGATCGGCAGTTCCATTCCATTCCTGCAACATGGCAAGCCCTTATGGATAACCCAAATGATGTGAAGGAGCTTATCCCAGAGTTCTTCTACTTCCCAGAGTTCTTGGAGAATCAAAATAGTAAACAGACTTTTCAGAATTTATTGAATAGAACATGCATCCCACACACCACTAGAGAGCATTGTCAGAACCTGTTTAAGAACATTGAGGAAAACTATTCTTGATTAGATTGAACATGTGAAAATTACTTTACGGTCGTACTACCTTTTAGCCATTTAATGAGGTGCCAGTTATGCTAAGCCACTATTTAACTTCGTAATTTAAAATTCTTACCCAGAATTCTAGGATGGCTAAGAGTATTGAGGTTTGGTTTAATCTAAAAGAAGAACAGTTATTTTTTTTAAAAGTTGACCATTCTAAATTGCACTAGTTACAGTTAACTTGCTTTAACTGTTCTGGGTACTAAACCCACCTCTTCTGGAAGAGGTGTGCTAACTTGGAACATGAGATCTTTTTTAATTAGACAGGCCTGCAGAATCTAGACTCATAACTGGTATTTTCAAACATGGTCTTGGGTAACTTGAATTTACAGTTGTCTAAGGCTCCAGGATTCTTCAGAAGAAAGAAAGCTCTTGTTAAACATAACATATCTTGTTAAAGATAACTTTTCCTGCATGTTGACATGAGACCATTACTTTTTTTTGGCTTTTTGCATTTTACTTATTAGATTTACTTATTCAGCTTCTTAATCTCTGATCTAGTGATCAAGATACTTGAAACATATTGTAATAGCTTTTGAAACCAAATTGTCTCAATTATATTCCCTAGAGTTTAACTTGGGTCAGCTACAGCTCTCCAAAGAGGTAGTGAATGATGTTGTTCTCCCAAAATGGGCCAAGTCACCTGAAGATTTCATTTGTAAACACAGGAAAGCACTGGTAAGACAATGACTACCTTAATTTTTGGATGAAGTAACAAGAAACAGAAATACAGTACATGCTTTTATTTTTATTTTACACACACACGAAATGGGAAGTTGATAGTAATGAATATAAATCAGAAGATAGGAACTAGGTGATTGATAAGAGAAGCACAAGGAGAAATCTATGGCCAGCAGAGTTAAGCACAATAATAAGAAATTTCTTTCAAAATATTAAGAACAAAAAAAGTCCTACCAATGGTACTGGTCTGTAACAGGATGGAAATGATATAATTGTCAATAATAATGCAGAAAAAGACAGACATGTTCAATAAATATTTCTGTTCTGTACTTGGGAAAAAGCCAGATAACGTAGTCGTATCATATAATCAGAATATACTTTCCATTTCAACTTCGTATGGCTAATGTAGATGTAGAGCAACAACTATAATTTTACATTTATGTGATTAAGACACATAATTGCGTCAGGAGTAACGGAGTGTATCACTGTGATGCTTCCTTCATATTTTGTGAATCAGGCATTGAGTTGTTATATAATCCATGGTCTGTTCTGGGTGACCACAGTCACACTGAAGAGTTTTTAATTTCCCATTTGTGTATCAAGTGTCCGCATCTGTCATGATTTGTATGGATGAGGTTAGGGTTGTCCATGAGCTTTGGGGAAGATTGAAACCAGGAATCTTCTGCATCGGGTCTTTCACAAGGTGTGTGTTTGTGACTTCTTGTGAACACCATTCAGCTTTCCAAGCTTCATCAGTGTTCAAGTTACATTGTTGAAGGTTAAGCACGTGGGTTGTGTGACTTCAACCAGTGGTGAGGGACACTGTTGAGGTTCTGGTGGAAGAGATGTTCATTTTCTTTGATTCGCTGGACTTCCCAGAGGGTTGCAGCATCACGGAGAATGGATGGGGGAGCGATATGTGACAGCACGGGCAGGCAGGGTGTTGGGATCGACCTGAGGGTTCCACCGATTAACCATACTGCAGTGTTCAGTTGGACATCAACAAGTAAAGTGTGGCTACTTTTGGTCCATACCGGTGCACAGTACTCCACTACGGAGTACACAAGTGCCATTGCTGATGTCATAGCAGTGATGCTGATGCTCTCAGCTTCTGCTTGCCAGTTTCTGGATCAGATTTACCCTTGTCTTCATATTGGTGGCTACTTTTTTCAGATGGTCATGGAAGGTTAGCATGTGGTCCAGCTTCATTCCAAGATAAGTTGAAGTGGGGTCATGTTGCACAGTGTTGCAGCATCAGGTCACTTTCAGGGTGTGCTTAGTGTTCCTCTTATCAAGATGGAATGCAGTGAGTGTTGTTTTGTGGGGGGTTTGGTTTGAGCCTGCATTTCCGGAAATATTCCTCCCTGATGTTTAGATCCCCGTTCAAGGTGGACTCACTGTTGTTGAAGGTGGCTGCTTGCATTGCCAGGGCAAGGTCATCCTCATATGCAAATTTGCATGACTTCATTGGCACCATGTCACTTGTGTAGACACTTGAAGAGTGTTGAGGCGAGTACTGAGCCTTGTGGCAGTCCATTGTTGAGGAACCAGGGCAAGCTAACTGTCACCCAAATGGACCCACAGCTACCTATTGTTCAGCATTGTCCATAGCAGGCATAGTGTTTTGAGGCAGGGGATGATCCTTGGAAGCTTTCAGAATCAGGGCTTTAATCCAGACCATATCATAGGCCAATGACCGGTCTACAAATCCGGTCTTGGATTTCAACAGTAACTCAGGAGGATGTTAAACAGCAGCTACTAAAGTCAGACATTCTTAAATCAGCAGGTCTGCTTCAAGAGTTCTTTAAAAGAGTTGGCCAAGGAGTTCTCTGGACCATTAGTGTATGATTTTCATTAAGTCTTGGAACATTAAGGAAGAAAGCTACGTTGTACCAATATTTCAATGAAGTGACTCAAATAACTATAGGCCTGTCAGATTGACATCAATCCCAGGCAAAATAACAGAATGGCTGATATGGGACTCAGTAAAGAATTAAAGGAGGACAGTATAGTTAATGCTAATTAACATGGGTTTATGGAAAAAAGATCCTGTCAAACTAACTTTATCTTTTTTTGATGAGATTACAAGAAGAATATTGATTAAACCGGAGGGGGTTCAGAGAAAAGCCACAAGAGTGGTTATTGGTCTGGAAAACATGCAGACTCAGGAAGCTCAATCTGTTTATCTTAACAAAGAAAAGGCTAAGGAATTACTTGATTTTTCCAGTCTACTAGTACCTACGCAAAGAACAGAAATTTGATAGTAAAGGGCTCTTCAGTCTAGCGGACAAATTCAGATGTGAAATAAGGTGTACAATGAAGGTAATTAACTATTGGAACAATTTACTAAGGGTTTGTGATGGATTCTTAATCACTGGAACTTTAAAAATCACGGCTGGATGATTTTCTAAAAGATATGCTCTAGTTCAAACAGGAATTAGGGAAGTCCTATGGAGGTCGTATCATATAATGGTCTAGAATCTAGATGGACTAGATGATCCCTTCTGGCTTTCTAATCTATGACTAAGCATCAGGAAGTTTACTGTTGATCTTTAAAATTTCCTTTTTAAAATTTCATTGCTCTACTCTTAGTTGTAATCCTTTGTTGCAATTATTAAATAATAGCGCTGTCAAGTGATTAAAAAAATTAATCATGATTAATCACGCTCTTAAACAATAAGAGAATACCATTTATTTAAATATTTGTGGATGTTTTCTACATTTTCAAATATATTGTTTTCCATTACAACACAGAATACAAAGTGTACAGTGCTCACTTTAAATTTATTTTTATTACAAATATTTGCACTGTAAAAAACAAAAGAAATAGGATTTTTCAGTTCACCTAATACAAGTACTGTAGTATAATCTCTTTATAATGAAAGGTGAACTTACAAATGTAGAATGATGTACAAAAAAACCCTGCATTCAAAAATAAAACAATGTAAAACTTTAGAGCCTACAAGTCCACTCAGTCCTACTTCTTTGTTCAGCCAATCACTCAGACAAACAGGTTTGGTTACAATCTGCCGGAGATAATGCTGCCCGCTTCTTGTTTACAGTATCACCTGAAAGTAAAAACAGGCGTTTATATGGCACTGTTTTAGCTGGCATCGCAAGATATTTACGTGCCAGATGCGCTAAAGATTCATATGTCCCTTCATGCTTCAACCACCATTCCAGCATCTGTGCGTCCATGCTGATGGCGGGTTCTGCTCGATAACGGTCTTAAGCAGAGCGGACTGATGCATGTTCATTTTCATCATCCGAGTCAGATGCCAACAGCAGAAGGTTGATTTTCTTTTTTGGTGGTTTGGGTTCTGTAGTTTCCTAATTAGAGTGTTGCTCTTTTAAGACGTCTGAAAGCATGCTCCACACCTCATCCCTCTCATATTTTGGATGGCACTTCAGCTTCTTAAACTTTGGGTCGAGTGCTGTAGCTATCTTTAGAAATCTCACATTGGTACCATCTTTGCGTTTTGTCAAATCTGCTGTGAAAGTGTTCTTAAAACGAATATGTGCTGGATCATCATCCGAGACTACTATAACATGAAATATATGGCAGAATGTGGGTAAAACAGAATAGGAGACATACAATTCTACCCCAACGAGTCCAGTCACAAATTTAATTAACATATTTTTTTTTTAATGACCATCAAGATGGAAGCATATCCTCTGGAATGGTGGCCAAAGCATGAAGGGGCATACAAATGTTTAGCATATCTGGCACGTAAATACCTTGCAACGCTGGCTACAAAAGTGCCATGCAAAAGCCTATTCTCATTTTCAGGTGACATCGTAAATAAGAAGCAGGCAGTGGTATCTCCTGTAAATATAAACAAACTAGGTTGTCTTAGTGGTTGGCTGAACAAGAAGTAGGACTGAGTAGACTTGTAGGCTCTAAAGTTTTACATTGTTTTGTTTTTGAGTGCAGTTATATAATAAAAAAAAATCTACATTTGTAAGTTACACTTTCATGATAAAGAGATTGCACTACAGTACTTGTAGGAGGTGAATTAAAAAATACTATTTCTATGATTTTTACAGTGCAAATATTTGTAATAATAATATAAACTGTACACTTTGTATTCTGTGTTGTAATGGAAATCAATATATTTGAAAATGTAGAAAAACATGCAAAAATATTTTAATAAATTTCAATTCATATTCTATTGTTCAACAGTGTGATTAATTGCGATTAATTTTTTTGAGTTAATCGCATGAGTTAATTGCAATTAATCGACAGCCCTATTAAATAATACCTCTCCTTTGTTCACATTAATGTCCTTAGAATGTATGCATATTCTTACACATCTATTCAGCTGCTGCTGATATGCATGCATCTTAGGCAGTTTGTGGGCACTCTAATTTTTTTGTGTTTAAACCCACCAGTGTATCTGGGGGGAAGAGTTAGTACTTCAATTGCTGATATTAATTCTTTCTGGCTTAGGAGTCTGAGTATGTCTCTGCTCATCTCCATGAATGGATAGATCTGATTTTTGGCTACAAACAGAGGGGACCAGCTGCTGTGGAGGCACTCAATGTGTTCTATTACTGTACTTATGAAGGTACAAAACTGTGTTCTCTTCTTGTCATCGCAGTCATATTTGCGGGGTTTGAGAAATATCTGGAAACAGATTTCTCGTCATGAATGCAGTATAGTGGCATATGGTAAAAGAATTGAATAGCTGATGTTCAGAGAAGGAAATGTGAATTTTTAATTTAATAACCTCTTTAGCCCTTCTGTAGGAATCGTTATAATTGCTTCTGTTCAATTAATGAACTGTTCTTTACGATTCCATTGGAAACATAATGGAAAACCTATTAGAACTTATTTTCTAGACTCTAGTCATAGGAATTTACTACAGAACATATTTTAGAAGGTAAACTTTAGAAAGTCTTTAATCAAGAAAGTATATTCTGGGTTATTTTTTGCACACATTAAATAAAAGAAAAGTTATCTTCCCAAAAGCCAGATGCTGCAACCAAAACACTTACTAACTTCTGAAGGGAGAAAGTTTGCAGAATGGAACTTTTAGAAGACTCTCTTAGTGTAAAATAAACTGATGGTGGTTGAATATTTTTTTAGAGAGAAGGGGTAATGGTTTTCTACTTAGTGTATATTTTCCTACATGTGTTTCTTATCTCTTTCTTCAGTGAATTATGTGTAGACAATGCTACTTTTGTTTTACTGCCCTCTACTACTCTGGTTCTGATTCCAGGAGCTGTGGATTTAGATGCCTTAACAGATGAGAAGGAAAGGAAAGCTTTAGAAGGGATGATTAACAATTTTGGACAAACACCCTGTCAGCTGCTGAAGGTAAATCTCTTTTTGTAGCAATAAACACACACGTTTCATATCAGTCAGTTTTGGGAAGGTATACACTTGAGTGGCAGGGGCTTGTGGAAGGGTTGTGCAACCACTGTGAAGGCCATTGTTCCTTTTAGAGTCTATTCCAGGTATTATAACCTGCAAGTTTTAGGAAACCTGTAACTTTTAGGAAAGTGAATCTTCTACGTTTATCATTAATAAAGGAAACCTGTTAGAAAATTTTCAAGAAAGTCTGATTCCCATTTTCAAAGGTGACTAGACACGTCAGAGCCTAGGTCCCTTTGACTTTCAATTAGATTTAAGCACCTACATATCTACATCACTTTTGAACATGGGAATTAGGCTCCAGAGTCACTTATGAGCCTTTGAAAATGTTATCTCTGGTATTTCATCTTCTGATATAACTTCAATAGATGTGGAAGCGACTTGCTTCGTAATTTTGCCACTTAATATTTTTGAGCTCTAACTACAGCTCCGAGCAAAGCCCCTTGAGACAGACTTGCCATCTAGTCAACTTTCTAATCCGATTATTCATAGGAATTGTGTGCCCTCTGCATGTCTTTAATAATTACTGTATGGTACTAGGTATTTTGTTAAATATGTTCCTGTAAGACAGCAAGTACATTTTTGTTGGTGTTAGTCCAGTTCTCCACTTTTATTCCTTTCTGTCCAGGTTTCCACTCTAGTTTCCCCTAGTGGCTAGTCCTAAGGCTGTCTAAATTCTAGAATAGATGTGACATTCTACAGGTGTTCTGTATAGTAATCCTTTAATGCTAGCTTCCAATGAGAGGAAAAAGTAGCAACATGGCTTGTAATAAAATCTAAATGTTCCTTTTTTGGTATGAGTAGTAAATATTTGTTTCCTGAATAATAAAACCAGCTTTAAGAGAAAACTGCCAAATGAATTTAGCAAAATCTTTTTTCCTCTCCCCATCCCATGTTGAGTAAATCTTCCAAGTAAATCAGCCAAGGTTTTCCTTTATGTAGAAACATGGTCTAGAAACAGTAAATCCAGAGGGCAGAATCCCTTCATCTGAATTTAATATATTGAGCTAGAAATATAGTTTACATTCTCTCTTGACTCTGAATACCATACATGACTTGAACAGTTCAATCAAAGATGATTTCCCGCTATGCCGAGATTGTATATAAATTTGATTTAAAAAAAAAAATACTCACTCAATATTGTCTCCTAGGAGCCTCATCCTGTGAGATTATCCGCAGAGGAAGTAGTACAGAGACAGACCAAAAGTGACAGCTCAACCCTGAATCTGTTCCAGCATCTCCCTGAACTTAAGTCATTCTTCGTAGAGGTAGCAACTGACACATATTGCATTGCATGTGTTTTAAGCCTAGTCTGAAACCTGTAATACGTTGGAATAAAAAGTGGTCAGCAGAGTAAAAATAAACTTGCTTATAATGTAAAGAAAACTTTGTACAAAACATCTAATAAACCCTTTTTATAGAAGATCTTTGCTATGAATTTATAGAGGTTGAGTAAGTTTACTTACCCTCATGCTGCAGTGATTCTGTAACATTTATTTTAACTATCTAAATGTTACATGTTATCCTTTTTGCTTCCTTAGCCTCCCCTCTTTCCAAGTGCCTACACGCAGACTGGAGAGAGACACCAAAGGTGAAATCCTGGCCCCACTGTAGTCAATCGCAAAATTCCCATTGACTTCAAAGTGGTCAGGATTTCTCCCCTAGTGTTAGTGGCTAAACTTAGCTATTTAAGATGTGTGTATCTCTAACTGGTAGTACCTGCAATTCTGTCTACCAGGTAACTAAAGTATTTGTACCACCTATGGATGTTTGTCAACTGAAAATGTCATTTCTCATAGGGTATCAGTGATGGTGTTCCCATCGTCAAGGCTGTTGTTCCCAGGAACCAGTCACGTTCCTTTATGTCTCAAGGGAGTCCAGAGATCCTGGTGAGTTGGATGTGTCAGTTCTGCTGTTTGAAACTCTGTGTTACATATGACTGCACTGTTCCTAAAATTCACCTTTATATTGACAAAGTGTGGGTGCTAGATGTCCAAATGACATTGGGGTAGAGCTAATGTGTTACTATCAATCTGAATCTAAGTTCTTATAACAGTCCCCAGTTTAATAACCTCTTTGGAAGAGCTCATATATTGTTTAATTGTCTCTACTCACATTTGTGTAGGCTAAATTAGGCGTAGATGAACCTGTGGCTAGTCAGGTTTTGTACACCTGTGTCTAAAGATTTGATTCTATTCCTTTCAAGTCACTGACAAAAATAGTACACTACATTAAAACTAGCTGGAATTACTTTCACACTGGCTCAGTAACAAAACAACTCTGGGAATGTCTTTAATTTGTCATAACTTTAAATGCTAGTTACTACCTCTGAGTATTTGAAAGAACATAAAATAGAAGAATTAAATAATTATGATGAAATGCATAATTCTCAAGTACCAATCGCTGTTCTAGATAGCCAATATATATCACACACAAGCATCATTCACTGTTTTTATCAAGGCAGCATATACCATATGTTAGTAAGAGTCATAACTACGGCTAAGATTTTGTCATGGTTATTTTTAGTAAAAGTCACAGACAAGTCACGGGCAGTAAACAAAAATTCACGGAAGCTATGACCTGACTGTGACTTTTGCTGCTGCGGCTCCATGGTTTCCCCTGCCACCATGGTGGCTGGGAGTTGTGGGTTCCTCCTCTGCCCACGGCAGCTGGAAGCTGCAGGGGGGCTCCCCTCCACCTACTGTGGCTGGGAGCTGCAGGGTGACCATATTTCCCAAAGAGAAAACAGGTGTGTCTCTCCACCCCTCTCAGGCGAGTCTGTCGCCTGTTGCTGGAACCCTGAGGAGGGCCCCCTCAGGAGTCTGTCACCATCACTGGAACCTTGCACGGGGCCCCCTGTCGCTGCTGTTGCCTGTCACTGGAACCCTGCCAGAGCCCCGCTGGCTGCCAGCTCCAGAGTCTGGCAGCCTCTGGGTCTGAAGCAGAGAATGTCATGGAGGTCTCTGGAAGTCATGGATTCCTTGACTTCCATGACGTCCATGTTATATACGTAGCCTTAGTCATAACTCATTATTTTAAAAAAATAATAAAACAAAAAACCTCACAGACTCTCCATCCTGTCCTCATGATAGCGTTAGCCTCAGCTGGATCAGTTTGGTGGTAAACTTTCAAGAGACTTATGTTGGCTCAGATGCAAGCTCTGTTATTGGGAAAGACAAGCAAAGAAGAGGGCTTTGCAACATTACACAGTTTCATTGATTTTTATCCAAATTACTTTTTCAGGTGACAGCAAGTCTGAACTGCATTATTGGAACCCACGGGTGGCTACCATATGATAGAAATATCTCCAACTATTTTACGTTCATCAGAGATCCAACTGTGACAAATCCCAAGTAAGTAAAGAGGAGGAAAGGTGCAGTAGTGAACTCTATTATAAAAGTAGAATGAGTTAAAGTACGATAGGTACAGAGTCGTCTTCTATAGTGATTCGATAGCACTGCTTTCATTATCTGTGATTTTTAATTAAAACCTAACATCTATATAGTGTGCTTTACATTTTTCAAGGCTTTGACATCCCCTAATATTAATTAGACTACAGTTATTCCCTGAAAAGTGATTATAAAAATGCTATTGTAAGGTTCTGTCTTCATTGTCTATTCCTGATTTTCAGACCAATTTTTTTAAAAAATTTTCTAACTGCCAGCTCTGCAAACTCATCCTGGCATCTGAGAGTCAAGCTTGCTTCATTATTCTCATGCATCATCGTTCATAATAAATGTTCTGCAGATCTGGCCTCGTTTACACTTATGCAATTCGTATCCTCCAGTTATGTTTTCAGTGATATCTGTGCAACTCCCATTGCATTCACTGAGTTTGCACAACGGTAACTGATTGGAATTTAATAAACTCTTCTGTTGGTGATGGACTAAGAGGAATAGAGCTCACTCTTACTCTTCCTAACATATGTTAACTCGACAGTATTAACAGGAGTCCAGAGTAGTTAAAACACTTGTCATCAAAGTGAACAGATATGAGACTGAACACATGGGAGGGGTAGATTTCCTGAGTAAGAAACTACCATTTATAGTCCCTTTTCACAATAGAACCGCACTTTAGATTACAAACTGTACCACGCTTTTTGATTGTTTACAAGAGGTTTGTCTTTTTACAAAATTTTGAAAAAATGTTTTTGTATAAATATTTAATATGGATTTAAGTTATCCACAGAGCCGCAAACCAGGTAGGATATTGTATAAAGAACTAGCATGAAATCCTGACCCTCCCCCTCCCCCGCCCCGAAGACTAAGGGAATTTTCTAATTGATATCAGGGCGGCCAAGATTTCACCCCTAGTGTTCCTAGGTACAAATTCTTTATAGATCATAATATTAACATAGGGCAAATCTTAACTGTAAAATTTGTTTGCAGAACCCAACGTAGCATAAGTGGTCCGTTCGCTCCAGGGCTAGAGATCACCGCTAAACTGTTTGTAGTGTCCCATGATGCAAAGTTGCTGTTCAGTGGAGGGCATTGGGACAATAGCATCAGAGTGACATCGCTCACAAAAGGCAAATTAATTGGACAGCATGTCAGACACATGGGTAAGTAAACTATTTTAGTTTTGAATTATGAAATTACATATTTTATACATGGTTTTTGTAACACAAAAATCTGACACTTTGACTATTGCAAGGCTTAGTCTTTTATAAAAGATAATAAAATAGGGTACTTGGGTCACATTGCAATGAGAGAATAAGCTAGTTTTGCCCATTCTTGCCATCACACTCTGTGGTTCAAATAGGACTAATGAAAACCTATTCGATCAAGTGTTTATATAGTAATTCCAATAATAGTCTAGGGTGTATTAAGAACAATCTTTATTTTTTTTAAGTTAAGATAATAATGATTACGTTTAATGTTTGTCCTGCTCCTGGCTAGGGCTTTATTACTACAACTAGGATCTTAGACTCTAATCAGTCTTGAAAATGTATACCACATTCCTGGTGTAGAGTTTGTGTTTGTTTGCAAATGTAACTACATTGCTGGCATGCTGCACAGCATCACATTGCCACCAAATGTCAATTGGTTTTAAAACCAGATAAAATGTTTAGTTGAGATGCAAAGTTAAGGTAACTGTTTTCTTTCCTTTATAGATATTGTGACCTGTTTGGCTATAGATTTCTGTGGAATCCATTTAATTTCAGGTTCCAGAGACACAACATGTATGATATGGCAAATAGTTCAGCAAGTAAGTACACCTGCACAGCTTTAGAAGCAGCCTTTTGAAGGGTTTTGCTTTAGTGCTTTGTTCACCAGTCTAGCCGTCCAGTACATTTACAGACTCATTAGTGTTTCATTAGAGTTGCTGTTCTCTGATTTGTTTGCTCTGTCTGCATGTTTGCAGGGTAAAATGGACTTCTAAAAATTATGATGAGTTCAGTATCTCTCTTAGACTGTTCCATGGTTTTCAAGTACACTTATTAGCGTCTCTGCTCTATGGATTATAGTGGCATTAATAATGTTATCTAGAGCACTTTTATTTGGTTAAGGTTCTTTGCAGACAATATATAACAGCCCTTTGAGGTATGTAAGTAAATATTATTCCTCTTTTTACTGGTGGAGAAACTGAAGTAGAGAAGAAAAGGAGTACTTGTGGCACCTTAGAGACTAACCAATTTATTTGAGCATGAGCTTTCGTGAGCTACAGCTCACTTCATCAGATGCATACCGTGGAAACTGCAGCAGACTTTATATACACACAGAGATCATGAAACAATACCTCCTCCCACCCCACTGTCCTGCTGGTAATAGCTTATCTAAAGTGATCAACAGGTGGGCCATTTCCAGCACAAATCCAGGTTTTCTCACCCTCCACCCCCCCACACAAATTCACTCTCCTGCTGGTGCTAGCCCATCCAAAGTGACAACTCTTTACATAATCAAGTCGGGCTATTTCCTGCATAGATCAAGGTTTTCTCACATCCCCCCCACCCCCATACACACACAAACTCACTCTCCTGCTGGTAATAGCTCATCTAAACTGACCACTCTCCAGGTTTAAATCCAAGTTAAACCAGAACATCTGGGGGGGGGGGGGGTAGGAAAAAACAAGAGGAAACAGGCTACCTTGCATAATGACTTAGCCACTCCCAGTCTCTATTTAAGCCTAAATTAATAGTATCCAATTTGCAAATGAATTCCAATTCAGCAGTTTCTCGCTGGAGTCTGGATTTGAAGTTTTTTTGTTTTAAGATAGCGACCTTCATGTCTGTGATTGCGTGACCAGAGAGATTGAAGTGTTCTCCGACTGGTTTATGAATGTTATAATTCTTGACATCTGATTTGTGTCCATTTATTCTTTTACGTAGAGACTGTCCAGTTTGACCAATGTACATGGCAGAGGGGCATTGCTGGCACATGATGGCATATATCACATTGGTGGATGTGCAGGTGAACGAGCCTCTGATAGTGTGGCTGATGTTATTAGGCCCTGTGATGGTGTCCCCTGAATAGATATGTGGGCACAATTGGCAACGGGCTTTGTTGCAAGGATAAGTTCCTGGGTTAGTGGTTCTGTTGTGTGGTATGTGGTTGTTGGTGAGTATTTGCTTCAGGTTGCGGGGCTGTCTGTAGGCAAGGACTGGCCTGTCTCCCAAGACTTGTGAGAGTGTTGGGTCATCCTTTAGGATAGGTTGTAGATCCTTAATAATGCGTTGGAGGGGTTTTAGTTGGGGGCTGAAGGTGACCGCTAGTGGCGTTCTGTTATTTTCTTTGTTAGGCCTGTCCTGTAGTAGGTAACTTCTGGGAACTCTTCTGGCTCTATCAATCTGTTTCTTTACTTCTGCAGGTGGGTATTGTAGTTGTAAGAAAGCTTGACAGAGATCTTGTAGGTGTTTGTCTCTGTCTGAGGGGTTGGAGCAAATGCGGTTGTATCGCAGAGCTTGGCTGTAGACGATGGATCGTGTGGTGTGGTCAGGGTGAAAGCTGGAGGCATGCAGGTAGGAATAGCGGTCAGTAGGTTTCCGGTATAGGGTGGTGTTTATGTGGCCATTGTTTATTAGCACTGTAGTGTCCAGGAAGTGGATCTCTTGTGTGGACTGGACCAGGCTGAGGTTGGTGGTGGGATGGAAATTGTTGAAATCATGGTGGAATTCCTCAAGGGCTTCTTTTCCATGGGTCCAGATGATGAAGATGTCATCAATATAGCGCAAGTAGAGTAGGGGCTTTAGGGGACGAGAGCTGAGGAAGCGTTGTTCTAAATCAGCCATAAAAATGTTGGCATACTGTGGGGCCATGCGGGTACCCATAGCAGTGCCGCTGATCTGAAGGTATACATTGTCCCCAAATGTGAAATAGTTATGGGTAAGGACAAAGTCACAAAGTTCAGCCACCAGGTTAGCCGTGACATTATCGGGGATAGTGTTCTTGACGGCTTGTAGTCCATCTTTGTGTGGAATGTTGGTGTAGAGGGCTTCTACATCCATAGTAGCCAGGATGGTGTTATCAGGAAGATCACCGATGGATTGAAGTTTCCTCAGGAAGTCAGTGGTGTCTCGAAGGTAGCTGGGAGTGCTGGTAGCGTAGGGCCTGAGGAGGGAGTCTACATAGCCAGACAATCCTGCTGTCAGGGTGCCAATGCCTGAGATGATGGGGCGCCCAGGATTTCCAGGTTTATGGATCTTGGGTAGTAGATAGAATATCCCAGGTCGGGGTTCCAGGGGTGTGTCTGTGCGGATTTGATCTTGTGCTTTTTCAGGAAGTTTCTTGAGCAAATGCTGTAGTTGCTTTTGGTAACTCTCAGTGGGATCATAGGGTAATGGCTTGTAGAAACTCGTGTTGGAGAGCTGCCGAGCAGCCTCTTGTTCATATTCCGACCTATTCATGATGACAACAGCACCTCCTTTGTCAGCCTTTTTGATTATGATGTCAGAGTTGTTTCTGAGGCTGTGGATGGCATTGCGTTCCGCATGGCTGAGGTTATGGGGCAAGTGATGCTGCTTTTCCACAATTTCAGCCCGTGCACGTCGGCGGAAGCACTCTATGTAGAAGTCCAGTCTGCTGTTTCGACCTTCAGGAGGAGTCCATCTAGAATCCCTCTTTCTGTAGTGTTGGCAGGGAGACCTCTGTGGATTAGTATGTTGTTCAGAGGTATTTTGGAAATATTCCTTGAGACGGAGACGTCGAAAATAGGATTCTAGGTCACCACAGAACTGTATCATGTTCGTGGGGGTGGAGGGGCAGAAGGAGAGGCCCCGAGATAGAACAGCTGCTTCTGCTGGGCTGAGAGTATAGTTGGATAGGTTAACAATATTGCTAGGTGGGGTGAGGGAACCATTGCTGTGGCCCCTTGTAGCATGTAGTAGTTTAGAAAGTTTAGTGTCTTTTTTTCTTTTGTAGAGAAGCAAAGTGTGCGTTGTAAATGGCTTGTCTAGTTTTAGTAAAATCCAGCCACGAGGAAGTTTGTGTGGAAGGTTGGTTCTTTATGAGAGTATCCATTTTTGAGAGCTCATTCTTAATCTTTCCCTGTTTGCTGTAGAGGATCTTGATCAGGTGATTCCGCAGTTTCTTTGAGAGCGTGAGGCACAAGCTGTCAGCATAGTCTGTGTGGTATGTAGATTGTAATGGATTTTTGACCTTCAGTCCTTTTGGTACGATGTCCATCTGTTTGCATTTGGAAAGGAAGATGATGTCTGTCTGTATCTGTACAAGTTTCTTCATGCAGTTGATAGATTTCCACTCCATACGGCTAAATGCAGTGCCTTGCATAATGACAGGTTTCAGAGGAACAGCCGTGTTAGTCTGTATTCGCAAAAAGAAAAGGAGTACTTGTGGCACCTTAGAGACTAACCAATTTATTTGAGCATGAGCTTTCGTGAGCTACAGCTCACTTCATCAGATGTTTACCGTGGAAACTGCAGCAGACTTTATATACACACAGAAATCATGAAACAATACCTCCTCCCACCCCACTGTCCTGCTGGTAATAGCTTATCTAAAGTGATCAACAGGTGGGCCATTTCCAGCACAAATCCAGGTTTTCTCACCCTCCACCCCCCCACACAAATTCACTCTCCTGCTGGTGCTAGCCCATCCAAAGTGACAACTCTTTACATAATCAAGTCGGGCTATTTCCTGCATAGATCAAGGTTTTCTCACATCCCCCCCCACCCCCATACACACACAAACTCACTCTCCTGCTGGTAATAGCTCATCTAAACTGACCACTCTCCAGGTTTAAATCCAAGTTAAACCAGAACATCTGGGGGGGGGGGTAAGTACTCCTTTTCTTTTTGCGAATACAGACTAACACGGCTGTTCTTCTGAAACCTGAAGTAGAGAAGGTGACCTGTCCAGCATCTCAGGAGTTGGTGTCAGAGGCAGGATTAGAACTTGGGAGCTCCTGATTTCTCGTCTTGTGCTCCCAGTACTAGACCACATCTCTCTTCTGGTGTTCTGTTTCCTTAGTGTGAAATGCTGATGTGTAACTGTCACTGGGTGGCTAGTTCTTTAAAGAGAGGTGGGTCTCAGCCCCATCTGTCACGCAGCCAACTCTTCCCCAGGTGGGGACAATGAAGGTCATGTGACCTCGGTCATATGACTCCATCAGGCCTCTGGGATAGGTAAGAGAGAGGTCTGGGTAATGAGAGACCAGGGGGAGATAAGATATGTCTACGCTGCAATTTACCACCCGTGGCTGGCCTGTGTCGGCTGACTGGGCCTCAGGCTACAGGGCTGTTGAATTGCAGTTGTAGGTGTTCTGGCTCAGGCTGGAGCCTGGGATCTTTGACCCTCCCCCCTGGAGGGGTCCTGGAGCCTGCACTCCAGCCCAAGTCCGAACATCTTCACCACTATTAAGCAGCCCTGTAGCCCAAGTCCTGTGAGCCTGAGTCAGCTGACCCAGGCCAGCCATGGGTGTTTCACGTTCCAGGGTGCAGTCCACAGTAGTGAGGGACTGTCACCACCTGCCTGCAACCCTGGGTGCCTCGCAGTGTTCTGCTGCTATAGCTCCTAAGCTAGGTCTCTCACAAACAGCATGCAGGTCACACCCTGAGTGCCTGTATATAGCTGCAGCCTGCCAGCTACCCACCAGCCACACTCTGACTTCCAGAAGCCTTGGTTACTTCTTGCAGCATTGACCCCAACACGCTCCCTGTCTTCAAATTTCCCCAAAACGGGTGTTCTGCACTGTCCAGCCCTCTCCTTCACAGTTCAGCTATTAGAGGTTCACTGTCCCTGTCACGCAGCGGTGGGCAAACTACGGCCCACGGGCCACATCCAGCCTGGCCCCTGAGCTCCCGGCCGGGGAGGCTAGCCCCCGGCCCCTCCCCCACTGTCCCTCCTCCCCTGCAGCCTCAGCGTGATGCGATGCCAGCGCTCTGGCCTGCCGCTCCTGCTGGGCAGTGCAGTGGTGGTGTGGCTGGCTCTGGCCAGGCGGCGGGGCTTTGCTGCTCTGAGCAGCATGGTAAGGGGACAGGGGGTTGGATAAGGGGCAGGGTGTCCTGGAGGCAGTCAGGGGACAAGGAGCGGTTGGATGGGGCGGAGGTTCGGGGAGGGGAGGTGGTCAGGGAACAGGGGGTGTTGGATAGGTGTGGGATTCCCGTGGGGGGCCTGTCTGGGGGCAAGGGTATGGATAGGGGTCGGGGCAGTCGGGACAGGGAGAAGGGGGGGTTGGATGGGGGTGGGGTCCGGGGGGGCAGTTAGGGGCGGGAGTGTGGATAGGGGTCGGGGCAGTCAGGGGACAGTGAGTGGGGGGGTTGGATAGGCGTGGGAGTCCTGGGGGTGCCTATCTCAGGGTGGGGGTGTGGATGGGGTCGGGGCAGTCAGGGGACAGGGAGAAGGGAGGGTTGGATAGGGGATGGGGTCCCAGGGGGTGGTTGGGGGCGGGGTCCCGGGAGGGGGTGATCAGAGGACAAGGAGCGTTGGATGGGTCAGGGGTTCTGAGGGGGGCGGGAAGTGGGCGGAGGCCAGGCTGTTTGTGCAGTCACAGCCTTCCTTACCCGGCCCTCCATACAGTTTCGCAACCCCGATGTGGCCCTCGGGCCAAAAAGTTTGCCTACCCCTGCTGTAAGGGGTCAATGTACAACACTTTGCTACTTTAATTGGACTTACCAAAAAATTCACTTTAAACACAACACTGAATTAGGTTTGACTAAAGAATAAAACAAGTTTACTTAAATACAAAGAAATGGATTTTAAGTGAGTACAAGTGTAAGGCATTACAGAAAGAAATGGTTATAAGAGAAATAAAGGTAAAACACTTTCTCGTAACTAAAACTTAACAAACTAGACTTGGTTCAAGGTAGAATTTTTGCCACATGTTCCCAGCAACAGGGCTGACCAAATTCTCAGGTCAGAACCGCTCCCAAAGTCCAAAGGCTGGTTCCTTTGTTGTCTTAGATGAGAGAGAGAGAAAATACCTGGGGCGTTTTTGCTCCTCACTTTTATAGTCCAGTCCCCCTTTGAAGTGGGTTCCTCTGAGCATTAATCTTCAATGCAAAGTTTATTCAAACATAGAGGAAGGCAATGTGGAGTCTGGGTGAAGGTGCCCTGAGGCTCTTTCTTCTCCCCTGTGTATGTTGAAATGCAGGTTTGCCTTGTCCTTGTCTCCTTCTTGCTATCTTAAGGACCTTGTTTATTACTTATATGTAAATTGATGTAAACTCACATTCCTTTGTTTAAGATAGACCTGCTTAAACACTCCTGCCTAATCAGGGCTACGTGGGTTTGAACATGTTACCAAAATCATACAGGGGAAATTCAGAACTTGGTATATAATGTTGCTACATACATTTCACCATGACATTATTGACTAGCGAGTTACTAGTTATCAAATAATACCTCACAAGGCATATTTAGTACAGAGATTATTACAGGGGTGTGTCGGGTGTGAACATGGGGTGCATTTGATCAGTGTCTAACTGAAGTGTAGACATACACACAGAGACTTCAGCAGAGGTCTGCAGAGAGGAGGAAGGCTCTTGTAGGAGAGTCTGAGATACTAAGAACAGAAGGCTCCTGCAGAGGACCCTGAGACAAAAGAGAAAATACGCCAGCTCAGTAGGGCTGGAAGTGGCCAGCCAAAGCAGGGAAGACTCCAGGCAGGAATGCCTGGGAGTGGCTTGATGAAGAGCAGGGAAGGAGCAATATATGCACTTCTAACTTTGTTTTGGACTTTGATAACTTTACTTTGAATGGTCTGTGATGATAAACCAAGGTATCATTGGCCAAGAGAAAAGCTTATGTCAAGTTTATTGAGGAGCCCTGAGGAGAGAGAAACTGAGGCAGAAATGCCCCACCCTGTCTCTGAAGGGGAGCACTGGAGGTGGTGACCCCATTACAGTAACTAAGCAGTTAGCCAGAGGACTAGTAATGTCCAGCCTGGCACTAAACCAGGATCTTAGAAAGCTTTAATATCTGACTTGCGTTTTCACAAACGGAAAGTAGATATGGTTTTTAGTGTGCTAATTTAAGCCCCTAAAATGTGAGTTGGCCTTTACCAATGTTAAACATAGCACAAAATGGCAGGATCTAAATAAAAGAAGACCCCCAACGTGATGATAGTGGAAAGATAATTTTATCATAAGTTTTCATTGTTTTTTATAAAAGGCAACTTTTTAACTAGTAAAACATCCTGGTTACGCTTTTGAAAGCTTAGTATACATGAAAGCAAGAGAGGAAAGGAGGAAAGTGGACTGCACACACAAACAAATTAATTTAGCAGTAGTGGCTTTTGGCATCATTGTCTTTATGCCGATGCACCAGCAGGCTACCGGTTTTATGAGTTAATAAAACATAGCCCAGTTCTATGATACCCCTTGATTATCTAGGTTTACCAGATGTTCTTTGCAGACCTCTGCCCTTCAACATGCAAGCTGCATTTATTAAGGCTATTAGGGAAAATGGAAGTGTTACAAGCTACAGCACCTGCTGTGTCTTGTGGACAATATGCCTGATTTTATCTTCTTGTGTCTTGTATAAGAGTCATTTAGGGCTAAATCCAGCTAGCACGCTGTAATGTCAGTGCATTGGTATGTAACCAGATACTCTGACAGATGTATGCAGTGAACAAGAAATCCTGCTGTCACTCAGCAGGATACCACAGGTTTGACGTGCATTATACAGTGAGACTATTTACAGCTGCTTTCAGAAAGAAAGTAGCTGGCACAAATGGAGCCAACCTCAGAAAGTTGAGGGTAGAACTCTCTCTTGTTGAAGCCATATGACTACAGCTAAGTGAAATTTGGAATTTCCATCTAACAGGAAATTCTGACATTTTAGCAGTTGTTTTTGAGCAAAATTGGGACTAAAAGTTTAAAATTTGAAATTTTTGTCAGTACAGAAATTATGAAAATTTTTGATTTAAGAAATGTCAAGATTTTGACATTGTTGATTGAAATGAATTCGCATAGTGATGCATTACCTAATAGGAGATAGATGCATGCATTCTTCCATACGGGTCATGATCCTTGGCTGGATTACATCTCCTGTAATGCATGTAATCATGTAACTCCCATGATTCACCATGCAGAGAAATCTGCATTTCATTATGGGAGCTGTAGTCCTCCAGGGACCCCAGCCATTGGAGAGAACTGGAGGCCTAAACTACAACTCCCATTGGACAATGTGCTGATAGAGAAATGCAGTTCAAGGTTTTGTTGAACTGACTCAAAACTAATTGTTTCTGGTCAATTAAGAAAACCAGAATATTCCAATCTAGGTTAAACTGACCTGAAATGAAATATTTCATTTAGGGTTTTCTTACGGAAAATTGAAATTTTTGGCAAAATCAAAATTTTCTTGTGGAAAACTTTGGTTTTGCAGAAACTGCATTTTCCATCGGAAAATCATTCCAATGGGAAAGTCTTGACGAGCTCTACTTATTTATTTTACGTGGTCAGACTAAGGCCCTTGCTAAGACTGCTTCTTTTGCCCTATCCCAAACAGATTCAAAGGTGTCCCCAGAAACCAGTTAAGCCACTTTTTGTGTGGGAGAATCCTTGGGTGGTTTAAGGCCCGTGTAATTGACTCCCTCCCTTTTAGTGTTCTGATATATCTTCTTGCTTCTTAGCACTGTCATGTGTGCCTCATCTTTTCAGTGTTTTGGTTGGCATTCGTCTCTCCATACTGTAAGGCAGAAGAGAAATTGTTTTCATACCCATCTCTTTGGGCACTGTGCATGCCGAAACAGACCCCACTTAAAGTGATTTTGAATATAGATACATGATGTTAAAAGTGAAATGGAAGTACCAAATTGTTTTAGTGTGTTGGAGTTCCATTAATGAAAGCTGTACACTTACAATATTTTTCACAAAACAACTTCCTGTAAGAGATCTATTATATATCTCAAAGCAGAATCAGATTGGCTGTCTCTCTATGTTGCCTCAGGATATGAGACAAAATTGATATAATTTTTATGCAAAATAGTCTTCACTTTCTTTAATTACGTTATGAAGAAGACCGTGAACTCAAAGATCAAAGGAATTTAATTAATCATTGAATTCATCCTTTTGATTTAATAAACTGAGGCACAAAAAGGGAAGCTGACTTAGGTGGCTGTAAATGTGAGCAACTATAGAAGTAAAGTGTGATGTTTAGCCTACATCAAGTACATCTACTGCATATGATGTTAAAGATATTCTGTATTCTTCAACTGTGAGAAAATCTATAAATGTGTCATTTTATGTTGATATTAGGGAGGAGTTCCTGTAGGCCTGGCACCTAAACCCTTGCAGATTCTGTATGGACATACTGATGAGGTATCCAGCGTTAGCATCAGCACTGAACTGGACATGGTGGTGTCTGGAGCCAGGGTAAGCGTCTTCATGATTTTCCCCCTTCAAAGGAGTAATATTTATTACTGGAATTAGTGTAGCTGGAAAAAACATTACTGTTTCCTAATTTCCTCTTTTTCCCTTTTGGGTAAGGAGAAAGTCTTGCACCATGTCAACACACACACACTGCATAATTCAGTTACTCATACTGCTCTCACAGAGTAGGCCACAGCTCTTTTGCACAGGTGAATGTCTGAAGTGTGTATAACCATCCGAAGAAATCCAGTTTCCTGCTACAGAACTCGTTTTCTGCCTCAGCAAACACAAACTACTTGTCTTTCAGAGGCTCTCCACAGTTTAGCCACACCCTACCCTCCAACTCTATGAAACTGTTGACCTCTATTTCCACTCTGCTGATGATGGCCCACTTTCATCACTAAATAATGCAATTCTACCTCAAGTACCTTTGCATTTTGTCCCATTCCACCCCTCAGGCATGGGAGGAGGCTCCCCATAAAAGATCTGCAAAGCCACACTGTTGTCTTCCTTAAAATTTGCTGTTCCGCCATGATGCCTCCAAAACACTTGATAATGGCTACACAGGGGTGTCCTGTGATGGCTACTTACTCTATGAAATATGATTTGTTTCACTGCTAACCCCCTCCTCCCCCCCCCGCTTTTGTTTTTGTTTTTTCTCCACCTGTTGTCTCCTCATATGCTGAGACTAACTCTTAAGGGGAAAGGACTCTGGGGTTTTTTCACGATCTGTGTACTAGCACTGTGAGGCCCTGATTCCTGTCTGGTGCCTGTAGTTTCTTCTTCAATAACTACTATTACACCTTAAGATCTTTTAAAATGTTCTGTTCCCTTGCTCCAAATAATTACCTTATGTGAATATTACTGTGAAGAAATAGCATTGTTTTTTGTCTTAACAGGATAGCACTGTGATTATTCATACTATTCAGAAAGGTCAGTACATGAGGACTTTGCGACCACCTTGTGAGAGTTCCCTTCTGCTGACTGTTCCCAACCTGGCTGTATCCTGGGAAGGACACATAGTTGTCCACACCAGTATAGAAGGAAAGACTACTCTCAAGGTACTTCACAAGTTTCAACCCAAGGTCATAGAATGCTGGTGTATGTTTTGCTGTAAACACTAAACATAAATGTACCAGGTTTTTTTTTGTTTTGGGGGGGGTTTTTTGCAGTAGAGCTAATTTCTTAAGAAATTCTGTGTGCAAGCTGCCCCACAGATGCACCAATGTTTCTCAAAAATTGAGAGGGACAACCTGACCTAGAGGGACAACCTTTAGAGTTCATGGTGTAATTCATTCTCACTGCCTATTCAGTGTAGGGGTGCCTCTTTTGATGAAGGCTTGTGTAATTGCGCTAAGAATTGGAAAGAAGCATGTAGCTAATGTTAACAGTCTGTGTTTGTTAACTTTCAGGATGTGCTGCAAGGCCCAGCTTTGCTCCTTGCCCTGTCGGATTTGGGAGGGTGGGTGAGGCTGGGAAGGGGGACTCTGGTTTGTTTGGTGGGCTTATTAATTTTTTGTTATATTCATGTTGCTGCTGGGGTAGTGCTATCTGTGGATGAATGCGAGAGGCTGTTAAGTATGAATGTATTTTTAAGTTTGTCAAGCACGGCCGTAGATTAGAATGTAGTGCAGTAAAAGTATAAATAAATACAGGTTGAACCTCTCTAGTCCGGCACCCTCGGGACTTGACCAGTGCCGAACCAGAGAATTTGCCAAACCACGGGAGGTCAACACAGAGTGCCAGTGGATCTTCCCCAGCTGCCAGCCCCTCGCCGGGGTCCCAGCCACTGGCCCCATGTCATCGTCATCCTCCCTTCCGGAGCATGAATGCTGCGAATCAGCTGTTCGCGGTGTTCCAGAAGCACTGGGAAGGAGGGGGAGGAATTGGTAAGCACAGGGCTGTTGGCGCATAAGAAACGTAGGGGGATGGAGGAGCTTGGAGCCAGTGGATGCTCTGCACCCACTGATTTTGCCGGACCACGGATGTTGCTGGACCAGGGAGTGCTGGATTAGAGAGGTTCAACCTGTACTTAATACTACAAACTGCCATCAGATACCAATAGCTTGAGTTACTACCAACCTTGGCTAAATTCCTATTAACAAGCTGAACGTATAAGTAATAAATCGTTAATCCGTTCAATCCTCCATGAGTAATTTCTTTTTAATCTCTTCAGGATAAGAATGCATTACATCTCTATTCTGTGAACGGGAAATATTTGGGCTCTGAGAGTCTAAAGGAGGAAGTGTCAGATATGTGTGTGACTGGCGAATATATCGTGATGGGGAGCCTACAGGGATTCCTTTCCATACGAGATCTCTACAGGTAACAGACCAGCATCAGTTGATTATCACTGCAGATAAGATGTACTGCACCAGCATGATGGTTTATTTACATATAGGTATTGGTGTATGATGTGGAAATCATGAAGGGTGTGACTTGTCATTCTTTTTCAAAAGAGGTCACAGATGGCTATTCTCTCATTGCCCTGTCCCCTGATACTGGAAAATCAATTTGCAAAGGAAATACAAAATTACAGCCGAGTCCCTTATGCTCCAGGCCCCTATTTGGATTGTCTGGACACTGAAGGGCAGGAAAGACCTATTTGTCAGCTGGGAATGCCACTTCTGGTGCATGACTGCACTGACAGCCCTTATCCCAGTACTGGGAATGTCCTTCTCAATATCTGGGAAGGGACAGAGTTGGATGCAGACTTGGGGCTTGATCCAGCAAGATACTGAGTATCCGTGACTCCCATCAAAGTCAGTGGGAGCTGTGGGCTCAGCTCCTGGCAGCATCGAGCTTATGGTGTGCAGCTGTAACTTCAGTTTAAAATCCCCTCTTCTTTCCGCTATGCAGATTCATTGGCCTTTGCCTCCAGGAGGAAACATACCTGCTACAGGGGTAACTGCAGCACTAAGTCTGCTCTCCTGTCACTCTGCAGAGAGGATTTCTTTCTTTACTGATTCCGTCCCCAGCGCACAACCCTGTTACTAAGGCTATATCTTGGGGATGGGATTTGACCCTATATGTCAGGGGTGGGCAAACTACAGGCCATGGGCCAGATACGTCCCACAAGCCGTTTTAATCCGGCCCTTGAGTTCCCTCTGGGGAGCGGGGTCTGAGGTTTGCCCTGCTCCAGCTGGGAAGCAGGGTCAGGGGGCCACTCTGCATGGCTCCTGGAAGCAGCGGAATGTCTCCCCTACAGCTCCTATGCTTAGGGGCAGCCAGGGGACTCTGCTCTGCGCACTGCCCCCGCAGGTCCCATTGGCCAGGAACCATGGCCAATGGGAGGTGGGGGTGGCGCCTGCGGACAGGAAGTGTGCAGCAGAGCTGCCTGGCAACGCCTCCATGTAGGAGCCAGAGTGGGGGACATGCCACTGCTTCCGGGAGCCACTTGAGGTAAGCACCACCCGGATCCTGCACCCCTGAGCCACCCCCCCTGCCCAGCCCTGATCCCCCTCCTGCCCTCTGAATCCCTCAGTCCCAGCCGGGAACACCCTCCTGCATCCAAGAGCCTGCAACACCCCACCCTGCCCCAGCCCTGATTCCCCTCCTGCCCTCTGAATCCCTCGGTCCCAGCACGGGGCACCCTCCTACGGCCTGCAAATCCCTCGGTCCCAGCCCCACCCCAGAGCCTGCACCCTCAGCTGAAGCCCCCACCCCTCCACACCCCACTGCCCCAGCCTCCTCCCGCACCCTGAACTCCTCATTTCTTTCCCCCCCTAAGCCCACACCCCTAGCCAGAGCCCTCACCCCCTCCCACATCCCAACTCCAATTTTGTGAGCATTCATGGCCCGCCACACAATTTCTATTCCCAGATGTTAAAAAGTTTGCCCACCCCTGCTCTATGTGAAAGAAGTTCACTGTAACTTGAGTTATAGTGTATTGAAACAGATTGGGATTTGCAGTGAAACCCCATTTTTTAATGCATCTGAGTTCACTCTCAGTGAGTTCAGCTGTAGTATGGCTCTGTCCATTATGTATAATGGATAGCAGTTAAATATTTAATGCATTTTTTGTGTGGTTCTGCTTATTTCAGCCTGAATCTCAGCATCTCCCCCTTAGCCATGCGACTGCCGATTCACTGCATTTCTGTTACCAAAGAATACAGCCACATCCTTGTAGGCTTGGAGGATGGCAAGTTGATTGTCGTTGGTGTTGGCAAGCCAGCTGAGGTAAAACCCACCATCAAGAACTTTGTCTACCGAACAGTGGGAAATTCACTTATTTCTGCTTTCCAGTTGAGCAAAAGGTCTCCTCTATGGCAGGGCAAACTTAAGAGCAAGTTTGAGTTTTCAGGGGGGAAGAAATAATTTTTGAGACGGCTCTATGCATAGAGATTTCTCTATAAGAAATAAGCATAAGGGAACGCTGATGGGGAAAAAGCAGATTCAGTTGGACTAATCTGCAGACTTTCTCACAGTCGAATAAACAAGAGGACAGAATAACTAACATTTTCTGAATGTGCTAGTGTTGTCTGTCACTTCTCAGACACAAGTTCTGAATAGTATGTGATACCTTCGTTATAAGTGATGAAGTAACTTCCCAGAAGAAAATTGGAAACAAAAAAGAATGAGCTACTTTCTTTTAAGTTTTGGCTTTTGTCAGATATCCTTTACTATATGTTGTTACTTTTTGAAAAATTCCATATTTCTCACCATTCGGACTCTCTCACTGTAACTGCACAAAGATTACCCTGTGTAGCCTCCCCTATGCTCTGTGCTCCTTACGGTGGATGTAAATTTGTAGGTACTGCATATGCACTATCAGTTACAAAGCATCCATATGTAAAATAGCAATACCCACTTTGTCATGTTCAAAACGGGTTTCACAGTAACTGCTACTTGTAACACCTCTGTCGAAGTATTTCACCAATATTATGAAGAGAGGCAGGGTTAGGCTTTCTGAATCTCTGGAGTGCTACAGTATATTTTAAGTTGAAAGCTCCTATTGTTAACCGTTACAGCCAGAAGGGTGACTTTAAATTGAGGAAAGCTGTTTGACCTTCAGTATTTGCTAGAAAAGTAGGCATTAAAGTAACATATATTTTATAAATTTTGAAAACATACTGGCATCTTAGTTCTCAGTGTCTGAAATTTTTCTAGTTAAGGGAACATAGAGTTTACTGAAATATATCCTGCTTAGGATCTTCATGGAATGAGAGCCTGATCCTGCTTCTATTGAAATCAGTGGCAAAACGTACAGCAATTTCAAGTTAAACAACTTTTTCTATTATAGAGTTAATGGATAGCTTCTTGTGTTGTAGATAAGAGACTCTTGTGATAGCTTTTTAAAAATCATCAGTCTTTTATAAAGATTTTTCAGTCTTAGAAAAACTCTTTGCTAGGCTGGAATTTGTTGTTCATTATCTGAGACTTAAAGTAAATTTAATTAAGAACAAAGAAATCTGACTTCCCCACTGTCCTATGTTCCTAGGGTTCGATTCCTCCTAAGGATATGCAGATTTTTTCCACAAGCTTTATCGGTGTTTTCAGTTTATAATTCAGAGAATTTGGAGGATTAATATCTATATAAACAGATTAAAAAACAATAATGGTAGGGACAACATTTATCCCATATTTTCCTGTTTCCTCCGATTTGTAAAAATCATTTTATTGTGTTTAAAAGGTATTAACTTTTTTGTTTGACAAGTAAAATATGGAGATAAGAAATTAAGGACTTCCAAATTCCTCCTACAGAAGGTACTCTCTGTTACGAGTTGGGCTTCAGTGGGGATACTATATTTAGCCTCAGAACAAATGGAGGTTCTTTCTACATATTTTATTAAACATAATAGTAAAGTGCTGTCGAGACTAAGGTTGACATTTTGTCTTTATGATTTGACAATATAATCAGAGATGGAGTACAATGAATTTGTGTTCTGGTTTAGAAAACTATATAGTTGCTTTGAACACTGCAGAAGTCTGCAGGATTGTTCCCTGTTCAAGCTGACACCACTGATGGTTTGTTGGATTCTGTTTAGCTGCTCAATACATAGTTACAAAGTGCCAGACTTCTGATGAGAAACTTAGTTTCTGAAATGAGTATCAGAAACTTTTCCTGAACTTTGTGCCATTAAAGGATGATTTTCTTTAACCATAAGGGATTTTATATTCTGGTCTATTGCCAGAATAGGATCGCCACTGGTCAATCCCAGGTCTGCTAGTTATGAAGATAATTGAAACAGTTTCTGACAGAATATTGTCAGATAGTCAAATATGATACAAATTCACTAGATCCATGATTTAACATTGCCTTTGGTTACTTGTCACTTTGAACAACTTATTACTTGTCTTTACTTATGGAATATTCACTGTAGACTACATTTGTTTAATAATTCTTGCACTGAACACTTCACCCAGGATCAGTGGAAGTCTAGAAATTTGGCATCATGAGAACTCCTCTCCATCTCTTTCTCCCATTTTGCTATCACTGCCCTGCAATAGTCCATCACTTACAGGACCTTGTCAAGTACTCTTCATTTCTAGTAATTCCCTCTTAAAATAAAATGCTCTTCCTACTAATTTTGTTCATTTCCACTTGGCAATCATTTTTTCTTTTTAACAAAATAGCCATTTAGAATCCAGAACCCACTTCCCACAAAATAAGAACAATTTTAAAGTAGGTAAAATATTAGACCTAACTTGCCTGACAGCATCCATTTAACTGTTCAAAAGTGGAAAAGATAATGATCAATATTTGTCTTTTTGTTCTTTTGTGCCAATCCAAGAATCATCCCAAAATGTTACCTTTTTTGTTTGTTTGTTTTGAAATAATTTCTGTTGGTATAATTTTGTGTTTGTGCAGTACCTTGTATTGTCTGCACTTCTCCAGAATCAGCGTCTGAAGTTCCTTTTTTAATTTATCCACCTTATCCCTTCCCCCTCCTTTTGTTTCTCTGGATTACTTTAAACAGATGCGCTCAGGTCAGCTTTCCCGAAAGCTGTGGGGATCAAGCAAACGGCTCAGCCAGATTTCTTCAGGAGAGACTGAATATAACACTCAAGATTCCAAGTGATTGCTGCTTCTGAATTCTCTCATGGATTCCAGAAATTTGTTTAGTCTTTTGGTCACTCTAAACATATCTCTCAACTTTCTGATGAGTGTTTCAGGGACTTATCCTTGACAGTCAGTTGAAGACCAACATATGGTAGAGGTACAGTAATTTTCATATGCACACATGCAAATTAGCCCACAATTGGTTTTATTACTTTTTTCCTAATCACATTGATTTGATAGCAGTGGAACTCTGTCTAGATTATGTGCTGGAACGTAGTTTCAGAAAAAGACCTGTAAGTGCGTTAAACCACAGATGATATCATATACAGGTGAATAATGCTAGATGTTCCTCTCTTGCCTGGAAGATATTAACTCAAATTCAAGGAAAATATCCCATTCTCATTTACATCTTTGTAATTCCAGGATAATATACAGAAAATTCCTTCAATTTGCAGATATACTGATAAAATTGGGACAGTTGAGAGTTATGACTTCAGATATATTCTTCCGACCAATCAGCTTGCTGTGTACTACTGTAAATGATTATAAATAATCCTCTATTGCGTGGCTCCGGAGGAAATCCCTTTTAGACTGTTCTGCAGGAAGCACCTCAATGGCAGTACTTGATTGTCAGAAATTGTTTAACTGAAGAACAACAATGAATTATAACCTCATAGGAATTGGAATAAGGTGAATATTTGCTGCAGAACATTCTTTGTCGTTTGGCATAGCAACACTCACATTTAGAAATCCCTTACAAGTTTTAAGGCCTCGTATTAATACAGAGGGAATGAGAATCACATTTCCATGTCTGTCAAGATTGAGTTGTTCTGTTTCATTAATAGTATAATTACTGCAAACCAAAATGTCTAATTTCTAATTAAGATGACCTGAAAAACTTTGCATCATAATTTACATTTAGCATATCTTGTTTCTTGGCTCTGTATTTGTCAAACAAGTAACCTGGTTTAGCCATATTCATATTGCCGGAAAAGTAAGTAGAAAAATCCAGGTACATATGAGGGAGAGGAAGACATCACAGCCCTGCGTATACTGTAAACAACAAAAATAGTACTCAAAAGCTCAAGTACTCCTGGGAAAACCTTGCCTTCAGGGCAAAGGGTTATTTTTTTTAGGTGGGAATATGACTCTATGTAAATAGAGGAAAATATTGTTCCTTTACATCTTTTGTGGAAGTGGTAGTAATTGAAAACAAGATGTCTCTGTAGCCAATGCAGATACAGAATTGATTTAGTTAATATTTCTCAGACACCTCTCCCCTCTTCTTCCTTATTTTATTACTTATGGAAGTGAGTATGTGTTGTATCTTTTCTAAATAGTGTCAGATTTCCCCTAGGATTGGGGAGGAGTTGAACTACCGGAGGCACCCCATACGGTGCAATCTAAATTCATGCACTTTTAGCGCGATATTTCTTGATTATCTAAAGAAGTAGTTATCACTCTTTTCAAGGCACATTTTTTCTTAAATCAGCTTCCCCTTCTTAATTTCATAAAGAAAATAATGACCCGATATCATGCTTTTATACACTGAATATTTTAATGACCTTATTACTAACTAATCTAAAACGTATTGTGTTGCTTGTTTTAACCATTACTTTCAAATTATATCTGATCAGTGAACAAATTAGATGAGATTATGTATAACTAGAACACTAATCACTGTGACAGATCAAATCATCTGGAAATTAGGGGGAAATGGAAAGATTTCTCTGTGGCACTTGTCAGTATGATATTTAACCCCGTTTCTCTTGGTCACTCATTCCCTCCCCCCCCCACCTCCCCACTTTGCAATGAGTTATGGACATGGGAAGAAAGTCTACATGAAAAAAAAAAGAAATTAACTGGTTACTGATACAATAACAATACCAAGGATACTCTGGAAGTATTAAGTGTATGTGAATGTGAAGTAGGTTTGTCTATTGTAATTTCACAAGTAAGAGATTTTGAAGAGTTATTGAGACAGAAGTTTAGAAGAATCACAGTTTTGAACGTGTGATTTTATGAGAGTTAAGAGGGGTTATAATGAATTTTCAAATGAATTTGCTTGGGGGTAGTGTGGGTGATGGTTTTATAACTGTACATTTAAGATCTTAAATGTGTATATTTGGAATTTTTTAAAATTGCAAGACTGTTTGACGAGCAGAATCAAAGTGGAGACATTTAGAAAGTTAATGTTCTGTGTGATGCTTGGCCAGAACATAAGTCTTTCTGTTGTCATTTGTGCAGAGAGGTTCACTTGTAAGTTTTTGAAAGAATCTTTATTTGTATTAGGTATTTTATGCAAAAGTTTTAATTTTTGAACTGGTGAAAATTTTAGCATTTGTATCCATGTAAGAAAATAAGGGAAACTGGTCAACCTCCACAAAATGTAATGTGGGTTTAGAAATTGGAGAGATGCCGGCATTTGTATTAATGATAATCTGAATATATAACACTTTAATCCAATGATTTTGGTGCTTTACCAGCATTAGTTAAGCCTCACGAATGTTAGCTACTGGTATAAATTAGAGCTGCCCTCATAATGCTCTGTCTTGGCACTAAGGGACCAACCCTTCACAAAGCAGCAGCAAGATCATGGGAGTACAAAGGTGAGTGTTAAATCACATTCACACACTACTTGCACTTTGTGCAGATTGGCCATAGCTGAGCATCTGGTCCCTTGAGAATGAAAGGTGCTACTTACATTTCAACTTGTCTTTTCGTGCACCAGCAGCAGTCAATTTTTTTAACTACTCAGTAATGTCTGTCTGCAAGCTATACTTTGCTTAATTTGTAAAAGGAAGCTGTAAATAAAAGATGTAGTTTGTATGTGAGAGCTATAAGTAAGGAAGAATTTAGCTGGTGTTCCACTTGTTTTTAACTTATTTTCTTTCAATTTTTCTTGAATTAATTATACAGGTTTTTTTTTTGTGGTTGTCTGAGTTGTGGCTGGTTTGCAGTCCACACAGAGCCGTGGACACGGAATTAGTGCACTGCACTTCTTCTAAGATTTAAATTTTTACTTTTGATGACTCTTCAAGGTAATAGTGCTCTTGGATACCATCCCCTCTGCTCTTCTCATAGAGGAAAAATAGTTATAAAATACAAGTTCTCTTTAGTCTTTTTACACTACAATTTATTTATTTAACTTTGTTTTAGAAAGTAAAGCTGTGACATGACGCAGTTCTGACTATGAATTCAGATCAGGCTAGTCTGAATACATAGTTGCTTTGTAACGCTAAGAATTTTTCAAGGCCCTTTTGTAGGTGTTCTGTCTTTTGTTTAACCATTGGAGGCCACAGTGATATCTATAGAAACTAAAAAATATTGCTTACCTGTGAGGTGGACTTAAAAGAAAAGTTAAGTCAGCACTGTAAACATATGTATTTTTAAAAAAAAGCTGAATATTGACTCATCTCTTCCTAGTAATTTATAAACTGGATTCAACAGTTAGCAGTATTCAGTAACTTCCACTTACAGTTTGGGGAAGTGCTTAGAATAATTTTGGCACCTTAGAGACTAACCAATTTATTTGAGCATAAGCTTTCGTGAGCTACAGCTCACGAAAGCTTATGCTCAGATAAATTGGTTAGTCTCTAAGGTGCCACAAGTACTCCTTTTCTTTTTGCGAATACAGACTAATACAGCTGCTGCTCTGAAACCTAGAATAATTTTGTTTCCAATAAAATTTTTGTTGATTATCAATGTTACCGATTAATGTTGCAAGCCTCAGTGGTGGTAATTATTTTTGGTTGTCTTATTTTTATGTACTGTGAAGAATTATCTAATATCATAGTAAGTGTTCATTTGGGAATTGCCAGCATTCAAAGAGTTATATGCTCCTTGTCCAAGTTAAGGGCAAAAAAAGTACGTGGGTAATATTGCATCAGTATATTCTTTATTTTCTGTGTATCATACTCATCTTGTGCAATCTTTGAAACTTTATCTTTTCCATCATCCACCTATCTTCCCACCCTCAGCACATACACAAAAAAACCCTGTTTAAACAATCTTTTTCCTCTTATTTAAAATGTTTGTGGAGGGGGGGGCCTTAATTCAGAAAGCACCCAGTAAGATCTTTGATTAATCTAGATCATAGAATCATAGAATATAAGGGTTGGAAGGGACCCCAGAAGGTCATCTAGTCCAACCCCCTGCTCAAAGCAGGACCAATTCCCAGTTAAATCATCCCAGCCAGGGCTTTGTCAAGCCTGACCTTAAAAACCTCTAAGGAAGGAGATTCTACCACCTCCCTAGGTAACGCATTCCAGTGTTTCACCACCCTCTTAGTGAAAAAGTTTTTCCTAATATCCAATCTAAACCTCCCCCACTGCAGCTTGAGACCATTACTCCTCGTTCTGTCATCTGCTACCATTGAGAACAGTCTAGATCCATCCTCTTTGGAACCCCCTTTCAGGTAGTTGAAAGCAGCTATCAAATCCCCCCTCATTCTTCTCTTCTGCAGGCTAAACAATCCCAGCTCCCTCAGCCTCTCCTCATAACTCATGTGTTCCAGCCCCCTAATCCTTTTTTGTTGCCCTTCGCTGGACTCTCTCCAATTTATCCACATCCTTCTGGAAGTGTGGGGCCCAAAACTGGACACAGTACTCCAGATGAGGCCTCACCAATGTCGAATAGAGGGGAACGATCACGTCCCTCGATCTGCTCGCTATGCCCCTACTTATACATCCCAAAATGCCATTGGCCTTCTTGGCAACAAGGGCACACTGCTGACTCATATCCAGCTTCTCGTCCACTGTCACCCCTAGGTCCTATAAATCATTACAACCTGTCATGGGAGCACTTGATTAAGTAGCTTTCTTGTATTTACATCTCAGACTAGTGGATCTTAATTATTTGTTACATAGCCACCCATGACTACACTTCTACAAAGAATGACAGACTCAATAAAATGGATATTCATCTATGCAAAGTTTTTCTTCAATACCTGCTTTAACTACAAATATTATAATTTTTTTAATTTAAATGGCATATGGGCTTTTAAGTAGCCTACTGAATTGACTATTTTGATAAGGAGCCTCTTTAATGTCTTAAAAATCAGAGTTCTCCTACAGTGCAAAGGATTAAAACAATAGAATTCCATCCCCTTTAAAAAAAAAAAAAAAAAATTCCCACAATCTAGGAAGGGATAGCCAGTGAGTTATCTCCCATTACTCTGGGTTAAGATAGTTGTGTCTTAATAGAATTCAGTGGGTGTTGGCCATCTAACTCCCTTAGGCTCTGATGAAAATCCTACCCATTAGCTATATATGGAATCTCAAGTAAGAACATTTAAAGATATCATCCACTAGAAAAAGATTTCATCTTGTAGGTTACTTAGTTGAAGAAGTATGTTTGTTTATGGACTACAGTATTGTAGAGAGTTTGAGACTAGGTTAAATTTTTTTCTTCTGAAGGGGTATATTAAAAATCTGATCTTTTATTTGGAGGAAATGCTAAGACACTCTATTAAATATACTGTTAGGCCTGATCCTGTGGAACAGCTGAAGGCCCTAATTCTGGAAAGCACTCAAGTGTTGTTCCGGAGGGGAATGCTTTCCTGAACCAGTTCATTGAGCTTACTACTATGACAGCAATGGAACGACTCGCAGTTGTGAGCACTACATCTGTTCATAGGATTGGGCATATAGATTCTGTAAACATCCAATTAAATTCTACAAATCAGTAATCTTGAACAAATCTATAATCTCAGATTTGATTAACAGAATGCACTAACTATACGCTGAAATGTTAATAGTTCTACACTAGCTCAGTATTAAGAGGGTTAAGAAGTTTGTCGAAGAGGCGATTCTTAGATCATTTACACTTCACAATACTGCTATGGAGTAATGGTGCAAACTGGGCTATTTTTAATCCATTTTATTGAGTCTGTCATTCTTTGTAGAAGTGTAGTCATGGGTGGCTATGTAACAAATAATTAAGATCCACTAGTCTGAGATGTAAATACAAGAAAGCTACTTAATCAAGTGCTCCCATGACAGGTTGTAATGATTTATAGATGTAGTTTTAAAATAATTTCTTCTGCTGAATCTCAAGAGTTGCATTCAGTATTAAAGTGAACTTCCTCCCTTGTTTTGGTGGTAGAGTTTTCCAATACCCATCTGTATGTAGCCTCTTCGGAGGCCCACACCTGAACCAAATGGAGGCAATACAGGTGGGGAGTTCAGTGGGTGAGTCTATGCATTCTGAGGAACCCAGTCTCACTCTGTAGTCCTTGCCTCTTCTAATAACCCTTGTTAGCCCACTCTTCCAAAGGCTGCAGGTCCCCTGCCAGGCTACTGCAATTCAAACTAGGTAGCAGGAACTGTACAGCTAGTACAATAGGGTTGACCCCTTCCGTTGGAGCCTAAGCACCTTTCCTTCAAAGCACCTTAGCATCACTGACCTCGGGACTGAGTCGAAGAAAGCAAGATAACCTAAAAGGTGTATTTTGTCCATCCCAAGATGACAGTCCAGAATTGTTCCTTGCACTAAATGTAGGGTGCTTGGTGTAGCTTACTTTTAAATGTGTCAGGTGCTAGGGTTTTCATTTCTACTCTTGGAAATAGGTCTACAGTCTAATAAACCTGATGCTTGAGGAATTATTGCTGATATTTAATCTAGACTTTCCTTTGTTCAATTTCATCTCCCACAGAGCTGTATCCCCTTGGAATACTGGAGGTGTTTTCTTTGATACCTGAGCCTTTCACATACTATATTTAATTGCCAAACTGTTCATGTATGGTTATTTCAGTCTTTCCTCAGAACCCAGGTCCTCTAGCTCTATTCATGCGTTGCTTCTGTCTGGACTCTTAGACATTTCTGGTCTCAAATTTGAATGCTCTGTGGGGTATTGCGACTAGTGTATAGAAATCCTACTGGCTCTTTCTGATATTGCAAACTCATGTCTAATCTACTGTCCACTATTTCTAGCCATCCTTCCAAAATGCTGGGCAGGAAGGGTCTCCTGTTCCAATTGTATTTCCAAACTATGGGTGAGGATAGATATAGGGTTTCCAGTTTTAAAATATGACCTCACCCAAGCAAGAGCGTGAGATTAAATATCCAATAAAATTTACAATTGGGGAGGGAGTAGCAGAGGTCAATGTTTTTAATATAACAAGGAAAATTTTCAAATACCAATAATGAATTTTTATTCCTAAACTGAAACCATCATTTGCCTAGAAACAAACCCTTAAAACCAGAAATCCCATGTGCATCTAAGTAGGAGTATTTTCTTTAGTCATTAACAAATGAGCTGTGTTCAGTAGTATCCTAACTTAAATGAAGTAATTTCAGGGACTCAAGTAATGAAAGCTTGCCTCGTGTTCTGCTCCTGTAATGAGCTCTGCAGGAGCAGTCCAGGCATTGCTCAGTGAAGGGTTGGGGCCACAGTGTCTGAAAAGAGCCACCCTCTCTGAGCAATTTCTTGGAGATAGTGCTGCTACTTAAAACAAAGTTTTCTTAAAGAGTTTTTAGAGTGGAAAATGAGACTCACTAAGGTGTGCCTCAGCATTTGCTTAAATCACTATAACTTTTGGTGGAAACAGAACACTAAGCCTTATTGATAGTGTGACAATTAACCATCTCTTAATTCTAGTAATTATGATTGTGCAATTATATGATTACAAATGGATTTAATGCCAAAAATGCCTTTAAATAAACTCAAATTTTAGTTAGTTGAAACTAGATATATTGAACACTAATAGCCTTCTGGCAGTATAATGAATTTGCTGTTAGTCTTCTGTGCAATACCTTCATCCCTTCTGGGTGCTTTTAAGGTTTCGTATATACTGTTTGTCTTATTTTAATATGTGTTATGTTCCAATGGCTAAGTTTTAATAATTTTAAGTGTGTATATTGGCTAATGTTGGATTTGTTTCTGTACAGCATGATGGAAGATGTTTTAAAATTTTGCACTTTTTTCTAGTATTTGCAAATTTGTAATCTAAATTTTTTAAATGCACACTTATTTTGTACATAATGATTATTAAATTAGCTTTGTATATAACAGCTGGGGCTGGAGCAAATAAATAATAATCAGATGTGTGATTTCTCTGTGCTTTTTTCATGGTGTGGTCCAGGTATTTATAACTATGCCACGAGGGTTGGAATGTTTAGGAACTATTACTAGTCTGTTGCACTTTACTAAGACAGGTAATAAATAATAGGCTCTGGAGGGGGGAAATCTAGGCTGGGCAGCATGAACCGCTCTGACCTGGACTCCTAATCTACTAACATCAAGAAGTTTGGGGGGAAGTATTCCCCTTGCCTTTAGTGGGAGAAGAAACAGAGCTCCCTTCAGCAAGCAAGTGAATAGGGGAGTCTTCGTGCTCCCAGGAAAGGCTGGAGAACCACAAAATCTTCAGATGGATATAGGTTTCTGGTGCTCCTATTTCAGATTCCCTTGCATGGCAAATCCTTTCAGCAGCTAAGCAGAGAAGAGGGAGCTGCTTTCTCTCATGACCCCTCAGTTCACTACACCAACTATTAAAACGGTACTACAGGTTGAAGCTCTCTAATCCGGCACTTCCTGGTCCGTCAACATCCGTGGTCCAACATAGGCGCCAATTCCATCGGTGCTCCAAGGGTGGAGCACCTATGGGGAAAAATTGCCAAGCTCCCACCCTCTGCCCCTTCCCTCTGCACCTCTTGCACACTGGTGGCCCTGCACTTACCAACTCCTCCCCCTCCCAGCGCTTGCAAAGCGCTGCGAACAGCTGATTCACAGCCTGGGGCTACTGCAGCACCCCCTGCACCCCTACTTCCCACATCTATGGAGACCTGTTGGCACTTTGCATTGACCTCCTGTGGTTTGGCAAATTCTCTGGTTCGGTGCCGGTCAGGTCCCAAGGGTGCTGGACAAGAGAGGTTCAACCTGCATAAATTAGCCTCAGGAGGGTATCCTCCCCTAATGCTGCAAGGAAATGTTTGAGATTAGTCAGTTCCTACAGAAATAAAAATGGTGAGTAATGGGTTCTTTAAATCCTGCTTTATTTACAAAATTTACTTTTTCCAGACCTGGGAGCTCCTCTTTTCACTATCTTCCTTTAGCATCTGGTGTTTCACAGCAGGAAAGGTTAGGGCTTCTGGGAGTTACTATCGGTCAGGAGGAAACTGAAATCTGTTCCAGGCTCATGTTCAGTTGGTTTCTCACCTCTGGAACAAAGATAAGAGCCATGCTATAAACTTGGCAGTCAAAGCAGAAATGTGAACAGTCTATTTTGCTTCCTTTTACTATTTGAGCTGGGTCCTTGAATCTTTGTACTTTGGAAGCTATGTGGAACTCTTGGAGTACCTGCTATTAGGAATTGAACCTTATGACCTAGTCCTTCAACCATTACTCCAAGCCATAGTTTTTCCTCATGCAACTAAGAACTACAGGTTTAGGCTTTTAGGACTCAGTCTAGCCCCCATTACCATCCAATAAGTGACTATTGCTATGTCTACAGTGTAGCTGGGAGTGAGTCTCCCAGCCTGAGGAAGGCCAACTCAAGCTAGCATGCTATAAGTAGCAATGTGAACATTACAGCTTGCGCCCTCAAGCCTGCCCAAGCTGGAACTGGTACACTGCTACTTATAGCATGCTAGCTTGAGCTGCACTGGAGATGTACCCTATGGGATCAGGCCCTGAGCTAGTAAGACTCATATACCAGTACACACAGCTGTAACTCATTTTTTGAAAGGGCACGCTGTAGCCCAGTAAGTGTGAATAGGTGTAATACCCCACAAAGGTGCCAGTATAAAGGACAAATGCAACCAAAACTTTTGCTTTATCTGTGGTTCCCCTTTATTACAGTATTATCCCACCTCAAACCATTCCCATTTTACAAGTGGGAAATGGAGGCAAGAAATTAAATTAACTCCCCTACTGTAGGTTGACACAGGAAGACCCAACAGAGCTACCAACTGAACTGAGATCTCAGAGTCCCTGTCCCATGTCTTAACCCCACAATCAATCTTCTTTCTGCTATAGAAGAAAAACACAACTTTGATTAAAAGCCACACAGAACTGAATACAAATTGAATACCTCAGAAACAACCGTGCTCCAGTTACTCCTTGCAGGGTGGCTTTGTCTCCTTCCACTAGTAACATTGCTCCTTCACGTAAACCCTGAATTGACAAGAAATAAAACCCCTAGCTGTCACTTGAGTTCCGATCCAAGTTGAATTCCCAGTTATCACTTTGAGGATTGACAGGTTCTTGTCCCAAGATCAGACCCCCTATTATTCAAATTATTATATAGTTGGGAATCTCGATGTGCAAAGGTGCAACACTCACAGTACAGAAACTCTTCTGCATTTACAAGTATTTTATTAATAAACTTAGCACAGTCACAAACACTAACTCAGTAATGTAGACAGCGATAATACAAAATATCTCTGGTTGACCATCTAACCACAAGTTACCTTAAGGGTTGTTTTATTTTAGCTCGCTTAAAGCATTTGACTCATCTGACAACCTGGTGTTTATTTTACCTAGTAGTTCTCACAGTGAAGAGTATGGTCTCAGATGGGCAATTCCCAAGATGTTGTCTCTACCCAAATAATGTAAGAACTGCCTGTATGCTGACTCCATCACCTGTGCCTAATAAGGATGGCACTTCAGAGATGAAGGCACTCGGACAAAGTAGGTGAGTCATAGCTAGTGTTAGGAAGATGATTTCACTTTCTAGAATCAGTTCACTGTGTCTTTAAAACACATGAAGGGGAAGTAAAATGGTTCCCTGGGATCTTTCATTAGCTTTAACTACTATCATTCTCAGTCTAGTTTGTGAAGATTGCCATACAAGCAACCAGTGGAGTCTGTTAGTAACCATGACTCGGTATTTCTCAGACAGCAGGGATTGGGCATGCTGGCTAGGATGGAAAACCTCTGAATGCTGACCTCCTACACAGCAGTGTGTTGTCATGACAAGTGTTTAATGATAAAGATGCTTTGCCCCCGGCCGCAGCTCCACTCTGTCCCCTGTTCTGCCCACAACTCCGCCTTCAGCCTAAGCTCCTCTGCTGAGCCAGCTGTGCTGTAATGGAGGGGGCCATGGACAGATTCCATTATTGGTAAGGGGAGCATGACAGGAAGAGTTTGGGCACCACTGCTCTACTCTCTGCAGATGGAGGCAGTGCTGCATACAGGGCCTCTCCTGCATAGAACGAGAGGCCTTGAATATACAGGATGCAGATTAGAGCAACCTGAACAAGGTTGAAGCTAGCAGCGAAAAGTCTCCATGGTAGAAAACGGATAGAAAAGCCTTACAGTACAATGGAAAGGACATGGGAAAGATTAAGACATCTGTCAAGGTTCCTCCCCCACTCTGAACTCTAGGGTACAGATGTGAGGACCTGCATGAAAAACCTCCTAAGCTTCTCTTTACCAGCTTAGGTCAAAACTTCCCCAAGGTACAAAATATTCCACCCTTTGTCCTTGGATTGGCCACTACCACCACCAGATAAATACTGGTTACTGGGGAAGAGCTGTTTGGACACGTCTTTCCCCCCAAAATACTTCCCAAAACCTTGCACCCCACTTTCTGGACAAGGTTTGGTAAAAAGCCTCACCAATTTGCCTAGGTGACTACAGACCCAGACCCTTGGATCTTAAGAACAATGAACAATCCTCCCAACACTTGCACCACCACCACCCCCCCTTTCCTGGGAAATGTTGGATAAAAAGCCTCACCAATTTGCATAGGTGACCACAGACCCAAACCCTTGGATCTGAGAACAATGAAAAAGCATTCAGTTTTCTTACAAGAAGGCTTTTAATAGAAATAGAAGTAAATAGAAATAAAGAAATCCCCCCTGTAAAATCAGGATGGTAGATACCTTACAGGGTAATTAGATTCAAAACATAGAGAACCCCTCTAGGCAAAACCTTAAGTTACAAAAAAGATACACAGACAAATAGTTATTCTATTCAGCACAATTCTTTTCTCAGCCATTTAAAAAAATCATAATCTAACACATACCTAGATTACTTACTAAAAGTTCTAAGACTCCATTCCTGCTCTATCCCTGGCAGAAACCAGCATATAGACAGACACACAGACACACAGACCCTTTGTTTCTCTCCCTCCTCCCAGCTTTTGAAAGTATCTTGTCTCCTCATTGGTCATTTTGTCAGGTGCCAGCGAGGTTACCTTTAGCTTCTTAACCCTTTACAGGTGAGAGGAGCTTTCCCCTGGCCAGGAGGGATTTCAAAGGAGTTTACAGTTCCCGTTATATTTATGACAACATCTAAAATTCAATACCTGATTGGAGAGGGTGCATTCATATGATGGAGTTCTGGAGATGAGAGTTTGATTGGTATGTATTACTCACCAGTACTGGAGGGGTGTTTGGTTCCTCATGATACTGAAGAATCCTCTCCGCACGAGTCTCCTGGAATAGTAGGATCTAGTGTGAGTCTAGGTTTAAGTAATTTCTGCTATATGAGTACTTAGAATTTAGAACCATCTAGCTCAATATCACAAAGCACTTCAAGAAATGTTAACTTGATGATGTTTCCTTATGCTCCTATCGGCAAGTTTCATTCCCAACTGAAAAACTTCATTTGCCTGAAGTTTGTGGATGTAATATTGGCCATACTGAAGTCAACGGCAAGATTCTCACTGACTTCACTGTGGCCAGGAGTTCACCCTGTATCTCAAATACTAACCTTTGTTAAAATGTTGCAAACAAAAAAATCTAAGTTAAGGTTCCACTTCAATTTATTTTAAGGTTAAGGAACTAGTTGATTAAATATTGGTCTCCCTCATACTGCTGGAGGTAGTTCTGGAAGTTATTTCTGAATGAAGGAGATAGGAGCCTCCAGAGAAAGGGGACAAGGTTTCCACCATTGAACTAGCTACATATTTCTGCTTAATAGAAATGACATTTAAAGCCCTAATCAGGTTTCCTTGGCAGAGAACTCTGCCATGTAACCACGTTCCTTTGGAGTTCCTGAGTTGAGGGACAGAAATAAGCAAGCGCAAAGAAGGGACAGAAGGACACAAAGGGACAGAAGGATTTATGAGAAGGTCAGAGGGACACAGAGGGCAGAGAAAAGCATTTATATCCCACACAGATTTTCCCACTAGAAGTTCTGCAGAAAATTGAGCAGTAAAAAATACTGTTAGCTTGCCTTGAGAGCCAAGACAGTTTTTTCTCCCTGCAAAACTGAATTAAGTGTACCTGTACATCCACATCTTAAAACAGACCTACATTTTAAAAGTTTGGGTCTGGGTCCTCCATTTCTCCATGGTTCTGAGATGGAGAGTATCTTTTATTGTCTCCAAGAGACTTGCTGTTTCCGGACATATACCATCCTTGTAAATAAAAAGGCTGAAGTACTTTGTGTCATAGGAGCAAAATTCCCAGGAATTGTGCTCTTAGTTGCAAAATATAGGTGGTTTGTTCAGCTATTACAATTTAAATTATCCTAGGTTCTTACTGAGTAGACCTAAATTCACAGCTCTGCACCTTAGTCTACGTATATGGACTCTATATTTGATGGAATATTTCCCACTCTAAATTCCATTTACAATCTGTGCTCACTTTATCTAAGAACTTAAGGTTTATTGCTTAAGTGCCTTGGGGTGGGTTCTATAATTTCCCTACCCCTTACGTGTTCTGTAAACCAGGGATTTCCTTCACTCCACCCTGACCTGAAAGTCTCAAAATCAATGTGTAGATGTGTATAAAGCCTCAAGATGTTCTAGATGGAATGTCACAGCAGACCAGCACGTTAGTCTATGGTGAAAGTTTCCAGAAATATTGCATTTTACCTAATGCTGCAGGTATCATTATTCAAGTTGTTTTAAGTTTGCCCTTTAGTATTCTCCCTTGCCCACCTAAGCAGTACATGTCAGCAGTAATAACAGTATTTGTCATCAAAAGGCCTGAATTAGCCATCAGAATTCGTTCCACCTCAGTAATTCTGTTGCCAGGTAACCGTCCCATTCCCAAGGAAAGTCTTCCAAGAGCTGTAACAAAGGTTCCTTTGCTTCATTTACATTTCCAACAGCGCCAGCAGGCCGCTGCCAGACAGCAGCAAGCTTTACAAGTCGCAGCATATGCCCATTGTACTCACACTGTAGCTAGCTCTGCAGCTGGTGGAGATGTACTTTACTTACACCCATGTGAGTGCTGTTAACATCTGGATCCAAGTAGTGGGGGTTGATGTTAAAAGGAACCAATCCAAGGGCCAGCAGAGAAGGTGGGTACACGATTGGCATGTCATTGGTTGTGCTGATGCTGACAGTAGCTACGTTCGTTCCTGCACTGGACCCCACGTATGGAATTCCATCCTGAAAGATAAAGCAGCACTGCCATAGGAACTGTTATTGCTGCAAGAAACTCAGTTCTTGATCCCAGAGAGGAGACTGATACCTTACTTTTTACATCCCTTCTCTCAGACCGTTTCAAAAGGCAAAAAAAATTGGTGAATTCAAACTCCCCAACTAGAATATCTTTAATGCTAGATAGGGGAAGTTGAGGTGAAGCAGCTGTCTCAAAGTTACGTACTCTGAGGCAGAGCTGAAACTGAATCCAGATAAACTCAATCCTGTGCCTTAAAGCATCAAACTCTGTAGGAAATGATAGTGGATATGTTCTGTCAGTACTCTCTGTTGGGAAGACATGCGTATTCTTCAACAACATTATGCTTATGTTTCAGGATTATTTACCAAGCATGTCCCGGGGTTGTTTCTGTTGGCAGCACAGCAAGAGTGTGCCTATTATATTTTTATGAATTCATTTTCATCCTGTTCAAAATAGCCTAAACTTTTGGTGCCGCTGGTGCTTTTGGAGGCTAAGACCTTTTTGCCCCAAGACTTCTAACCCTAAACACGGGTAAGGGCCAGATCCTCCAGTGGTGTAAATCTGCATAGCTCCAGGGAAGTCTGTGGAGTTGCACCAATTTAAACAACCTGTGAGCTGAGTGCTGCAATTCTACCTGTACCATCTGAAGTTCTGAAAAGTTAATATTGTTATAATGCAAGTACAGAATTTGAAATACATTCACTATTGAAGGTCCCTGCTCGAAAAACATTTCATGCTGGTTTGAATGGAGAGGTAAGTGATTACTGTTTATTGGTTTTTAAATCACTACTTTCCTTAGGACCATCTCTTTGAAAATATATAATCTCCCAGTCAGACTGATTTCACATGGGAGTTAGGCACCTAAATACCTTTACAAATCTGGCCTTTAATTCACAGAGATAGGTGTACAAAATTGCTGAGAACTTCAAGGTTTCTCCAACTAAAGCCTGGTTCTCCTTTTGACAGTCAGACTGCTGAGTTCCTGGCTAGAGTATCAGTAAAAAAGTCTTTTCAAAAGGCCACATCTTTCAGTTTCTGACAGTTCCAGTCAACTTTGTCACATCAACAGCATCTTAGTTTGGGGTGTTGATTTATCCCTTCCCTTTGGAAGTGTCATCAACAAGACAGGCCAGCAGCTGGGTCTCAATTTCCCCTGGATGCCAATTTTGAGTTTGTGCTGGTTCCCAATTGGCTCCTCCGTTCCTCCAGACTCCAAGACAAGAGGAAACAACGCCACCCTCCTCTTCACATTTGGGAAGAGCAACGTTCAAGTTTTTTTACCAATACTTCTGCTTTGCGTGGACAGAATATTTGTATTCCACCTCAGAAGGAAAGAATTGAGTTCATTTGTGCCTAGAGATGTTAGCTAATGTGGGCTAAGTGTGCTACCCAAGATGGGTTACCAAAAGTACCAGCAAGGGGCGGGTGCCAATAATTCAGGAAAACATCAAGCTACCAACTTCACGCTGAAGTGAAGTAGCTCTGAAGGTAAAAAGGAATAGTTCAAGGGAGCTTATACCACCAGACCAATGCAAGGCACAGAGAATGTTAGACCTTTTAAAACAGCTCCTTGTTCTAACAAGGACCTAGTGTGAGGTGTCAGGAATTTTCCTAACAGCAAGAACTTGGTGTAGGAGTCATTCTGATGAGGCTATTTGGATCAACATAATATCATTGCTTATACCCACCATCACCTTGGCTCCATCTGTGTGGACTGCAGTAAACCACCCCCTAAATCTGTAGCCTCTTCCTGAAGTGGCTGGAACAAGCATTCTCTTTGTGTATCATTTTAGCTGCATGTCTTCAGTAGAGATGTTGAGAGTACCTCAAATGGACTAGAAGATGTGCAGCATCAGAGATCAATTGACTGATCCACGTGATTTGCTAGGTTGAAAGCAGTTGCTCAATTACTCTCAGCCATATCATTAATATGACCCAAGTCAGCAGTATTTGATAAGAGCCCTCTCTTCAATTTGGCAGCTCCTTCAGACCTTATCTTTTGTAACATTTATTACACATAAGGATAAAATCTTCTGCAATGGTATGTGCCATATGCTCTTGTACAATTTGTAGACAACACATGAGCCAGCTGAAGCGGGTTAGTGATGAGACTGCCAAGCTAACTCATCATCATCTTCCACATGCATCACAGTATCTAGATTGGCTGAACATCAAGGGTAGCAAGGTGTTGCAATCCAGCTTCCAATTTCTAAGTGTGCCTCTCCACCACCACATCTGACAGTCTGTATTGCTGTCCCACAGTCATACTGTGAAGGCTGGGCTTAGCTAAATTTATGCAGTGTGGCAGCCACTCCAGCCATTCCAATCAGCAGCCTCTTAAACCTAATCCAAGATTAGCATCCCAGGTTGCAAACAAGTGGATGTAAGGGAGACGTTTCTACTGCCTTCTTGTGGCATCCCCCGTGAGTAGCATAAAGCGAAATGAAGGTAGACAAAATGCAGAACAGAGACACGTTGCGAACTGTTCTTTTCAACCCATGATTCATCTTTCTGAGTTGCCCTTATGACTCTCAAAGCCAGAATAGAGCACCAACAAAGACATATGCAACAACCCCATGAGGCTCAGCAATACTTTTACCAATTATGGCCAACACTCCTGATATTCCAGTTCAGTGACATCTCAGCCCAGGCTATGTACATGGGTAGAATCATAGAACCCTAGGACTAGAAGGGACTTCAAGAGTTAGAGTGCAGCTCATGGAGGCCCCTCCCCAACCCCACATACATTCTCCACCTACCAGACTTGGTGGGGTTGAGGGGAAGGAGGGGGAGAGCTTGGGGTTTCTGCCCTGCAGCAGGGTGGTGGACTAGGTACTTCTACCCTGCGGGGGGGGGGGGGGTCCTAAGGGCTTTAGCCCACAGGAGGGTGTCAGGGCAGAAGCCACACAGGCCGGCAGGTGCTGGCCCATGAAGGAGATTCTGCGTGTCTTGCGGCTCTCAAACTTCTGAAGATTGTATGTGGCTCAGAGGGTCAAAGTTTGGCCACTCCTGATCTAAACCATCCCTGACAGGTGTTTGACTAACCTGCTCTTAAAAAAACTTCCAATGATGGAGATTCCACAACCTCCCTAGGCAATTTATTCCAGTGCTTAACCACCCAGACCGGAAGTTTTTCCTAATGTCCAACATAAACTACCCTTGCTGCAAGTTAAGCCTGTTGCTTCTTTTCCTATCCTCAGAGGTTAACGAGAACAATTTTTCACCTGCCTCCTTCTAATGACCTTTTATGTACTTGAAAACTTATGTCCCCCCTTAGTCTTCTCTCCTCCAGACTAACCAATCCCAATTTTTTCAATCTTCCCTCATAGGTTCTGGCAAGATGCTGCACAGTCACATCCTGCATCAGTTTAATCTGAGTAACTAGTTGGGTAGACCCCGACATGCCTTAGTGGTATCTCCTTGTGGCCCAAAGAGGCAAAACTCACCCTGTCACAGGGTCACTGACAGCCAGGTGCCGCCTTTCACAAGGGCTAGGGCCATGGTGCTTTGGCCCTCTGGCTAAGACACACTTGAGTCCCACCTCTTATGGGGTATTAAAATCCAAAAATAAAGGAATACCATGAACTCAAACCCATGGTTGTCTGAGGAGTATTCAGCTGGACCCAGCCCTTCTACTCAGGGCTTGTCTTCAGGCAGCCAGTCCTTTTAGTCAGTTGGTCTTCCTGGGCCTGGTCAACCCATCTAGGCAGTGTTTGAGAAATCTTGCTTTGCAAAGACTAGTCTGAAGTCAGAGTTGAAACAGTTATGTAGCTTCATGGGAGAAGAGTTCCTTGATGTTGTTCTGCTGCGGAGAAGCCTGAGTCTATGCACCCAAGCATAGCTAAGGGAGCTGGAGGACTTGGGGGATTGGTAGTAAGATACAGAGGCTCACTTCTGGGGCACTGGCTTGAATCTGAAGTACATGCATTTGGCATCTACTCTATACTATATGTGGGCTTGGCAGAAGTCAATTTTTATTTTTAATCATTTCACTGGATATCAATTTAAATTTTCAGTTGCACAAAATTATGGATTTTGAGTATTTTTCAATTTTTATCTATTTACATTTTCATAGTTGCAGGAAATTAGAGGGGTGAGAAAATAATTAATGACAGATGTTGCAATTCAAAAAGTTAAAGCTTTAAACCGTTAAACACGTGAGGATATTATGTCAAAATATACAACCTTAAATCACACTAACAAGTTCAAGCATTTCTGACTTTGCATATCTGTACACTTTGATGATTAGTGTGTTGTTTGTGTGTGTATGGTGAAATGGATGATTATTGATAAAGCTAATCCTTCCAAGTTAATTACATGTGAAAGGAGTGGTTGTTTCAATCGTGTTTCTAGTGGACAAGATGGATACTTGACCTTTAAGTGTCTCTCTCCTGGTACCAGTCCCCTTAGCCAGCCCATCTCTTCTTTCACCCACATGAGTTTTTTAAAGGAGAGATAATGGTTGATTTAACCATTTAAGGATAGTGGCTTATCCTTTGGAGAAACATATGGCAGCTATTACTAGATTACAGCATGAGATACTAAATTCTGCTGAGGTGGCTATGAGTCTGCAGTTGAAGATATGGACACCAATAAAATGTTAAGGCTACAAGGGATCTTTATGATCATTAGTCTGACTGCTTGTATAACAAAGGACATAGCTTTTCACCCAATAATTTCTGCATAAAGCCTCCAGGCTTGAACCACAGTATTCTGAAGTGTAGCAACCATGTATAAGCAATTAAAAAAGCTTCTACAAACCCTAAGGAATACAAGCCAAACAATATCCATCCATGCCCTTTGTAATTTAGTTTGTGAATCATTTAGGTTACCTCAAGAACTCTCTTCCTGATCTCCTGGAGCAGACTGTTGTCATAAAGAGCTTTCAAGAGCCGAAATGTGTTTCCACCACCTGCAGGAAAACAGTGTAGCTTTGCCTTAATTGAGACTGTAAGAATTGCCAGATTGGAAGACCCTAATGGGCCATCTAGTTGGTATCCTGCCTACAATAGTAGATAAAGCCAGCTGCTTCAAAGGAATACTGACCTTAGCTGGGGATCAGTTTTTGCCCTAGAGAATGTCACATTTACTCTAGCTACTGTAATTGAAGATACCAGTCTAATATGCACAAGTAAAGTTTTAAAATTATTAGTCTCAACACAATCCTATACTATAGCGATGTGATCTCATTCCAGTTTTTAGGAAGATTTGATGTCTGAGAAAGAATGGATGACTCCAAAACTCAATCTTCTGTTTATTCAAACTACAGAAGATAATGCCTTCCTACGGGGACACAGAATTTAGAGAAGGCAAGAATCAGATCTAATTGGTAGGGGCTTGACACTCTGAGAAGTGTCTTTATTAAAGCTTGGTGAATTTAGCGGGCTCAGCGCTGTGACTACAAACTGATTGCAATGCAGCAACTGCACTAACTACTCTGGACAGTCATCATTAGAAGAAGTTTATTAATGTCTGTACAAGAAGCAGACTAGACCCTCCTGGTCAACGTTGATGCATTGACTACACCTTGTGCTCCTAGAGAGAGCAAGAGCATTTTCTGAAGCGTTTACAAATAAACTGAAAACTAGGTCTTGTAACCTGATCCATAGATTATGTATTAATTATATTGATTACTTAAAAATCCCCAGTTATCACTTTGAGGATAGACAGGTTCTTGTCCCAAGCTCAGCCCCAGTATTATTCAGATTATTATACAGTTGGGAACTTTTCTTTATTTACAAATAGTTTATTAATACATTTAGCACAGTCAAACACTAACTCAGTAAGGTAGATAGAGATATTACAGAAAGTACATCTGAGCATCCATGCTCACACCATCCCTTACAGAACAACCTGAAATGTTAGCCATTATTTTCCTCATCATTGTTACCTTCCTCATCATCACCAATGGCCATCGTTCTGGCACCTCCACAGGGCAGTGGGAGGTAACTTTTACAATATGTTACACTGACACCATTGTGTCTAATGCATATTCAATAGGGTTTCTCCACTCTTCCTTATTTGTATTTCCTCATCCTACTAATGTTGGTGTCCTTCTTTTATATAGGACAGTAAATTAATTATTTCAATTTATTATATGTCAATTCGTTGCCATGGAACTCTTGTGGGTGGAAGTTCTTCCCAAAACTTTCCAAAGCTGGTGTTCAGCTCATGTTTCTGTGGTTGGCTGATGCCACTACTGACAAAATTCCCCTTACACTCTTTCCAGTTCCCCTTGGGTTGTTTGTCTGTGCCAAAGTTCATAGGCCTCAAGCCTCATGCTAACTGCTGAAGCCAATGTCTTACAGGATACAAACCTGTCAGTTTCTTGCATTAGTGCTCAATATAATAAAGGCAGAATATAATGAAGGCAAGGCAAAGAATATAATAAAGGCAAGCTAGCCTTATGGGTTACAGTCTAAAGTTATGCTCAGCAAGGGTTGGTGTAGACAATGCATTCAGTCACAGTACCTTAACTCCAGCAGAATCCAAGTCACATTATTATTCTTGCCTCCACCAAATGGGAAACAGCCTGGATTCTCTTGGTTTTTTAAAGCAATATTCTGTTACTATCCCTTTTTGTTCTGCCTTTGCCTCAAGTACATTTTTAGTTTAGGTGTCCAATCCAACCCATGACAGTGTAGTATGTTGTTAGGAGGGCCAATCAGAGTTTAGGCCTAAATTATAGGGGTTTTCAAATAGAATTGATTCTCTTTAAATTGAGAGATCTTGAGACAGACATCAAATCCTTATAGAATTTTTGTATTCCCAACATTCCAGCATTCCCCTAGTGCACGAGACCCTGAAACAGATGTGTCAGCTTTCATTGTTCAGATGCAATAAGACACACAACAATATAAGCAGAGAAATGTTTAAGTCTCTGCAAGATCAGGTCTTAACATGTAGCCCCCACCACAATATACACTCCTAATCTTAATTAGAAAGGGAACTCTTAATTGCCACTGTGAACTAGAAATGTTTACTTATCTGAGTAGGTTTTAATGACTAGCCCTCTTAGACAGAATCAGGTTCTGCAGTCCCATTTCTCCTATATAAGTGTTGGGTGAGACTCCACTAATTTTCCCATGTTATACTTTAGGGGGAAAAGGTCCAAAAACTAACACTTACCAATAAATATTGCTTCAGATTTCCTTACAGCTTCTACAGGATCTGAAGATTCATGAATACTCTCCAACTTGTATCCTACAAGAAAACATTTGTTTATCTACTTTTGCCATTTCTATTTAAATAAAGATATGAGATAAGTCTCACCTATTTTCCAAAACCCCTTACAAGAAACTACTAAGGAAACATAGCAGCCAGCGGTTGAGATGCAAAGTACTGTCGTACAGTACAAGTTGGCTAGGAGACAGAAGATAGGAGGAGAAGGTCAATTTCAGCCTGGCAAAAGGTTAAGAGGTATGTGCACCACAAGATTATTATAGCAATGGTGGTTTTAAATAGATTTATGAGTGATCTGGAAAAGGAGATTAAGAGAAAAGTGGCAAAGTTTAAAGATGAGCAAGCAAAACTATTCAGGCTAAGCAGGATGAGGGAGAGTGTGGAAAATATCAGAGAGCCCTAACAGAAACAAAGGATTGGCCAATACAGTGCAAAAATGCAAGGCAAGGAAAGGAATAATTTGCACTATTCAGACAAACACACACTGGAATGAATAAATGAACTATTCATATTACATTGTTGGGGTTTGTTATCTGGAGCCACCCGGAAAGTGGCCTGTTAGGTATCATTGTCGACAGTTCAAAGATAACATCTGCTGTAACCACTTCTGTGCACTGAGCAAACAAAATACGAGTAAGAACAGGACAAGACAGTGATTTATTACAATACCATTATGTCTCAGTGTTAAGTCCTTAGCCTACTGAAGCTTTGAGTTTTTTTTAAAAAACAGTTTGAATGAATGAAAACATCCACCACTGGATCGGACAGGATAAAGAAGAAACTTCCCCTAAGAGCAAGTTATGACAAAACAATCCATTACAAGATTTTTTGTATCATCTTCTGAAGTATCTATAGGATACTGCCCAGACAGACCACTTGTCTTACAATTCCTATGTTTTTATCACTAGCGAGTAGCTGAACTACAGTGGAATTGAACAAGTTCAACAGATTTTTCTTCATGAGTCAAAAACCCCACACGCCATCTGTGTGAAGAATTTTTTTCATGTGTGGTCAAAAATCCCACACCCCAACGGAATGAAGATTATTACACAAATCCCTCGCAGAAAGCCAGATCAAATGGATCTTGATGGGGTTTTTGTTTTATTTTTGAAGGGCAGAATTGTTTAACTAGATCTTGTACACCAGTTAGACAGAAAAAGAAGTCATGCAACAGCCTCTATTCCTGGATACTGGCCACTTGAAAAAGCTAGCATGTCTATTCAGCAGAAAAAAACCCACAGAACTAAAGTTAATGCAAAATATTTTATTAACTCACCATGTTGATTCTCCCCTCCCCCCCTTACAGAAACTCCAGGTCCATAAGCAGGATGCTGTCTTACCTAAACTTTCAAACTTCTCTCTTGCGGTCTTGGCATAGGCATCTCGATCATGAAGAGCATAGGGAATAAACAAAACTCTCTTCACTTTCCTAGGAAAGACAGATAACATGATCACATTTTGGGCAAACAGTTGGGGCTTCACCAGCTTTGTTATGTGGGCTTAACTAGTTGTAACAGCAGACCCAAAGTTTTACCTACTTGGCTTCCTTCTCTTCCCTACCCCCCTTTAAACTTTCCTTATGACCTAACAAGTTGGAGTTAAATGCAGAGATCACAAGTGGTGATGAAAGCTTCGTACTGGTGCCTGGACATAAAGTTGCACGCAAATGGGGTGAAAGGGAAGGGTTGCTTTTCCTGATACAACCAAGAGGAAGTTTTAAAAAGGCCTAAGATAAAGTAGCCCCCCTCTTCCTTCCTTTATTTTAAAAAAGAAACTGTTTGCTTTTCCTGCTTTTCCACCAACCACATCTGATTTCCAAACACCTGACCGTCACCAAATCATGTTCCATGACAATGCTGATAATGCAGGGGTGGGAAAACTACGGCCCGAGGGCTGCATCCGGCCCTTCAGAAATTTTAATCTGACCCTCGAGCTCCTGGGCTTGCACTGCTCCATCGCTCCAGCCGGATAGTGGGGTTGGGGGCTTATCCCATTCTGTGCGTGCAATGGCTCCACGCAGCTCCCACATGTCCCCCCTCCGGCTCCTACGCATAGGGCAGTCAGGGGGCTCTGCACCCTGCCGCCACCCCCACAGCTCCCATTGGCTGGGAACTGCGGCCAATGGGAGCTGAAGGGGTGACACCTGCAAATGGGGCAGCTGCCTGGCCACATCACCGCATAGGAGCTGGAGGAGGGACATACTGCTACTTCCGGGAGCTGTTTGAGTTAAGTGCTGCCAGGATCCTGCACCCCTGATCCCCTCCCGTGCACTAACACCCTGCACCAGCTTGGATCCCTCTCCCACCCTCCAAACCACTCGGTCCCAGCCTGGAGTATCCTCCTGCACTCCCAACCCCTCATCCCCAGCCCCACCCCAGAGCCCACACCCCCAGCTGGAGCCCTCAGCCCCCGACCCCAGACTCCAACCCCCTGCCCCAGCCCGGAGCCCCCTCTCACACCTTGAACTCCTCATTTCTGGCCCCACTCCACAGCCTGCACCCCCAGCCAGAGCCTGCACCCCAACCCTCAATTTCATGAGCGTTCATGACTTGCCATACCATTTCCATAGCCAGATGTGGCCCTCGGGCCAAAAAGTTTGCCCATCCCTGTGAGAATGGGTCCTAACAACCTTTTAAAAATGAATAAAGTTCAGGCTGCGACTAACTTATGCCCGCTGCGTGACACGTGATTTACACTCCCATTTCTATCAGCCTGTGTTCAGCCCTACGAATTTCTCTGAAAACTAAACACGGCAACATTGTTTCCCAGCGCACCAGTCTCTTGTCCAGTTCTCCATATGCCCCTAGAAGGGCCCGAGTCCCAGTCCAACCCCACTGTCTACACCAGGAATCCAGCTGCGCCTCAGGGTCCAGGCAGCCCTTCCACCTCATGCACTAGCCTCTCCCCCGCCATACCCCCCGCCCGCCCCCAGCACACGGACACGCCTGCTTAAAACGTCTCCACCATGTTCCCTTCGCTAGAGCGCCAAGGCTGATCCATACCGCTACGAAGCGCACAGGCCAGCCCACGCCGGCGCTTAGCCGACAGACAGGCGGCTGCCACGAGTTTACACCCTCGCGCAGAGACCGGCGTTTCGGCGGGGATTGGGCGGCCCCGCTCCCAGGGGAAGGCTCGGGAACCGGGCAGCCAGGCTCCGGCGGCAGCTCCGGAAAGCGCCAGGCTTGGGGCACGCCTGGAAGGCGCTGCTGGTTGTCCGGGCCCCGGGCTAAACGCCGACAGCCCCGCCGGCGGGTCTCGGTGGGAGCGAGTCACGGACTCTCCGCTCAGGCCACTGCCCCGCGCCAGCCCCCGGCGGGCGTCAGCAGCAGGCGCCGCGCCCAGAGCCCAGGACAGCACCGGGGGGGGGCACAAGCCGCAGGCGCTAGCGGCGGCCGGCTGAAGGCGGGTGCGAACAGCCCCTGGCCCCATGAGCCACGAGAGCCGAGGCGGGGGTCGCTGGCACCTACTGCCCGAGGAAGCGCCTGACTTGCTGCTCGCAGTGGCCCAGGTACCCCCCGCCGCGCAGGGTGGAGTTGGAGACCAGCAGCAGCCGCCGCGGGGCCCCCATCGGAGCGGGGCGGGTGTAAAGCGCCGCCGAGCAGGGGCGGAAGCCAGCGCGCGGCCCCGGCCCTCCCCTCGCAGCTCTGCGGCTCCCCGCGCTCGCGGAGGCCGGCCCCTGCAGCTGCGGGGAGGGGCCTGGCGGGAGCCCTGCGTGCGCCACGCCGCGCTCGATTGCTCTGGTCTGTTCGGCCAGGCCGCAGAGCTGCCGATCGACCTGTGCGGGGACGTGGAGAGCCCCTGGTGAGGCGCGCACGGCCTGGGCCATGCTGGACTTCGCCATCTTCGCCGTTACCTTCCTGCTCATCCTGGTGGGGGCCGTGCTCTACCTGTGCCCGGTAACTGCCACGGGGCGGGGCGGGCTGTGCTCTACCTGTGCCCGGTAACTGCCGCGGGGCGGGGCGGGCTGTGCTCTACCTGTGCCCGGTAACCACCGGGGGCGGGGGCTGTGCTCTACCTGTGCCCGGTAACTGCCACGGGGGGCGGGGCGGGCTGTGCTCTACCTGTGCCCGGTAACTGCCGCGGGGCGGGGCGGGCTGTGCCCTCCCTGTGCCCGGTAACTGCCGCGGGGCGGGGCGGGCTGTGCTCTACCTGTGCCCGGTAACTGCCACGGGGGGCGGGGCGGGGCGGGCTGTGCTCTACCTGTGCCCGGTAACTGCCGCGGGGGGCGGGGCGGGGCGGGCTGTGCCCTCCCTGTGCCCGGTAACTGCCGCGGGGGGCGGGGCGGGGCGGGCTGTGCCCTCCCGGTGCCCGGTAACTGCCGCGGGGGGCGGGGCGGGGCGGGCTGTGCCCTCCCGGTGCCCGGTAACTGCCGCGGGGGGCGGGGCGGGGCGGGGCGGGCTGTGCCCTCCCGGTGCCCGGTAACTGCCGCGGGGCGGGCTGTGCCCTCCCGGTGCCCGGTAACTGCCGCGGGGCGGGGCGGGCTGTGCCCTCCCGGTGCCCGGTAACTGCCGCGGGGCGGGGCGGGGCGGGGCGGGCTGTGCCCTCCCGGTGCCCGGTAACTGCCGCGGGGCGGGGCGGGGCGGGCTGTGCCCTCCCGGTGCCCGGTAACTGCCGCGGGGCGCGGGGCGGGGCGGGCTGTGCCCTCCCGGTGCCCGGTAACTGCCGCGGGGCGCGGGGCGGGGCGGGCTGTGCCCTCCCGGTGCCCGGTAACTGCCGCGGGGCGCGGGGCGGGGCGGGGCGGGCTGTGCCCTCCCGGTGCCCGGTAACTGCCGCGGGGCGCGGGGCGGGGCGGGGCGGGCTGTGCCCTCCCGGTGCCCGGTAACTGCCGCGGGGCGCGGGGCGGGGCGGGGCGGGCTGTGCCCTCCCGGTGCCCGGTAACTGCCGCGGGGCGCGGGCGGGGCGGGCGGGCTGTGCCCTCCCGGTGCCCGGTAACTGCCGCGGGGGCGGGGCGGGGCGGGGCGGGCTGTGCCCTCCCGGTGCCCGGTAACTGCCGCGGGGGCGGGGCGGGGCGGGCTGTGCCCTCCCGGTGCCCGGTAACTGCCGCGGGGCGCGGGGCGGGGCGGGCTGTGCCCTCCCGGTGCCCGGTAACTGCCGTGGGGCGGGGCGGGGCGGGCTGTGCCCTCCCGGTGCCCGGTAACTGCCGCGGGGCGGGGCGGGGCGGGCTGTGCCCTCCCGGTGCCCGGTAACTGCCGCGGGGGGCGGGGCGGGGCGGGCTGTGCCCTCCCGGTGCCCGGTAACTGCCGCGGGGGGCGGGGCGGGGCGGGCTGTGCCCTCCCGGTGCCCGGTAACTGCCGCGGGGGGCGGGGCGGGGCGGGCTGTGCCCTCCCGGTGCCCGGTAACTGCCGCGGGGGCCGGGGCGGGGCGTGCCCTCCCTGTGCCCGGTAACTGCCACGGGGTGGGGAGGAGGAGGAACCATGCTCTTCCTGTGCCCGGTAACCACCGGGGGCGGGGGCTGTGCTCTGCCTGTGCCCGGTAACTGCCGAGGGGGTGGGGGGTCATGTCCTACCTGTGCCTGGTAACTGTTGTGGGTCAGAGCAACTGGAAGGCCGAATCCCCTCCCCCCCATTGAGATGCATTATCTCCATCCTTCCTGAACTGCTCTTCACCCACCCCCCAATATCCTGTCTGGGTGTGGGGGCATCTGCACCATGTCCAGGGCTCTCCCCTCCCTGCCTGTTTTCAGCAGCTAGCTTCATGCCATGGAAATGCCCAGGGAGGCGAGGGCGAGGTATGTCATACCCTGGAGCAGCAGCTGGGGTGAGGTGGTGCTGAATGTGTGTCCCTGGCCACCCGACTGCACCTTTAATCCATGCAGTGAGTTATTGTTGCTGGGTCTGCGTCCAGCACCCCTCAGTGCCCACTTCAGGTGCTGCAGCAAGGAGCAAGTGGCGATTGCACTGTGAAAGTTGGCTACTCCAGACTGCTACCGATCTGTCGCTAACCAGTTAGGTGTGGGAAAGTCGACCGTTGGAGTCGGGTTGATGCAAGTGTGCAGGGCCATTAATCACATCCTGCTCCGTGACTGTGGGCAACGTGCGTGAGATTGTAGATGGCTTTGCACAAATGGGTTTCCCTAACTGCAGAGGGGCAATAGATGGCATGCACATTCCACTTCTGGCACCAGACCACCTACCCACCAAATACGTTAATCGCAAGGGATATTTCTCAATGGTTCTCCAGGCGCTTGTGGATCACCGTGGGTGTTTCACAGACATTAACGCAGGCTGGTCCAGAAAGGCGCACGCCGCACGCATCTTTCGGAACACTGGCCTGTTCAAGAAGCTGCAAGCAGGGACTTTCTTCCCGAACCAGAAGATGCTTATAGCCACGTGCTGTACACTCCATAATATTTGTGAAGGGAAGGGTGAAAGCTTCACTCAGGGCTGGACGGCAGAGTCTCAGCGCCTGGAGGCTGAGTTTGGACAGCCGGAGACCAGAGCTATTAGAGGGGCACAGCACAGGGCCATAAGGAACAGGGATGCTTTGAGGCAGGCATTTGAAGCTGAAAGCCACTAATATTTGTTGCTATGCTCGGGATTGCAGTGCTTGTAATGCTAGGAGGTGATTGGTGCACATGATGCAATAAGGGGCCTTAACATAACTGTATGTTGTTTTGCAGTGCTCTTTTTGCTTTCCCTTAATAGAATAAAGATTGCTTTCAAACAAACACAATTCTTGTGTTGAAAGACAACAACCAGAGGAGAGAGTCAAATGAAAACATTTATCAACAGGGAGGGGGATGAGGGAATGGAAGGTCTCATGGGGAGGAGGGGTCCTGGGACAGCTATAAATTTGTGTATGTCCAGGGATCACGCCCACTCTTCTCCTTTGGAGTTTGATGCATCGGGTGCTGTGCTTCATCAAGGCCAAAGTGCAGATGGATGGGTCTTGAGTGCAGTGGGTATTGGGAGTCCACACTGCTGGATTGTGTGGAGGGAGGGGTGGAATGCTGCTGGTAGAAAGTGGAGCCAGGAGGTTGATAAGAGTGTGTTGGTGGTGTGGGGCGGGCGCATGGGAAAGAGTTTTGTGACAATGGCTGCAGGGCAGGACGGGCATGGAGCTTCTCGGTTTGAAGAGCTAATATCGCCTGGAGCATGTCCCCTTGGTGCTCCATAAGTGTTAAGAGCTGCCCCTTGGCTTCTTTCTGGTGTGCCGCGTTCTCCTTTCGTTCCCTCTTCTTGCTGTCCCGCCACTCATTCAGTTCCTTTTTCTTGGCGGCAGAGTGCATCATAACCTCACACACAAGTCCTCCTTAGTTCTTCTTGGGACGCTTTCTAATTCTTCACAAGTGTTCTGCCGCCGATAAGGGAGGCTGGCCTCCCAAGGTCATATCTGTGAAGTTTAAATGCAACATTTTACAGAAGCAGTATTGTTTGCAACACAGACAACGTTGTTTCAGTGCTTTAAAACACAGCCATTACTCACACACCTAACACTAACTGGCTGACCCCAGGCAAGCACACATAAGCCACAAGACCCCCAAAATGGTGGTAGGTTTCAAAGTGGTAGCCGTGTTAGTCTGTATCCACAAAAACAACGAGGAGTTAGTGTCTAAGGTGCCACTAGTACTCCTCTTTGTTTTTTGTTTTTGCCAAAATGGTGAATAGCCACAGGGGCAGGGTAAATCACTGTTTCTGGACCCTGCTGTACCCTGGGCACGTGGCCCTTGGTCACTTGGGGAGAGCCAGCACTGTATGGGGGGCCTGATAATCATTCCTGTCCCCACACTTTCCACAGGAGGTGATCATTTTGGAAGATATCTCCCTGCTGAGGGTGAGCAGGGAATCGAGGGAGAGTGTTCTCTAAGCCTGCGGTTTAAGCCCTGGCCCCTATGCAGCTAGCCTGTGTGCCGCTATGGTCTCCCCCCCGGCCTCCTCCCCCCCGCCCCTCCCTGGCACAGTGGTGCGGGAAAGTGCAAGAAAGAAAGCAGCTCTGCTGAGGAACCTGCGGGAGCAGATTTCCCAGTATTTCCATGAGAGTTTCCTGGAGAGAGTCTCCTGAGGGAGATCCACGTGAAGTGAGGGAGTGTATCGACAGCCTATTTCTCCACTCAAACTAGGCATGAAGTGGGAGACAAGCCTGCTTTCTGCAACCATCCTGCCCCCAATAACTCGCTTTAGCAATGCCCAAAATCAGATCCACTTACCAGGGGCCTCCTCTCCTGTCGGCACTTCGCCAATATCCGCCTGCTGTGACTGGCTAGGCTCCTCCAGGGTAGAAAAGAGCTTTTGACTGCATGCATCTCTGGCCTCTGAGTCATCCTCTGCCTCTGGGTCCCCCTCTTCATCCAAGATTGCCTTCTCCTGGCTCAGTCCACTCTCGACTAGCAACGAAGCCAACAAAGTATCCATAGGTGACTTTGCAGTCGCAGTGGAGATGGGGTCTCCACCGAGTATCGCGTCCAGCTCTTTGTAGAACTGGCATCTCCTGGGCACAGCACTGGAGCAGCGG